GAAAAAAAAACATCCCTTTTTTTTTTTTTTTTCTAAAAAAAAAAAAAAAAAAAAAAAAAAAGGGGAAAAAAAAAAAAAAAAAAAAAAAAAAAAAAAAAAAAATATAAGCAAGTTATGTGTATATGTATATATACAAACATATGCGGTTCATCATAAACAAAATAAACAAAAATGAATACCACGCGTTGCATGCATTTGCATGCTCATTTCGCACGTTCAAAAAAAGTTGAACTACAAAAATGTTACAAAGTACGTATAGTAAGTATATACCGGCATAATGATATATTTATGGCATAGATGATACATGTTGGTGGGTTCTTCCCTCCCCCTTTTGTCTACTTATTTCTACTTCTTTTACTTCTTTCCTTTTTTTTTTTTAGTTATAAAAATATTTCGCATTTTTTATCTCTTACATAGAGTTTCATATTTTTCCACATGTAAAAAAAAAGCAAATGAAAACGATCGATATAACTTGATAATTAGGCAAAATAAATGTTGATAGAAAGTTCTAATATAATAACAGCTACATATGAGAATACATCATCCATCTATCCATATTTTTGACACTTTTAAAAAGAGGGGTGTCGGTAGATTCAGTGTCAAAATAATAATACACCTAAACATATATATAACCCAAAGCACATTTCAAAACAGAATAAAAACCAAAAAAAAAAAAAAAAAATTTTATTGTAACAACAAGGTCATATTTATAGTCAGCTCACACAACACTGTATTATGGAGAGAAGAGTATTCTAAGTAGGAAGTAAAAAATATGATATATATCCCCATATGCCAATTTCATAATTTTTTTTCTTTTTTTTTTTTAAAAAGAAAAAATTTTCTACCCCTATTTTTTTTTTAAAAGCCTCTTCCCTCCCTCCTCCGTTCCTGTGAAAAAGTACACACACTGAAGCGATAAAATAATTTTCTACTTTTCTAACAAATGCTGGAATGAGGCAGTTGCGTTTTTCACATTCCTATAGAATACATATATATATATATATATATATATAGTTTAAATTAGCATGGGGAAAGATAAAAAAAAAATAAATAAATAAATATAATTAAACAAATAAATAGTAAATAAAAACTAAATAATAAATAAACAAATAATAAATAAATAATAGATAAATAAACAAAAATATAGATAAATAAAGTAATAACGAAAGTGAGCTTGAATTGTTGTATTCCAAAAATAAATAAAGTATTTTTTCTGTACACATGAGAAGATACCCCCTCTCCATCCATATGACATAAATACCCTTCTTCTTCCTCCCATCTTTGTGTTCTTTTAGGTACTTTTAAATTTTAAAAGATTCTCACAATAAATAAACATACCTTTTGTATACATACATATATATATATATATATATATATATAATGGCAAAAAACTGAACATCTTTCTTTTAAACATAAACACAAACAAATAAATATTCATGAAGAGACCACTCAGCTCAAGGTACCATAAAAAAAATACGCCTTTTTTAACAAAATAAGAATGATTTTTTTCTCTTTTTAATTTAAAAGGCATGTATACACATATAGGTAAATACATATTTATTGCTGCATCTATATTTTTATGCTTCTCTGAACACATATGAGACCCCTTTTTTTACTTCTTCATTTTTCCAGAAAGCTGCATGTGCGCCTTCAAATTTCAGCACCTCGTCACCATCAATTCTTCCTTATCACAACACATCCATGCATGAAACCCATCACTTGAAAATATTTACATACATGCTATATACATAAATACATACATACAACGTATTCATATATGCGAACATATATATACTTGTAAATTCATCTGCAGGAGTGTAGAAAAGATACGTATCTATTTCATATCCATTCAGTACATGCAAAAAAAAAAAAAAAAAAAAAAAAAAGGAAATATAAATAACTTACATCATTTCTTCATTTCTCGGATTCATTCACCACCTAGGCACGCAGTTGAGTATTTCCCAAACAAAATATACATGTGTGTCCCCATGCAGCTTCTAATTACCCAATTTTATCTCTTATTCACCACCTCCAATTGGAATTTAAAAGAAAAAAAAAAAAAATAGCTCTGCATGCATATATAAAAACAGTCAAACATTAGTACAATCACATGAATATTTTTATAAAACACTCCTTTTAAATCCTCTACTGTAGAGTATATTTTTTTTTTTTTTTTCTTTTTTTTGTGCATATTTGAGAAAGAGAGGAGGACCTTGCATGCAAGTAAACATATATAACAGTTTGAGCTTTTAATATTATGTGGTGCATAATGTGTTTTTGCATAATATTCCTCTCCTAAAAGCACCATAGTTGCTATATTATGTATATATAAAATAGCACGGTTTCTTTTAGAAAAGTGAAAAAAATACTTAAGCATTAAAATAAAATTTAATGTGTTAGAAATAAAAATAAAATTAATACACATAAAATTAAAAATATTAAATTAATAAAAATAAAATTATTAAAAATAAAGTTATTATAAATAATATTTTTAAAAATAAAATTATTAAAAATAAAAATATATTTATTGCATCACAATCACACATAAAGTTTATTCAGATAACGCAACGAATTAAGAATTTCTACCTTTTTTCCTTAGATTCAATAAAACAAAACACTATTCAAACAAATTTACGTTTTTTTATTTTATTCTATTCATTTATTATTTTTTTATACACAAGCTTAAAAAACAATTATTCAAAATACATGACTTTTAACTAAATTAAGGATAAATTTTTGTATCTGCCATTCACCCTATCTCTTTTTTTTAGCCTAATTTAAAATCTACGGTAAGTGTACATTTTTTTGTATTCTAGGAATGAAATAAAAATATATGCACATGAATAAAATAGTTTCACATAAATATATGTGTATATAAATATGTGTTTATATATATATATATGCGTATCCATGCTGTATTCTCCCTGTTTATGCTTCTCTACCCTAATGAAAAATGCTCTAGCCTATGAAAACAATCCTTATTTTTTACATGCCATATATGTCAATAAAAAAAAAAAAAAAGCATATAAACCTAAAATGTACATCTTTAAAAATAGGTGATATATATTGTAATACCATTGTAGGCATCCGTGCGTTTTATTTCCTTGAAAAAAAAAAAAAAAGTCCCATGTCGCTATATATATATATATATATATATATATATATCCACAAAAGTGTTTCGTGTTTCTCCCCTCAGTTCCATCTTTTCAAACTGTTGTTAACAGTTTTCCCTTAATCGAATATGTTAATTATTTTTTTTGATATACATAAACAAACCATGTCGACAATTGAACTATTCTGTGTTGTTTGGTTTTTTTCATATTCACAAGAATGTTTCATTGCATAATTGTGTCTATTTGTGCTTACTTGCTTATGTGCTCATTCCTTTTCTCTATATTAATGTTCATTTCATTCTTTTTGTATTCCTACTAACCAAATGGCTAGCTGGCTAGCTATAGCGAGCTAAGTTTTTTTTTTTTTTTTTTTAAGAAAAATTCTGAACGTGCAATATATATATATATATGTATATGTATTTTTTTTTAAATTGTAATCCGTGAGCACTATCGGTCACGCATTCTTCCCCGTCTCATGCATAATTATGTGCATATATATATATATATATACACATGCATCAAATATACACATGCATCAAATATACACATGCATCAAATATACACATGCATCAAATATGCATATGCTAAATTTATATTATCGTCCCTCCAGATTTGCGCAAAATGGAATTCGTTAAAGACTTGAAAAGTAGCCAGGACTACATGAACAATGAACTTACCTACGGAGCCCACAACTATGATCCAATTCCAGTTGTTCTGAATAGAGGAAAAGGAGTTTTTGTATATGACATCGAAGATAGGAGGTATTATGATTTCCTGTCAGCATATTCGTCTGTAAACCAGGGCCACTGTCACCCAGATATTCTGAATGCAATGATAAATCAAGCCAAAAAAATAACCATATGCAGCCGAGCATTTTTTAGCGATTCTCTAGGTGTGTGCGAAAGATATTTGACAAATTTGTTTGGGTATGATAAAGTTTTAATGATGAATACTGGTGCAGAAGCGAGCGAAACTGCATATAAATTATGTAGGAAGTGGGGTTATGAGGTTAAAAAGATTCCAGAAGATTCAGCAAAACTTATTGTTTGCACAAATGGTTTTTCAGGAAGAACATTAGGTTGTGTATCTGCATCAACTGATAAGAAATGTAAAAATAATTTTGGTCCCTTTGTTCCAAATTTTCTCAAAGTGCCGTATGATGATTTGGAAGCATTGGAAGCACAATTACAAGATCCAAATGTATGTGCATTTATTGTTGAGCCTATCCAAGGAGAAGCTGGAGTTATACTACCCTCAGATGGCTATTTCAAAGGCGTTGCTGAATTGTGTAAAAAATACAACGTCTTGTTTGTAGCCGATGAAGTGCAAACAGGTTTGGGAAGAACAGGAAAATTATTATGCACATATCATTATGGTGTAAAACCCGATGTTATTTTACTAGGTAAGGCTCTTTCTGGTGGACATTATCCCATATCTGCCATTTTGGCAAATAATGATGTTATGTTGGTTATAAAACCAGGTGAACATGGTTCTACATATGGAGGAAATCCTCTAGCTGCTGCAATATGTGTAGAAGCACTTAAGGTTTTAATTAATGAAAAATTATGTGAAAATGCTGAGAAATTAGGTGGCCCTTTCTTAGAAGCTTTAAAAGAGAAACTTAAAAATAGCAAGATTGTTCGTGATATTAGAGGACGAGGATTGTTATGTGCTATTGAATTCAAGACTGATATTGTCGATGTTTGGGACGTATGCTTAAAGCTTAAAGAAAATGGATTGATTACAAGATCTGTGCATGATAAAACTATCCGTTTGTCTCCTCCACTTTGTATCACCAAGGAGCAATTGGATGAGTGCGTGGAAATCATTGCCAAAACGATTAAGCACTTTGATGACATGTTGTAGAAAAGACGTTGAAAAAATTACCCTTATTTTTTGAGCACTCTCTCTCTATATATATATATATATATACATATATATATACGTATATATTTTTTTTTTTTTTTATGTGTTGTGATAAAAAGTGTGTACTTTTTTATTGTTTACCGAAATGCATATATTTTGTATTACATATATTTTGTGCATCTTTTTTTTATAATTTTCTCTTCTCCATTGTTGCAAAAAAAAAAAAAAAAAAAAAAAAAAAACGTACGAAGAGTACATTTATGCATCATTATGAGTATTAACTGTATTAGTGAGTGTCCCCAAATGAGTACACCTTTTTTCATGTGCATAACAAGTATCCTTTTTTTTCCCCACCCATCTAAATGTTTATATATGTTTAATGTGTCCTTTTTTTTCATACCCGTCTAAATGTTTATATATATTTTATGTCCTTTTTTTTTTTTTTTTTTTTTTGAAGATTCCTGGGTGATTTTTACTTTTTCTATTTTCTTTTAACTGCTCTCTCACCTCTTGGTTATCCCAAAATATTTCGCTTCCTCCCCGTTCTCATTCTTTTTTTCTTCCACTTATATACCAAGCCTAAAACTGAAGTACTTATATTACACACTATACTTTTTCTCAAATTTTCTTCTCTTCACCTACATATATATATATATATATATATATATATATATGGATAGATAGATGATAAATGAAGTGAAGCTTTAAATTTCTTCCTCATTACATCTGTAATTTTGTTTCTTCAATCTATTGATTAACACCTTAAACCCCCCTCTTATCACTACAGTCCGAACAAATTTATACCGAATCGTTCTTATTTTATGCCGTCTCATCCGTTTGTGCAAATAATGTTACTGCATTTATATTATGTTACATTATATTTTGTTTTATTAATTTTGTTTGTGTTTCTCATATGATTTCCTTTTACATGGTGTCAACAATATAACACCACTTCCATATTTCCAGATGTTTTTTTTCGTTGTTTTTTTTGTTTCACCACAATTCACGCCAAACACGTTATATATATGTATGTACTTATATGTACTTATATGTGCTTATATGTACTTATATGTATTTATATATATGTGTTACCCCAAACAAACACACCCTGAACACCCCACATTTTTGCTTAAAATTTACATCTAAGGCAAGTGCCGCTTTTGAATGTTTTCATCGTTCACTTTTGTCGAACGTGGATGACCCATTCATCCTTTTGATTCTGATGAACTTACTATATCGAAATTATTTCGTAAACCTCCTGAGCTATCCGCAATTTTTGAGAACGATGTGTGTTTAGATAATACATATAAATGCTATGTAGTTAATATATATACATGTATGTATTTATATATGTATATATGTATGGGCTCGTTTATACACGTATTATATATGTACCATATATATATGTACGTGCATGTTTTTTTTTTTTTTTTTTTTTTTTTTTTTAAGTGAGGTACCTAAAAAAAAAAAAAATATGAACGCACAGAATGTGTGCCCCTTAATTGCTAACTTACGTTTTTAAATTTCTAGCAATTATGTGAAGCTCACTGTATGTGAATAAAGAGCATACCGAGTATGGTCCTTTCTAACATGACAACTATTGCGTTTGGTTCTGTTCCCCCTTCTTTTGCTTCGTTCCTCTTCTTCCCCCTTTGTTTTTTTTTTTTTTTTTTTTTTTTTTAACGCTACTTTTTACAAATCTCATTACCTAAAATGTTATAATTCAGTGATTACAAAACATTTTCACCCGTGCTTTGAGAATCTTGCCATTATAAAATTGGCTCAGGAAATTCACACCACACTAACACCAACTGAGAAACCATAAGGGAAGAAGACTTCAATAAATTCACAACTCTGACATATGTTTAAATGTTCACACATTATATAGTCCTGTAAGAATTACTAAATATGATGAGCTGTCGAGCAGAAGACATAGATATACCACAGTACATGGTGCATAAAAGTGAAGTGAAAAGTTTAATTGAAAATGATGAGGAAGATATATCCAATTTTATGATTAGGAAGAAAATGAATTTAGCAAAGGAAAAAAATGAAAACATAAAAAATATGAAAAAATTAATTTTAAAATATCCAGACATTTTTATTAAATCATCCATTATTACAAGAGAGTTAAAGAAAAATATACAAGACAATAAAGCTCTTGTTAACAACATCATAATTAATTGTGAAAAAATAACACGTTTATTCGAAGGTCATGCCTATAAACAGATTATGAACAATTTGAAATATTCAAAAAATGAACATAACATTACAAGGAGTAATATGTGGACTGACATATTTAAAATTCCATTAATAATTCATAAAAACAACGAAAAGGAAAATGTACAAGATAGCATGAAATATATTAACATGTGTGATAAAATAAAAATATATCTGTGTGCATATTGTAATTGCAAATCAAAAGATCATAAATTTGCAAATTACTTAAAAGGATATATAAAAAAACTGGACAAAGAAATAAAAAAAACGAGAGGAGTTCTTTGTGAACTTATTATGAAATGTGAAAATGTAGACACTATAAAAATGTACCTTCAATACTTGTCTGATATAAGAAATTATTTTCTTTTACCTACAGATCAAAAAGGAATGAGTGAGAAATTTACAAATAATATTGAAAAAAATAACCTGACCTGTTCAGATTTTTTTTTCGAGAGTTACGAAGAGAGAATAATGACAAATGAGGAATACAGAAAAAACACATTTTTAATGCTTAAACATTTTTACATACTACAGTTGGTTAAGGGAAAATTAGAAGAAAAAATAAAAATACAAAAAACGAACAATTCGTTAAGTACGGAAGAAATCATTCAAAATTTTTTGAATAAAATTGACAATTTAAAAAATACATACGAGAAATTATTTAATATCTTGGATGCAAAGTTATTTAAGCATATCATATTTTTATACTATTTTTCCTTATCATTAGTACATATCAAAATAAAGCAAACAAGTAATCACTCAACAATCAGCTGTGATCAAGGTGCAAAAAAATGCGACTTAAGTTTGATAAATGCGATTAATCGTGAATACATCTCGAAAAAAGTAAACCAGCAGAATGAGCAGCATGGGCAGAACGAGGAGAACTTAAGGAAGAATAAATCGAACGTCGAGGATGCGCAAATGTGTAATAACGTTACTTTCCACAACGTGGAAGATAGACAAAATGCACAAGCGACAGGTATGGAGGAGATTATCAATTTTGTGGATATCCCTGAAAAGGTGTCAAACAGTTTGACATATTCAAATGAAGTGAATGCTTCCAGTGAAAAAAAAATATTAGAAAAAGAATTCGCGAACCCTGATGGAAACCCAATGTATCCCTTTTTAAATTTAAACAGTTCCCTGTTTAATTACATGTATTACTTTGTTTTTTTCAAAACGGAAAAGATTTATTACGAGTCACACAACCTGGATTTAGATGAGAGTGAGAGCAAAGAACACAATTTGCACGAACGGACGCAGTGTCACAATTGGGATGATAGGAACCCATCGGTCTTTACTCACAAGGAAAGACGTTGTTACAAAGGAAAAGGAAAAAGAAAAATCCAAATGGAAAAATCATATGAACGCGATAAGATACCACAGAAAAATCATTTCACATTTGTTAATTTCCTGTATGAGGAAAGAAGTAAAAATTTATTGCGAAAAATTCAAAGTAAGAAGATAACTAAACAAAAATACATGAGTTTTACCAATTATACATCAATACAAACGTTGGTTCAAAAAGGAAATATAAAAGAATCAGTTCTGGATTTGTACAAATGTCGAAAAAATAATGAACAAATTGAAATTGCAAAAGAGAACGAAAATTTCGTTTCAGGACTAAGTGCGCCTCTTCTGATCAATGCAATTTTAAATAAAATATTTATTATGTACATTTATGATTTTCTTGAGAAAAATAATTTTCATTTTTATCAAAATATTTTATTTTTTGATGATAAACATGAACAGAACGAAAATAACACTTACAATAAGAATATTATATGTGTCTTACGCGGACATATACAAAGCCAAAAGGGAGGGCTCCCTATTTTTGAAGAAAATTTTTCCACTCTTGGGACAAACAGAGAGGGTGAAGGAGAACTCCAAGATGAGTCTAAAACAAATCGAATTAGTCATGTGTTACACCGTGGTTCCATGCAACAATACATGGGGAAAATATACGACACACTTAAACATACATTTTTAATTACCTACTTTTTCAATATCGTTTTTCTTTTAAAAAGCATAAAATATTACGTAGACAAATCTCTGATTTATGTAATCATTTTTTTATTTGAAAATTCTTTTAAAAGAGTTATCGAAAATTTAGTGATGATTTTTTTAGGTAATCAGAATATGTTCCTCAAGTATTCCACATTTCATCTAATCATGGAATTATTATTTAAGATCATTTTTCCCTTCACCTTTACTTTCCTCTCGTATGTTTTTCAAGTTGATGTGACGAGCTCGACGGTGAGTTTTTTTTTTTTTTTTTTTTTTTTTTTTTTTTTTCTTTACATTTATTATTCTTGATAGGCGATCAAAATGGGGCCACATAACTTCATCTGTGCATGACAAATATGTTATATCTTTATCCATAATAAAGTAGCGTATAAAAATAAATAAATAAATAAAAATTAAGGCTCTTCACATTTTTTTTCTTTCCCTCTTTCCCTTATTTTCAGGAAAACATATTTAAGATCCTAGACAATTACGGAGTTGGCGTATGAGTAGACACAATCAGTGACATGTCGTCACTTTTTGTGTCATTTCCTCCTCCTTATGGAGGATCGAATATTCTCTTTATCTTCCTCCTTAAATGCTCCAAGTCTTCTCACCTGGGATGAAATAATCAATATATGAGAAATCAAAATGACATTTTCAAGTGATTGGCTTAATACCTATATGCACATGTGCATACACGTATGGGATATATATATATATATATATATATATATATATATATATACATACATGTATGGATATACATTGATATTTTTCATGTACACACATGCTCAGTTATATTCGATACCATCTTTTCTGTAAATGCGTTTGACCGAACAAAATAAATAATAGGGAAAAAAGTTGATCATATGTCCCACCCCGAAAAAAATTACATGCCCTTTTTTTTTTTTTTGCATACAGGTGTTGTTAAATATGGGTAGCGAAAAAACGTCTTTCATACATCCTTGTTCTTTAGCTCATTAAGCAAAGTAACAAACAAAAACTGAATTTAATTTTTTTTTTTTTTTTTATTTTTCTTTTCTTTTTTTAAGTGGAGCTGCAACTTGAGCTAAGTTGTTTTCACCTTTTACGGGCTCGTGTGAACTTTTTTAAAAATATAAATATAAACAATTGATTTTTCCATAATAGCTGGGAAGTTTTTCGAATTTCCAAATAGAAAAATGGACGATATTTGCCCAAATGATGTTTTAAAAAAAAAAAAAAAAAAAAAAAACATGTCATGAAGAGCTAAAATTTTCCCATATTTGCATGTTAGGAAGAAAAGGGGTTATGGTTCCACCTAATTTTCCACGACGTGTGTGTGTTCATATGAAATGGGAATGGCTTTATGTTGCTTTTATTAACTTGGTACATTTGATATTCTATTTTGTACTCCATTTTATACCTCATTTAATGAGTTCACTAATCACACGCACGTGTATTATCAGGGAGTTTCGTTTTAAAAAAAGGAAAAAAAAAAAGAGAAAAAAAACCTTAGGCTTGTTTCGAGCGTTGCTATGGATCACACATCATTTCATTGCTACCCAATCGAAGGAGTGGGAAAAGAAAATTATTTTTTTTTTTTTTTTTTCTTTTGGGGGGTCTACACTGATATATAGTAATGAATCGATCTTCATGCACTTTCGAAAAGAAAAAAATAAATATGCGAAAAGGATAATGCTGGAGATGAATAAGAAAATGGTCCTCCAAGTTGTGTAAATTTTATTAAGCACAATATTGTATGAGCATAGGGGAAACAAAAAAAAAAAAAAAAAAAAAAAAAAAAAAGAGAAGCGGAACCGAAGGACGCGGATCAAATACTGGATGAAACAAGTTTTGAACAAAAGTAGAGAACAATGTAAAAAACAAAAACAAGAGCAGGAAAATACTCCCACCCAGCAAAAAAAAAAAAAAAAAAAAAATTTATACATATATATATAATGTATATATACATACATGGGTTATAAGATAGCAATTCATATGTATACATTTACACTGTTTTTCTTATTAATATTAACTTTTATACTCACATTTTTTTTTTCGCCTGTTTGTTCATATTTTTTTCGCCTGTTTGTTCATATTTTTTTCGCCTGTTTGTTCATATTTTTTTCGCCTGTTTGTTCATGTTTTTTTCGCCTGTTTGTTCATGTTTTTTTCGCCTGTTCTTATTTTTTTCACCTGTTTGTTCATATTTTTTTTTTTTTTTTTTTTGCATGTATGCGCATATTTCTCATATATCTTTTTGTGTTTTTCGTTTCTCTTCTCGCGCTTATCGTTTCCCAGTTCCCATTTCCCATTTTGCATGTTCCATTTGTGCCTATTAAAAACGTATTTCCCAAGTGGGGCCATTTTAAAGCAGCTTATTTTACTCCAATCATTCCCTGTGTGCACGTCACCAACCGGAGAGTCCACACTGGGATAAGAGAGACACACTAAAGTAGGTCGAAACACATCAAGAGACACCTTGTTTGTACTCCACACGAGATAACCTACCGCAAAACTATGCGAAAATATACATGTACTTGTGTGCATATGTACATATGCATACTTTTGGGAAAGCATATGTGATGCCATATAAATTTTGTGAATAAAAACTTCTGTTCACCTTTGTGTGGACACATCATATTCGCTGTGCTTATGTAAAAGTAATATTTTTGTCAATTTAAAGAAGCAATAAGATATAAAGTAAATAAAATAAAACAAGACAGAAAAAAAAAAAATAAAATAAAAAAGGAACCTGATTTGCAACCCATTGTTTAACCTTTCGTTTGCGCTCTGCTGTAACACCATTCAAAGGTTATGTGTGATTGCACCATTTCGAGACAAGGAAGACCCACGACTGGTTAAGCTCAAAGGAGTAGCCCTAACCCAGTTGCACTAGCCAAGTTGCACTAACCCATTTGCATTAACAAACGACCGTCAATAGAACAATGAAAAAGGGAGAAAAGGGGAACCCCAAGGGGGAACCCCCTACGATGGTATACATGCAAATTTATCAAAAAATGTGCATGTACTATGAATATGCAATTAACGAAGAAGAAAGGAAAAATAAAAAGATTTTAAAAAAGAAAAAAAGCATGAAAGAATTGAAGCAAATACAGAATGAACTTGTCGAATTTTTTGATGAGAACATGGAATTGTTTGCAAATCCATTTCATTTTCTTCAGTATGAAGAAGAAGATGTAAACAAAAACGAGCTGAGAGATCATTTGTTAAATAATTTTTCATACTTGTTGAGTTATATGGAAGACATAATTAAATGTTCTGTCATGCTAAATAGAAATGCTTATTACATATGCTGGATATTTAATGAAGTATTCCAAAATATTCGCAATGATAGCATAAAAAATGAACTCACGAAATCTGCATTTATATGCGAAGTTTTTAAAGCATGTATAGAGAAAGAAAATTTAATTGTAATGATATTTTTTAACATTCTGAACTATTTAAACAAAAATGAAAAGGTTGGAGTTACAACTAAACATGGACGTACCAAATCATCCTCCAGAAATGAACACTATAGTGAAGAGAATGAAGAAAATTTAACAGACAGTGAAATGAAGAAAAATGATGAAGAGGGTGATCCAACGGACGCTGATGATGATGATTTGAAGACATCCACTGTTAGTAGCTCATCATCAAACAGTTCTATTAGAAGTATGAACATGTCAAGAATTACATCAGGAGAATATAATTCAAGTAACAAAATTAACGCTGATAGATTTTCCTTGTACATATTAACCCAGTTAACAGAAAATGATTTTGTAGAAAATATATTTACAGAGATTGAGAAAATTTTAAAATTCTTAATTAAATATGATGATGTTTGTGACAAAATTGATTATGTGTTTAATTACAAAACGCATAAAATTAATATCCTCTTTAACCTTGTCGATATCCTTTTTCTCTATTTTGCAAAATTTCAAGCTAATATTAATGACATATCCAGAATTTTTAAACTTCTTAACCATATTGTCTCCTCTAAATATTTCGATTTTATACCCACTGATCACTATGTTAAGGAATTGGATAACATGCTATTTCTCCAAGCAAGGAAGAAGAAGAAAAAATTCTTCACATATTTGAAAACAGTTAGAAATACAAAGTTTGTTACACAGATGGAGGAGTACTATCGCCTCGATATACCCATCTTCCCAGAGGTTCCAGTTGTCAACACTGCATCTGTGCAGTCCCCACCAGTTGAGAATCTTCAAACAACATCGCAATTGCAGCAAGTCTCTCAATCACAGGAAACTTCTCAACTTTCAGGAAGAGGCACTAATCCATTTGAGAGTCAGCAGATGGCCATGAATTCTACTTCAGCTGGAGGTTTGGGAAATGCATCCAATTTATCATTCCCACGGTCTAGTGGCAGCATGGGGATGAGTCTCGGTGTAAATAATGTCCCTTCAAATAATGCTCTTTCAAATAATATCGGTGCAAATAATGTCGTTACAAATAGTATCGGTTCAAATAATACCGGTGCAACATTTATGAGCGGCGCAAATGGTCCCTCTAACAATAATGCATCCCTATCGATGAAGAACAACTTAATGGGAAGTAAAATGCTTGAGTGTACTTCGAATATTGGGAGTAACCCATTCCAAAGGACGAATTCCATGGGGAACATTCCAAATATACTAATAAATGGAGAAGAGAAAAAGAAAAATGAAGATGCAAATAACGTGTTCAGATCTGCGAATATAGTAGAGGGCGACACGAGTGGATTAAGTGAGGGGAGGGGAGGTATACATAGCTTCAATGAATTGAGCAACATACGAGATTATAGACAAAAAATGTATGAACATCAAAGTGAGAAACTTAGAAACAATCAATACATGAACAAATGTTTAGATTGTATGGGATATTGGTACAACTGCAACTGTAGTATGAACGATTTTGACAAATCAAGTTTAACATTAACTACGCAGATTAGTCTATTATTAATATTATGCTTACATCCAAACATAGAAAAGTATGTGTATGAAAAGAAAAAAAATATAAATATAGATAATGCTTCACCAAGTAAGGAAGATGTAAATTATTTAATCGAATTAAAGAAAAAAAAAATTAATTTTCATAATTTTTACATTCCTGACACATGGAAATATAACTGCATGAGTTCAGTAAAAGATTTGAAACATTTAAATAGCATAAAAAATACATATTCTATTAGTTCTTCTTTTATTAACGAGAATATTTCCTATTACTACTCTTTCTTCACTAAGATAAGTGAAGAGGCAAAGAAGAAAAAAAAAAATTCAAAGAATTTTGAAAGAGTAATGAATCAAAAGCAAGAAAGTCAAGAATCTCAGCTACAAAAAGGGGACGATTTTTGGAATTGTGAAAACACATCAGAAATAAGCAATAATGCATCTAACATGATTGACGCGAATGTAATTATTCTACGATTTGTTGTTAACCTCTTTACACATAATAAGGAAGAAATATTTTCTTCCATTTTTGAAGATAATTTTTTTAAAGTGTGTTACAATTCTATATTGAAAAGAATATCAAGTGCAACACTTATAGGAACTTTAATATTTCATCTATTTCACATTTTATTCTCGTTCTCATTTATTAAAAATTCACGCACTACTGATATGTGGAATGCCTTTATTGATTATCACATTAAAAAAGATTTTCAAATTAAGAGGAAGAAAAAGGGAGATGAATTAAATGACAGAGAAGTAGAAGTAAGACGAATGAGTAGTATATCACCATATGTACCATTGTCAGGAGGAAAAACAGAACTTGTTGATGCTGTTAATGTTGATGATGTTGTTAATGTTGATGATGTTGATGATGATGTTGGAATGCTAAATATAAATGGAGAAATTGAACTAATTGATGAAGTAGCAGATATGTATGATCATAAAATAAGGCATGATCATCGTGGTGGTTACATAACTTCAAGGAGAATTTCACGAAATGGTGGAAATAATATAATATATATATACAAAAGAAAAGGAGAATATATCATTGATGTGTTAAATTACTTAAAAATTATTTGTAATAATTATCCCAGGCTTGTTAAAAAATATGTTTGTATATTGAAAAATGTAATAAATAGATACCACTCTAGAATAATGGAATTTTCACAGATAGATGAGACCATTTATCATCATAATTTGGTAGATCATCATCAAGTTAGTGAATATGAAAATAACAAAGGGAGTGTTGATGTCGGTGTTGGTGGTAATTGTAGTAGCGATTTTGAAAAATTTTACTCAGTAAAGGAAAATAAATTTTTGAATATAAATGAAGAAAGGAAAATGATTATAATGAAATACAAGAATTTAAAAATAATAGCAGAAGAAAAAATGAAAATTTGTTTAGATTTTTACTCAGATGTCTTTGTTAATGTGTTAGATTTTGCATCTGTTTTATGTAACAATTTATACGATCTGAAAATAATTGAACATGTCGTACTTTGTTTTAAAACACCACTTACAGCTAATTTAAATATTTTTAATTTAACGAAAAAATTATATAGTCAATTTGTTTCAGCGTTGAATGGAAAATATAATGAATTCTCAAAAATTGCAAATAAACAACACATTTATGAAAAAACTAGAAATAATGAAAAAACATCCATTCATTTCTTCGATGATAGGAACTTAATCAGTTCTAACAAGTTTTATAACAAAGAAGAAGCATACAGAAATGTGCTAAACAGCAAAATATTTTCCCATACATCTATTGAAGATACAAAAGATTCTATTCATTTTCGCATAAATACTACGCCAACTCCTTATGGTATTAACAATTCAGTCTCTGAAAATCTGGATATTACTCACCATAACGCAGGGAAACAAAATAACAGTGCTTTTATTACATATTTGTCACATTTTAAAATTCTTCTGCTTGAAAAACTCTATCAGCAAAATAATTCTCTTAAGGGTATACTAAAAAATAACAATGTTTTGGAATATTTACAGAATAACAACATATATCTGAACAATCTTATTAAGGAAAATTCCTTGATCGAAAAGCATCTTCTTCAGAAGGGTGTGTTAAAGTACGACACATCAAGGCATGATTCTTTCATCAAAAACTTATCTTTTCTGAGGGATCATAACGAGGCATGTGTAAAGGAGGCCATTCGATTGTTGCAGGATATAAGCCATGGAACTGAAGAGCTGAAACCTTTCGTGGAGTGCAAATTGGCAACTGCCGACACAGCACTGAACGCGGTAATGGGTTCTGCCGTAGCATCTAACGCGGTAATGGGTTCTGCCGTAGCATCTAACGCGGCAATGGGTTCTGCCGTAGCATCTAACGCGGCAATGGGTTCTACTGCAGCATCTAACGCGGGACAGCCGATGAGCGAACTTTTAGAAAAAATTCTGGATCAGGAAAATTGCCTTGACTATCTGCTAGCAGAAAACAAATTAACGGAGAATCTGTTGAGAGAAAATAACTTCTTGAAATATGAATTTAACAAATACAATGTAGTAGATGCGCTATTCAAAAATAAATTTGAGGAAAGCCAGTTAAATAGACTGAAAAGTATGATTCTGAGCGAATATGATGTAAATGAAATTTTAGCATATGAAGAAAAATTTAAAAACCTAATAAGTAAAAATCATCAAGGGTTATATAACAACAAAGAAGCTATTAAAATATTTTTTGATGAAAATAAAAATGCAATAGATTTTTTCAAAGACAATAAATATAAAATGCCATTATTTAAAGATGATTATGATGATGATAGTGGGAGTATGATGAATGAAAGTATTATGAATAGAGCCAAAATAATTTTAAAAAATGAGTTACAAAGGGAGAATAAAAATAAGAATATAGATGCAAGATATTTAATAGCTAACATTTTTGAACACAATTTTTATCCTTACAATAGCTTGATAATGTTGGAAAAATGTCTTCTTTTCCTATCATCAGTAAATAACAACAAATTGTGTTACTACCTCCCAATTAATAAAAATTTGCTTATAGATTATATACTACTAGAACAGTACGAAGGAAATAGTTCCAGCGCGATGAATGTTGAAAATTTAAAAGCTGGATTGAAAGAAAATACAGAGTATTATGAACTAGAGGATGATAAGAAGTTATTTAAAATTAGAAATCGAAAATATAATAACTTAATTTCTCTAATAGATACAAAAAATATGACAAATACTACAAATTTTAAAAATATTTTTATTCATAATTTAAATTTACAAAGCAAAATAAATCAAGAGAAGGATAAAAATATAAAGAAGTACAGAACTATGCACCTTCTTGATATCTTGTATGAAATTATGAAGACAAAGTATAATTCTCAAATTGATATTATTAATTTAAAATGTTTATGTATAGAAGTTCTTTGTTCAAGTTTTGTCAAAAATTCCTCATCAGCCCTGTCCGTTTTATGCACCTTAACAGATGTATTTCCAGAAATATTTTTCGAAGTTATGAAAAAATACAATGAACAAAGTGACCGAGTGAAAAAGCATTTTGAAAAGATAGACAAATTAGTGTCTATGGGGTATATAAAAAATGATAAGTTAGAAATATTAGCAAATAATTTCACATTTCCTTATTTTAATCTTAAAATTATTATAACATTTATGAAATGTGTTAATTTTTTAATATATATGATTGGAATTAAGAGAAAATTTAATTTGTCTCTAACAAAAATATGGCATTTTTTTAACAATATCGATAAAATTGATGAGATTGACAAAAAAATTAGAAGAAAACAAATGGAAGAGAACCAAATTGGCCTCCAAATGAAAAATGGTTATTATAGCGATCAAACGGGTGGTAGTTATATACGCTCTCGTGGTAACCATATTAATCCAAGAAAAAGTTTCAATGGAAAAGCATCAAAAAAGGGAAGTAATTACATTTTCTTTGATATTTTTTTTAATTTCGATTTGTTTTTTGATGAACTCTGCACAGACGATGAGGAGGATGAGGACGGACAGCAGAAGGGGAATGACAAAGAAGAAGAAGATGAAGAAGAAGAAGAAGAAATGGAAGATAAGCAGCTACAAGAAGCAAACGGGAGGACAAATCGAGATACACACCCAGGAGATACAATGAACAATGATAGAAATGGACGAAAGAGAAAAAAAAAAATAAATAACATTCATGAGCATCATATCAGTAGTAACATGCATAGGGGAAACAACAGTGGAGGAAAAATTCCCACGAGGAACCATCCGATGGAAGGGCAAAACGATGAGATGAATGATGTTTATGAAAATTGTCTGAAAAAAAAACTAATGATTGAAGACCAAGAAAAGAACGTTTGCAAACATTTAATACTATTGACAAATTATGTGGTGCAAAATATATTTTACAATCTTATTAATAATTTCATTTTAAAAAAATTAAGAGACAAAAAATATGAAAATGAAGATCAACTAGATGACAATATCAAATTGGAGTTTTTTATGAATAGGCAAGAAAATTCTTTATTCAAAAGGAGATATAATTATTACATGCAAAAGTCCAAAAATTTAGATACACAAATTTATAATTTACAAAATGAAATTAACATGAACACATCTAACATCCATCAAATTGAACAAGTCTTGAAACAAAATAATATTCCTTTTGAACCCTATATTTTATCGCAAAAAATGTTTGACAAATCCTTTGCTGATATTGCAAACTTTGGAGAAAATTCCTTTTCTACTTCCCCAAGTTTTTTGTCGTCCAATTTATCGACATCTCTCTTCAATCAGGCTGCGAAGCCCATCAATGATGGTGCTCCTTACCTCTTGAACTCCACAGCAATTTCAAATCAATTCAGAAACAGTGCAGGAGGAGGAACTACACAATTTAATGAAAAGATGGGAAATTTATTTAACAATTCCTCCACTTCTACATCAGTCCCTTTAACAAACGGAACAGGGGCTTCTCCATTTTTAAACTCAGGAAATTCATCGACTAGTGCATTAACTATGGGAAATGTCGGTGCAAAGCAGTCGGGGCTTTTGAATCAGACATTTGGAAATATTGGTGCAGCTGGTAGTAGTAATAGTAGTAGTGGCTTATTGGGATCATTATCTAGTAATACAATTAGCAATGCAACCGGAGGTGCTACCTTTGATGGAAGCCATTTTAGTGGATACACAAATCCACTTTCGACATCCCCAAGTGGAAATGCATTACCCATTGAAAATACAAAAACGATATTCGAATCATCAACTAGATGGGGTTCTGTTTCTCCATCGCATGCAGGAACTGCAGTGACTACAGCTGGAACAGCATCTATAGCAGGGTCACCCAGTTTTTCTTCCCTTATATCTGGTACAACAAATAACAAAGTTGTTTCGGGACCCAGCACGAGCAGTCTTTTCAATACTCCAACAAGTGCCCTAGTAACAGATAACATGGGTAATAAACAAGTAAGTGGTTCGTTATCATCACTTTTTGGATCCAATCTTGGATCCTCGAGTAATTTGTTTAATCCAGGTGTCGGTAACACTGGCAGTAACAGTGGTGGATCATTCGGGTTCAATCAGGGCGGAGCTACATCTAGCAATTCACTTTTCAGCATTAGCCCCACGGCAACTACATCTGGGAGTTTATTTAGGAACACATCTAACCAGATGCAGCAGACGCAGCAGACGCAGCAGAGTGGATTATCTTCCAACGCAGGAGGAATAGGGAGGAGCCTCTTTGCAAACACAACTGAGAATGCACAACAGCAGCAGCAAAGTAGCACATTATTTGGTGGTAGTAGTGTCACGTCAATCCAGAATATAAATTCGATTCCAAATGCAAGCATAGGATTTGGTAATACAACCTCTGGTAATATAAGTAAACCTAGCTTATTTACCCCAGTTAGCCAAAACAGCATTTTCTCAAACAGTTCCTCCATAGCATCTGGAAGCAACACATCTAACTCGTTATTCAATCCGAGTGGAATTATGACAAATAATTTATCAAATCCAGTTACTGGAAGTAGTGGGACCATGTTTGGAAATGTTGTAACTTCTAATGCAACACAAAACAAAGGATTATTCTCTCAAGGAACAACATCTCCCATTATTACATCTGTGCAGAATCAGATAGGCAATAATTCTGGAACATCATCCAACTCCTTATTCTCATTTCAGAATAAAAGCACGACATTATCTGGCACAAACACAGGATTTCCTGCTTCTAACTTTTCAAATATGTTTGGAAAAAGTACAACAACAACAACAATAACAACTCCTATGTCAAATTATTCCATTCGTAGTGATAGTAGAAGTAATAACGCAAATAGTACCAGCCTCTTTGGAATCGGATTATCCAATACACCAAACAATAGTACAATGGGACAGAATAGTTTGGGTTCTAATATTGGAGGTTTAGGCGTAACAAGCAGTCCAGCTAGCTTTTTTTCAAATCCAGCGAATCCACCTTTACATCTAAACAATGAGAGCACATCTAAAATGACGACTATGTTTGGAAACACGAGTTCTTTTGCATCTCCAAGTGGTAACACTTCCATGTTTTCAAGTACAAATCAGATCAGTGGATTATTTGGCACAGGTGTAAGTAGTAGAGCTGGTATTGGCATGAACAGTGGTGTGAATATGATAAATTCTAATCCATTAAATGGAATTCAAAACCTTCTGAACGCAGGTTCAATAGAAAATATGGAACAATTAAAGAACTTTTATGAAAACTTGAAACTGAAGACAAATGGGTTATATGCAGAAGTATACAAACACCGATTAGAATTAAAAAAAAATGAATATAATTTGATGAAAGAAAAGAAAATACAGATAATTAAAGAAAATAAATTACGTGAAGCAAAGAGCAGATCGGACATAAATTTTAAAGATAGCGAAATGTATATTTTAATAATTCTAGTGTTTATGTATTTTAAACTGATACTTAAGGGACCTTTGCCATTAAATGATAATAATAAAAGTATGAACAAAATTATGAATGAAAGATTCGATTTTTCTTGTGATTTTCGACCTACCATGTATCTCTTCAATCAGATATTGGGTGAATCTAACAAATTTATGAATATCTTTTTTAATGTTATTTTTCTGGACAATATAATGCACGAAGAAAACAAGACTATGCATGAGATGATTCTAAAATGTAAAAATTATGTTGATTACATTAGTGTGTGCACTCAAAGGAAGAATCTTTTTCTAAAAAAGAATCTGAATGGAGGAGAGAGTGGAGCAATTAACAGTAATGGAAAAATTACAAGCTCTGACAGTAGCACTGGTAATGAGAAGTTCTCCACGTGTGATGACTTTTCAAAAAAGAATTTGTTCAGTTCTGCTACTTGTGAAGTGTACTATGAAAAGAAGATGCAATACATGCCATGCTCTTACGCCAAAGGATTTTATAATTCTCTATTTTTATACAAAATCAAAGCATTTGGGTTAAACATTTTGAAGATCCTGTTTGAGAGAGATGTGCTGTTCATTCACATGTACACCCTTTGGAAGAATGAAAAAATGTTGCATCAGAAAATAGGGAAATTTCATTTCGATGTCAATTTTGTGGATAACAATTCGTTAAAGAATGAAGCGAAGAATGAATCGAACAACCAAACGGGGAATGAAGTAAACAATCAAACGAGTGGAGCGTTCCGAACAGGAGTCAATGATCCTATTGTTAGCAAAGATATAAATGTGACAGAATCGCTTAGTACTCCAATATGTGTTCATAATTTTTTATTTAAAAATATTAACGTGAATTCGAGAACGACTTATTTAATTTTGTTATTAAATAATTTTTTCAGAACAAAGGAGATTGACAAAATGATAATATTTTTTATTTTACAAATATTCATTAGGGATTGTAAAACTACCATTAATATACTAAAAAGGGATAATGAATCTTTTAATTTTTTGAAATATGCGCTTCGAAATATTTTTATTTATAATTTGAATATGCAAAAATTTAACAATTGTTATGTCATTTCGAATAGAACTATTAAAATGCAAAAAATTCTTAACAACTTTGTTGATCTGCCTTTATTATACTTTTTGAAAAATGTTGAAAATAGAAAAAGTAGAACTTTATTCAAAATGAAAAATAGAATTTATAATCAAACTTCTTCCAAAAGCAAGGAAATACTTAACACGCCCAACTGGATCTCCTACCTCAAAAATGAGAAAAATCAAAATGGATTCAAGGAAGATGAAGAAGATGTCATGGTGGTGGATGATGATGATGATTACCATGACTATGACGATAAAAGGGTTGGAATAAGAGAAGATCACGACGCAGTAAGGAAATTCCATCAAAAGAATAGAAAAAGGGCATCTATTATTATTACTGAAAAACAAAATGATAAATTGGATAGAGGAAATTGCAGGAGACGTTCACTTGATCATGTGGATAAATACAGGACAGAGGAAGATAGTCTATCATACGATGAGACAAGCGAGTGTAGCATCAACAAGAAGTATAAAGAGAGGGATAATAACTTCTCTTATGGTGATAGTTTCTCCACGGATGATGATTACTTCTCCAATGATGATGATGAGTTCTCTTATGGTGATGGCTCTTCTCAGGATGGTAGGAATTTCTCCTATGATGAAAAAGACGAATCAGTTGATGAAGAAAAGAATTTCAAAGACAAAGATGCTACAGGAGTTAACAATTTGTCTAGGAAAAACTTCCATTATTTAAGTGGAGATGATTATGATGTTCATGATATATATAACAATGTCAAGAATTACAAAAATGAAAAACATAGAAATGCAAAGAAAATATATAGAAAAAAATGTAACAGAAGATGGAAAAGGAATGTACAAAAATTGGATGATGAATTTATTACACAGTATAGACGAATGAAATTAAAGAAAAAAAATGAACTAAAATATATATATGATTGTCTATCCGATGATGATTTGATAGACACAATTAAAAGTAAAAAAATTTGTGTATTCTATGATGATAAAGAAAAGGAAGAAGATAATGACAATTTGAATTTGTATAGTTTATCTTCAGAAAATTTAAATGGCAACTATTATAGAGGTGATTATTATAAAGAAATCAAATCTATTGATTCAAATCTTATAGGATACTGTAGTTCTTATAATTTACTTCCCATAAACAATTTCTACACAGAAAAATATGATTTTCTAGAAAATGAACTTGTATATACCAGCGATTTGAAGCTCTATCTCTACGTGAAATCATTTAAGAGACATACATATTTTAAAAGATTACTGGGAATTGAAAACGCTACTCATGGAAGAATAAATAACACCGACTTACCTTCCACTGTTAGCACTAAGGAAAAAGGGGCAATTACATCAGGTATTTATTTGTCTGGAGAAAAAGAGGAAAAAAATGAACAGCACAATGTTAGCGTTACAAATCAAAGATCAGAAGAGGATCAAGAACGTGAAGTAGAAAAATACAATGGAGGAGAAAGAAAAGGAAATGCAAGAACATCGTCCCCATTTTTAAATGTTGAAAAAAGAATACCAGGAAATAAAGTTGGATGTGGCATAGGAAGCAGCTGCATTAACAGAACTGAGGATGAAAATCCTTTTCATCCAAACGAAGGAATTCAATATGATGAGACGAATGAGGCAAAGGATATAGAAAGAATCATAGAAGGTGAATTAAAATTTTATGATTTCTTTAACAGATTAAACAAATTTAATGAAAACATGGTGGCCCCAAATATTTATTATGATAATAATAGGGATGAAAAATTAAAATATATTGAATATTTAAAAAAATCTTTAGATAAGGAAAAATTAAACACAGAAAAGAGATATAAAGAGGATTTACTCATCCCAATAAAAGATTTGTTGATAGAAAAGAAAAAAGAAACAGAAAAAAAGTTAAGTACAGAATTGAAAAAAAAAGTTTTTTTTTTAAATAATGAATTGTGTGAATGGATTGAATTAAGTCATTTGCTAAATGTAGACATTGATTATAACGATATAAGAGGATTAAATAAAAATAAAATTCTAAACAATTATAGTAAAATTCCAATTACAAAACTTATTTTGTACTTTTATGAAATTATTACGAGAAAGTTTTTATTTCTCAACAATTCAGATTCTTTGATTGAAAATTGTGTATTATCACTCCTAGGATTGTCATTTGTTCCATCCAAACAAAACGAAAAAAAAAATCTCCTCATGTTGATAGATGAAGGAATGGAATTAGAACAACAGTGCTTTTTGAATACCATGATAAATTGTGTCATTGTAGACTTTTCCACGTTCGACAGCATACGGGATTTGATACATGTGGATTACGACCCTATGGAAAATTTCACGAACGAAGAGGAGGAAGAACATGTCAATCACAACCGTGTCGATTACAGACGTGCTGAGTACACAAATACTAGTGGCATTACCCATGTTACTCGTGCGTTAGGGCCAAATTTTCACACACATGAACATAACAAACACGTGAAATTTTTCTCTATGAAGGAAAAAAGCAAAGATTACTACAGAAATAATATCCATTTGAATCGGCTAAACAATTGGAAGCAATACAACATATTCGAAAAAAATTCTTATTTTGCAAAAAGTTTGAACATTATATATATGATTTCAAAGAACAAGAAAATGAAAGATTACATAATCAGCCTAATAAACAATATGTGGGTCAACAAATTTAACGTGTTTTATTATATAACACAATATATAAACGTAGAAAAATTAAAAGATACAGAAAAAATTCTTTTTTTAAAAATCTCGTTTCATATTTTAAATATATTTGTTCCCATCATTGATAATATATTAAATAATATAGATAAACACGTCGACTGTTTTATGAACATTAATTTTATTATGAATGACCAGGATGATGATGATGATCTAGATGAAAAAAGAAAGGGGAAAAAAACATTTTCTCAGAATCCTGCACTAGAAAAAACAGAAACACAAATAAATACTTCAATAAATGATGTGTCAGAAAAAAAGGGTATCAAAAGGGAGACTCAAAATTATAGCTATTTTAAAAATGTGAATCCATTTGACAATATTATCAATAAAGAAAATTTTAATGAAAAGAAAAATCTTTTTGAATTCTTAAATCCAATTTTTAATCATGATAATTTAAAAAATTTCATAAATCATTATATACATATTATAAAAAATTACAATGACAGTTATTTAAAACATTACATTTATCACTATTATCTGTTCAATTATGATTTCCATTTTCAAAACATGTATAACTTTACAAACACAGAATTTGTGCATTATATAAAAAATGATAATCTTATTCGTCAAGATGGAATTAATACAAGTTCTCACTTCACAAGTGATAAAAGTGTTAATATTTTGTATACTAGCATAATAAACACCTATGTGAACTTTTGCAAAATACTGAATAATACAAGTACTAGGAAGAGGAGAGATTGGCAAGAAGAATTTAGTGCAATGAACAATCAACTCTCATCTAAAGACATTTTCGAAGAATCTGCTAGAACACAAGAAGAAGGAATCATATCTGAAACTGCAGAAAATGGTACCAACCACCCCGTTGAACCTTTGAAAAATACCCACCTGAACAGTTCAGGTAAAAATTTCAACTTTGAGCACTTGAATGATATTATTGGAAATAAAACATACCTGCGAAGATTTTTCAACAAGTACTACCTCAACAGGGGTTGTTGCTTGCAGGGGTCAAGGAATGAAGAAGAAGATGAAGAGGAAGCCATTACACGAGTTCGAAACCGAAGTGCTGGAAGAGGTAGAAGTGGTAGAAGATTAACAAAGAGAATGATGTGCATCACAGCACGTGCGAAGGAACAGCAGTACCTAGAAAAGAACGTCTACATTTTCAACAGTTTGAATTACCTGAACATTAACTACAAAAATTGGCTTGTCGTGTATAAAACATATATTGAAAAAATTACTTACCTGGTAGACGTAGTTTTGAAAATTAAAAATAACACAATAAACAAAAAAATTCACTATTTGAAGAATTACTTTTACATAATTAATAATATTCAGAGGCATCTAAAAGGAATAACATACATAATAAAATCATCTCATTATATCAACTTTAATATACAGATTACTCCAATCCTGTTTATAGTATATCTATTTATTACAATTTTCTTCTTTTCTCATAATAATAAATTTGCACTTAGATATTTGACTCGAACAAATAGAGGATTCAACAATTTGTTTAGAAGCAATAAGAAGAAGAAGAAATCTGCTCTCATGGATGATTCTCAAGACACTGGAGAAGCTTGTGACATGGAGTATGATTCTGAGAATAATAACATCCATTTTGGAGGAACTTCACGTGAAATGAACAGACGAAGCATCTTAATGGATGACAACATGAGTTCTGAAAGGAGTAGAACTCATTCCATTCATGATGAAATAGAATCCATGAAAAGAAATAAATTAAGTTCAGGAATCAATTTGCACTCAGATAAATACAATCAATATACATATAATTTAAGTAACTATGAGGGAAATGATAAGAATGTTCAACGAGATGAAAAATTCAAAATAGATCATTTGAAATATCACAAGAAATTAAAAATGTGTAATAACTTTTCTAAACAAATTTTAAATAAAGAGTTTAAAAATAATGTGTTGAAATTTCCAAAAAATTTTGCTAATACAGATGAATATAATGGTGATATTGTTTCTTCCACTCGTTCATTTAGTTCGAATACAAGGAAGAAGAACCCTCTTTTCAGATTAAAAGAAAATCATAAGAATGGTTACAACAGTGATGCTCGTGTGTGCAATTACACGAGCCAGCACTTGTTTGGAGTAGGAAATACAGAAGATGATGAAGATGAAGAAGGTGAAGAAGGTGAAGAAGGTGAAGAAGGTGAAGAAGAAGATGAAGGAAGAAAAAGAAGGGACGGTTTAAACATCAAAATTGGGAAGAAGGAAATTTACTACAATGTGCATAACGAATATGCAAAATTGATTCTAAAGAGTAACGAATTTTTTGATGATTTATTAGAATTACTTATAATATTAATTACAAAAAAGCACCCCATATTGAATAAGTACACAATCATATACATTTACGAGTGTCTGTATACTCTTTTAAATATTTATCATTACAATTATGTGTATAGTGAAGAACATAAGCTGGGCCAAAGTAAAAATATGTTTCTATCCCTTATGAAAAGAATCGATCAAGATATACTTAACGATTTTATCAGCAATTTGTTTATAGATTCATATAAGAATTTCTTTATTAATAAAAATTCTGTTATTCCAATTTATTTTTACAACAACATTTACAAGTTTATTGATTACAACACGGAAGTATTTTTATACACAAACCAGAAGTGTGTCTCCAGGGACTACGAACTTATGGACGTGCACCCTGTGTATGCAGAAGGGAATACAAGCAGAAGCAAGGGTGATGAAGGAGAAAGACAAAAAAGTTATGGGGATAACGCAGCAATGATGGGAACCTCTTCTACAAGCTTGCGTGGAGGAAGGGGAGGTACATCGATGATGCACGAATTTTTTGAAGATACGGATGATTATGAAAATAAGAAACTAGTAAGTTTCCACTTCAAAGATCACTTTAAAAATAAAATACATTTAAATAATAAAAGTTTGAACTTTTATGAAGAAGTATATTGTTGTAATTTTTTGTATAATCGAAACGATCTAAATGTTCTGAGCATCAATTTGTTAATATTTCTACTTAACAAAATAGGTATATACGAAATAGATATAAAGATTGATGAGAATAATATCAAGAATTTAATTAAAGGAAATTTATTTTTATTTCATAAAAATGTGGAAGAAAAACAAAATGAAAATAAAATGTTACACACATGTTTTTTATTGAGTTCTTTATGTGACACAACGTATGTGAACGAATTTGTACAAAAGGAAAATTTATTTAATCTTTTTCTAAAGAGTAACATATTTGATAATATGTATGAATATAAATTTAATTATCTCTCTAGTAGTATACCCTTTTTAACATTTCCCACCAATTTCTTGAATAATAAAAATATCTATCTTCCACTTCCTATGCTTATTATTTCCTACATCACAGTTATATTAAAAACGGTTGATAAGAAGGGTTTACATTTGTTCAGATGGATTGGGAATTGGATTGTTAAAAATATTCATATTTTTGTTAACCATTTAATTGTAAATAATTACTTGATGAAATCCAATGAAATTACTCATGAGGTTAATAATTTTACTACATATAACCACGAGTTGATATACAAGTGCTTGTGCTATGCATCTACTTGCAATTTTTCCAAACAGAAAGGATCAGCAGGAGCAGGAGGAACGATTCAAGAAAATGCACAATTTGGTAGCTTTTCCAATGACAGAAATGAAGTACCTACATCTACAGATGCAGTTGGAAGCAATCCACTAAACCATTTGGATCATAGCAAAAAACAGATTCAAGGGGATTGGTTTGACAGTCGTCGTTCATATCTGAACAACAATAAGAAAGGGAACTCAGAAGAATGCATAAATCACGCTAACATTAGCTTAGTTAATTTGGACATCATATATTGTAGCACATATTACTTGCTTAGGTTGTACAAAAATTATCTCTTGTATATACACCAAAATTACTTGAGTTTAAAAAAACTGAAGATAATGAAAAAAACGTCCAGAAGCAAGAAACTGTTGGGTTCTAGAAGAAGTGCGAGAGCGAAACAGAAGAGAAGTAAAAATGTTGTTATGGCACATGGGTTCATGGAATCGGATGATGAAGATGTTGTTGGAGCTAATCACGAAAGCAAGGATGTCACCACTGCCCATGCTGCTGCTAATGAGGAGGAGGAGGAGGAGGAGGACTACAGTGATAGTAGTGATAGTAACAATAGTGTTGATACTAGCGATACTAGCGATAGTAACAATAGTAACGATAGTAGCGGAGATGGAAGAAGTGGAAACAATGGTTGGGGTGATAATATGAAAGGAGAATTACATGAACATATGAAAAGAAAAAGAAAAAAACAATCTGGTACAAATTTGACATATGGAGAAGATTATTTTGTACATGGGGACTACTACTACTACAATCATGGTGATCAAGAGGGTACGAGATTTACGCAAGGGGGAAAGAATAGCACAAGAATTGGTGATTTATTGAGTGAAAAGAAAATGCAGAATATGGCCGCAGCGTATGATTATTCACAAGGACAAGAATACATGCAACAAGCTTCCAATGATGAGGATTTTTTTGTGGATACATCCCTAAATTTCGAATTTAATGAAATATCTCTAAACATTTGTAACATAATTAAGGAACATAATTACATCCTTCAGTATATTAAAGACTTACTTAATATTTTATCCATTTTTGTAATTTATGACATAAGTTTGAAAGATGAAAATGATTTATTGAATAAGAATTTAAATAATAGCACTCTTGAAAAAAGAAGAAAAAATATTAGAACTCATAGGATTTTACAAAATATTATTCCAAAATATTCCATAAAATTTCATTGCATTAATTTATGTCTTGACATAATTGAATATGATATTGGACTATATGATGAATATGTGCAACAATCAAAAACAAAGTATTATGAATATATAAAAATTATTTTAAAAGTTTTTATGAATACTTGTTTTTATTTTATTAACATTATAAAGTTTGAAAATTATCACATGTTAAAAAGTGTTTCCTTAGCCTTGAAAAAATTGACAAATATTATTTACTTCCTATTGAATAATTTGACAATTAAAGAAAAATCATCTGAACAAAATTTTACTCTTCTAAATAAATTTATTTACGACACAAGTGCGATGGCCAAAAATCCACATGAAATAACCACAGAATTGTTTAACTCGGATGACAATATCTTTAGTGATATAAAAAAGGGAAATGTATCTTCAGTACCAGGAACGTACGAAGCATCATCATGTGGTGTATATAGTGGACAATATGCATCTGGATTCACCACAAGCACAGCAGTTGGAGAAGGAGCAAGAGGAGGAACAACAACAAGTGCAGGAGGAGGTGCATCAGACAATATTAAAAAATTCTTTGAAAATATTGAAATTGATATTCATGTATTGAAGAAAATACTCACATGTGTCATCTACTTTACCTATGCTATGTTAAGCAATCAGAAAGTCAACAAAATTAACATTGAAAATATTAATCTAAATCACATTAACAAAATAAACTTGAAGAAAATTGCGAATGCTTACCTTGAGAAAAACAACATCCTCAACGTATTTACTTTCATCCTACAAAGGTCTACGCAGATTTATTACCTCCTCTACAATTATGCGGTGGAAGCCATTTCTATGCGAAGATAGTTTTTTTTACCTCTGTTATATGCAAAATTGGAATGGTCGTAGATGAAAAAAAAAAAAAAGGGAGGGCATGTGTTTGTGTGGTTGGGTGTGTGTGTGTGGGGAGGATATGAGAGGAGATAAGTCTTTCTGTACAAATCCAAAATTTACTGTGAGACAGACACATTATGACCATACATCCTTGTCAATGCAATCCATGCTACGCACACAGACCAACAGGCAGATATTTTTTCTGATACAGCACTCAATGAGTATACTTTTTTTTTTTTTTTTTTATTTTCTATAACATATTTTTACACGTCCATGTTTTATGCATAAATATATTATGTCTCAAAAAAAGTGGGCATATATAATTAAAAAAAAAAAAAAAAAGAACGAAAACAAATGCTTAAAAATTGTTGAAAACGTGAAAGCGCGAAAGCGCGAAAATGTTGAACTTAATAAACTTGTATGAATTTTAAAAATTTTTAAAAAAATTAAAAAAAAAAAAAAAAAAAAAAAAAAAAAAAAATCACACCAAGTAGCATGTATATATATAAAACAGGTGGTGTGTGTTGTATACGCGAAGGCCTAAAGTATAATTATACAATCCTCCACCATTTTCTATTTTTATGAGCGTAAATGTTATTTTTTCTATTTTTTTTTTTTTTTTTTTAAACTATTTTAAAACAATTGCTAAAAAAACATCTTCATGCATACATGGGGCAAGGGAGGGAGGGAAGAGGGGGTCTTGCTTGCTTGGTAAAACTTCTAGACCTTAATCCATATGGACTCAGATGATCAGAGTGCTACAGTTCTTCAGACTTAATGTGCGTGATCATGATGATGATCGTGGATTTGTGCATGTTCATGTCCGTGGGTATGCGGAGCCAAACGTTGAGTTACCATAATTAGGATAAATGCAATTATGCAAGAAGAACAAAAGCTCATCCATTTTGCAAACCGAATTTTTCTGCTGAACTTTTGCTTTATTTCGTTCAGTAAAATCTGAAAGTGGGGTAGGGGGCCGATAGGGGTGTAATAAATCTGGAAACTAATAACAGGCAATGACAGGCAACAATGTCAAGCAACAATGGCAGCGATCAATTTTTTTTTTTTTTTTTTTTTTTTTTTTTTTGCGCACATGTTCAATGTGCAAAAGGACAAGCAGATATATGGATAGATGGGGAGGAAGATGATATAGATATGCAAATAGGAATACGGGAATTGATGGATAGATAAATAAAAAAAAAAAAAAAAAAAAATGGCACATTTGTTAATCACATGCTTTTTAATCATGTTCTTGTTTGTTTGTTTGCTTGTTTATTTTCTTTCTAATTTGTCTCGTTCTGTGTGTAACCTCGCATCCGATGAAAAGTAGAGTTCCAATAGATATTGCATTGATTATGCAAGTCACCTTTTCACCTACATTGGGGAAGCAAAAGGGTGTGCGTGAATGAGCATAAGTAAGAAAGTACCTGCATGTACATAATTTTATGCACATTTATTTACACATTTTTATGAACACTTATTTACACATTTTTATGAACACTTATTTACACATTTTTATGAACACTTATTTACACATTTTTATGAACACTTATTTACACATTTTTATGAACACTTATTTACACATTTTTATGAACACTTTTGTACACATTTTTATGCACACTTTTGTACACATTTTTATGCACACTTTTGTACACATTTTTATGCACACTTTTGTACACATTTTTATGCACAATGATTCACTTGGGCAATTCACGCACCTGACGATTTTATAAGGTGACCAATAATTATTCCCAATGGTGATGAAAAAATAAAAATTATTAACAAGATCATCTTGAGGTTTTTGCTCTGAGAATAGGTGCATGGGAAAAAAGTGGTAGACGACATCGTTCAGAAATATTATATAAGACAATGAAAGAAATTCACGTATACATAACATGTGCATATAACATTATAACACACTAAAATAAGGCATTACTATGTTGTTCTGATTTAGAGAAAGGGCTACGGTTACTCCTGCTATCCATTTGTGCGACAAAATACAAAAGGTGTTTATAAAAACGAAATTAACATCATCTGATGTTCCTACGATCATTCCTGGGGAAGTAGGAGAAAAAAAAAAAAAAAAAAAAAAATTGAAATGAAGTGGAATGTATGGAAGTGGAAAGAAATGAAGTGGAATAAAATGAGCATGGGGCATAATGTACACACCTAGGTATAAGCGTAAATACAAAACATAAGCACATGAATAAACATATGTTTATATGTATTCTTAAAGCCAAATAGAAAACGAAAGAGCACACATTGAAGAGAGGGTGTTCAGGGGAGAGAACCCTGTGTTGGAGACATGCAAAATGATTTCCCCCTCGCCCCACGTCCCCTCCATAGATCTTTCGTGCATTCACACATGGATAATATTTGCTATTCAAGTGTGTCTATTAGAGAGGCGTATAATCATGCAGAAAAGAAAGTCACTGCTCCGAGGGATATACACACACACACATGTATGTATGTATGGTTGGGTGGATGAATGGATATATAGCGCACAAACGCTTTATTCTGTGCCATTCTACCTTCAATGCACGAATGCACGGCAAGGGATATTGTTAAAAAAAAGGATTGCAAAGTTAAGACATGTAAAAACTTCACAATGTTCTGCTGCTTCTTGAAATCCTTGCTATCACATGCGTGGTGGTACTGATGTTCGTTCACGGTCTTTCAAGAAAACGAAAAAAAAAAAAAAAATGGGGAAAAAAGGAAGAAAAGTGGAGGGAAAATATGTGTGTCGATCCATGCAGTGTTATGCACAACTAGGAAAAATTAATTCACGACACAGTTAAGTTATATCTACGCTACAGTTACTTAAGCCCTACCACACTGTGCATCTCGATATTAACAGAATCTTCTTTTTCTCCTTTAGCCTTGTTTCTGAAATGGAAAAATGTGTACGGTTATGTGATGCAGTGTGATGCGATGTGATGCGGTGTAATGGAGCGTAGTTCGTCATAATGTGATGTGGCATTTTCTTCACTCTTGTTGCAAATTTGTTGCAGATTTTTTTTGTGCCACAGTATGCGTGCACAGGGCCCCCCTAATAAATAGGTACATCTGTGAGTGTATGGAAGGTCGATGGGAAAGGGGGTCCGAATATTGTTTTTCTTTTCTTGTTGTTTTTCTTTTCTTGTTGTTTTTCTTTTCTTGTTGTTTTTCTTTTCTTGTTGTTTTTCTTTTCTTGTTGTTTTTCCTTTCTTGTTGTTTTTCCTTTCTTGTTGTTTTTCTTTCCTTGTTGTTTTTCCTTTCTTGTTGTTTTTCTTTCCTTGTTGTTTTTCTTTCCTTGTTGGTTCTCAAGTTTTAATTCATCTTTACTTGGAAAAATTATCGTCGAGCATCGATTTGACATTGTCATTTACAACGCAGCACATGTTAGTGTCCACGGGTAGCACATATTCTAATGCCAGTTGCATGCAGAATCCAACAAAAACGAAAAAAAATATATACAGAGTTTTTATTTCAGGATCAGAGGAGTTAAATATTACTATATGTCTATGCGAACTGACAATTGTAATGGTTTCTGGTAGCAGGTGAAACATAACAATTGAAAATATAAACCCTGAACCGAAACAGTTCAAATTCGACAGTATGCCTTTTATTTTTTTCTCATGTTCTGCATTTTTTTTATTTCCTAGTAGGCCTATTAAGTATGGTATTGAACATCCAAACGTCGCCACGCACAGAAATGTGAATATGCAAATTGCCTTGGCCAAAAGTAGGTCCATTTTTGTCACAGCAAGGGGGAGGGGATCGGGAACGAGGCAGACGATGAGGACTAATCAAAAGGGGTGAAACAAACAGGAGTGGTCAAAAAACAACAAAAAAGGAAGCAGCAGAAGCAGCAGCAACAACAACAAAAACAAAAACAAGAACAAAAAAAAACAACGACAAAAACGGCAAAAAAAAAAAAAAAAATGTGAAGGATTCCTCTTGAGTCAGGTTTAAGAACGTGTTGAGGCGTACTTAGACATACTTCGAACTGAGTATGCTTCTTTTGATCGGGTTTATATATTTACACATTCGTCTGAACGTTTCGACTTGTGCATTTGTGTTATTCCTGCTGCATATTATATATATATATATATCCCCAGCCCTTTTTTTAACCTAGCTAGCCCCGAAACAGTTTTTTTTTTTTTTTTTTTTTTTTTTTTTCCCCCCCTACGGTACTATTTAGCTGCAAAAATCTGAACTGGTCATACAATTTATGAACTATAAAAAGGGGAAATAATGGAACAAAGTGTGCATAATATGTGCGAAAATGCAACATAAAACGGTATATCAATCGTGTCAATCGTGCCAATCGTGTCAATCGTGCCAATCGTGTCAATCGTGTCAATCACGTCAATCACGTCTGTCACGTGGGTAAAAAATTAAAACATACGGATGCACTATGGAAAACACTGAAGTAGAAGATGTTGGAGAGAACATCAAAGTATAGGTAAACGCACGTACAACATGCAATTCAGGGTGTCCTGCTTGTGCATATTTACATATACACAATGTGTATGTAAATATGTATTAATATATATATATATATATATATATATATATATATATATATATATATATATACACATGTATAGATATGTATATAAATATGCACAACATGAACATGCAGAAAAAGCATCATTACATTCACTTTGAAAATGCAAAGAAGCTTTATCTTCCTAACACACCAATTAAAATGGAATTTAATAATTGTGTATGGCTTTGTTATGCACTAAATTAAAAAATGTATATACACATGCTATACATATATATACACATGCTATACATATATATACACATGCTATACATATATATACATATGCATACTATATACATTCCTATTTGTCGCATTGCTAAAGTTTTTATAGTAATTATGATACTACTACCAACACTGGACTGTTGCCATTGCAGTGCAGTTTAAAAAAAAAAAAAAAAAAAAAAAAAAGGCGTAAAGGATTTTCTCTTTTACTACATTTTCTTTTAAAAATAGAAAATTATCAATATTATAAAATTACAAAAAAAAAAAAGGAAGAAAGAAAAAAAAATATATTAAAACTAAAACAAAAGGGTTAAAAAATAGGTGAACACATTTTCAGAGAGGGGGGAAAGGTGGGAACCGGGGAAAAAAAAAAAAAAAAAAAAAAAAAAAAAAAAAAAATTATCGTCCACCCAAGGGAGATGTTCTTTTTAATTAATCAAATTTATTTTTTCGAATATATATATATATATATATATATTCTACTTTGCATATGCATTCGTTGGTCCCCTTTTTTTTTTTTTTTTTAAAATATTTGTTTTCACATCCTAAAAACATTATATTGAGAATTGTTTAATCTTACTACCACTACAAATGACAAAAGTGGTATTATTATATATATGTAGTAGAGAGGAAAGTAATTTAGTCGACACAACCCATCTAAGTCGCGTTCCATTTAATTAAGAAGGGGTAGGAGAATATCACAGCTAAAATAGTTAAAGGTGAGAGTGAATTCAAATAAAAACAGTTATTGTGCTAATGTATGCATAAAAATATATGTGCATATATGAACATGCGAATGCATGCATGTAGATGTGCTCTCACCCCTCGCTGTGTATCCACCAGTTGGGTAGTTAAAATTTCTTCTTAATGCAGTAGCTTGGGAGATGAACGTAAATTATGTGTATATTTTATTACATACACTATACACGTACACTATACCATACATTATATTTGTGCGTTATGTCTGCAGCATGCGTAGGGTTAAAAATTTCTTATCTCTAAAGTTAGGCAACAGGGTTAGAAAAATATCTTAAATCAGATAGATATGCATTTTTAAGCGTTCCATACAAATACTTAAATAGCGGGTCATTCACTTTATGATAATTTTTTTTTTTTTTTTTTTTTTTTTTGTTCATCGTTGGAAGAGGTTTTAATTTCTACACCAAAAATAGGAGATGAAAAATAACATTTTGTAGTAAGCAATACATGAAATGTTATTTCCAATAGAAGGTGTCCTTTAAAAAAAAAAAAATAAAATAAAATAAATAATAAAATAAAAAATTCGATTAGAAAACAACAGTTTTTGCTGCATAACGAAGGATGTGCATCAAGCATAAATAACAGACCCCCCCCCCCCCCCGTACATTAGCCATAATGCAACAAATTTAAGATTAGAACTTTTGCACAGCGTGAAAAAAAGGAGAAAAAAAAAAAAATTTGGAACAGTGTTTTATATGTATATATGTTCACGTGTGCATATATTCGTGTGTGGATGTGTGGATGTGTGTATATGTGCACATGTTCTAGTATATATATGTACATATCACAGCGCACCATTGTGCTAGTTGAAAAGAAAGGGGAGCTTGTCAATCTTCTCGAACCACGCTCCCCAAACGTGCTTAATGATAACGCGTTAAGTGAACATGATAAACGAGAAATATATGAAGCAATGTAGAAATGAAGAGACAATTATTCTGTTTTTGGCATATTCATTAGTGTGTTCTTCCATGCATGTGTAAAAGATGATACATTTTTTTTCTAGTACGCCTTATTCTGGCAGAATGCACAAATCAGAAGTAGTTATTATGCATTGATCAGACTTTCCTTTCCACTGTGAAATCAAAAAAAAAAAAAAAAAAAAAAGTTTGCTATATGATTGTCACCACAAGGAGAAAATAATGAATCTCTACATCTTATAAGCCAAACGCCGTTGTACATTTTTTTTGTATGAAACGAGTCATATTTTTTTTTTTTTTTTTTTTTTTTTTTTTTTTTTTTTTGGGGTGGGGAGGGTACATCAAGATGCATATCCTTAAAAGAGCACATTCAACCGTAAAGGTTAATAATTTATTTTTTAAAAAATTTTGTTTTCTAGTTAAAAGGTATTTTGCTTATGTCGATAAAAAAGGAATAGATATGAAGGGGTACTCGGGCTATTCGCTTCCTCATATTATGTTAGAGTCTGAAATTTTCCTGGAATTCAAGGGTGAGTCTAAGGAGGGATTCATGGCGCATCACGAGATGAGCAATGAACTTCGAGATGCATTTTTTTAAGAAGTTTCGCAATGGATTATAAGTGCGTAGGGGTACCACGAGAAGGATGCCCTCCCCCACAGCTACGGCCATGCACACACCAACACATCCCTACATCCACACATGAAAACATTCGTGTATATATGTATGCATGAAAACATTCGTGTGTATATGTATGCATGAAAACATTCGTGTGTATATGTATGCATGAAAACATTCGTGTGTATATGTATGCATGAAAACATTCGTGTGTATATGTATGCATGAAAACATTCGTATATATATGTATGCATGAAAACATTCGTGTGTATATGTATGCATGAAAACATTCGTGTGTATATGTATGCATGAAAACATTCGTATATATATGTACACATGCACGGCAGATACCACTTGTTCATGATCCCAAAACCTTGGCTAGAGCACTTTTATAGAGGAGCGAACGTTCGGGATCTATGCAAAGATGTGACATTCGATCATGTCATTTTACTTCTATTACAGAAAGGGTTACCTAGCGCAAAGGAATTGATTCAAAAAAATCTTTACATTCAAAATGAATTAAAAACATTTAATGAAAAGAATATTTTACAAATGAGCAGAATTTTGCAAATTTCTCATCCATTAGAACTGATTCGCATATCTTTACTTCAATTTGCACAACATGAAAAGGATAACAATGATTCCATTTCGAGCTATCTTAAAATATTAGCTGCATCTATAAAAATGCTTCCTTATTTTCATGGTTCACAATGCTTTTCTCCACACACACCCCAGAAGGAGTACACAGATTTAAGTTCTTTTATAATAGAAAATTACACCATCAAAGGATTCCAGACTGAATTCTCAGGTAAAACATATGAACCTAACGAGATAATCCAAAAAGAAGAAGATGGAAAAGAAAGAGAAAAAAGGACAATTTTATGGAAAAAGGAAAAAATCAAATTACTGAATACATTTTTAATATTAATGTGTGAACATGGCATCAATGAAAACACGTTTTTTGTACGAATGTTAAGTACTGTGCATGGCTACAATTATTTTAATATATGCCTCTCAGCTGTCACATTCTATATAGATATATTCAGGAATATTGATTTATACCATTCCATGAGGGGGTTCCTTCAGTTCAATGTTGAACACACCCCGTCTGATACCAGTTGTAGTAGTTATGAAAAAACAAAGAAATCAATGGAGATGATACCAAGTGTGAATTTTTTCTTTCACAAAAGCAACTGTTATAGAAAAAAAAATACTATTTTTAAAGAATACCTTACTGATTATTGCAAAAATACTTGTCAAGAAAATGTAGACTTACTAACTCATTTCAAACAAATAGAAACATTTTTTTTAAAAAATAAAAATAAATATCCCTCCTGCTATTATTATACCCTTTTAACATTTCACCTCATAAATTTACCATTGCAAATTCTACCTCCTCTATATTTTTTGATAAGATTACTCTCCTTCACAGCCCACATAAATGAACAAGTTGGAAATAACAAATTTGTGAAATATTCTGGTGTATACATAGGAAATCCACCTAAATTAGCATAACTATATGCATATGCATATATATATCAAAAATTTTAATATTTTCTAATACACACATAAAGGAAAGTAAGGTCAGATGGATATAGAATTTGGGATAAGGTATTTTTTCAATTGATTGCTATTTGCAGTGCTGTCTTTTCTTTCCTTTTCATGATTCTTTTTATTGTGTATTTCTATTTATTTTTCTTTCTAGTTACCCTTTTTTTTTTTTTTTTTTTTTTTTTTTTTTTTTTTTTTTAATCATCTTCCAATATTGTTTTGTCATTTTTTTTTTTTCTTTTTCACATAAAAAGTACAAAAATTGCAACTCAGTAATGGCTCTCATCTGATTTGTCTCTTTAACTAAAGGGGTAATAAAATAATTTCCTCCCCCCCACCTCAGAATAAATTACATCTTAAACATCCATCCTATGTGAGTCTAAAAAAAATTATCACTGTGTTTCATACATATGAAATAATATAAGTCTTCCCGTCTTTATATGTGTTGCTAAGTTTATGTATATTTTATACACCTTTATGTAGATATTTTTTTTTTGGTTTTTTTTTTTTTTCTTTTTTTTTACCCTAACGCGCGTGAAAATGAAATGAATGAATCAAACATGTTGGCAAGGAAAAAAGGCACGCTGAAAAATCTGGGCTGCACAAAATTACGTGATGCTAAGGTTTTTTTAAAATCTCTCTCTCTTTCTATATATATATATATATATATATATATACATATCTACACGCACGCAAGCTTCAATTAGAAGTGAAATAGACCAAGAGAAAAAAAAAACAATGTGCATATTTTGAGATTTTTTTTTTATTACCCTTAAAGTCTCAGTTCTGTTTACTCACTGAACTGACGTTTATCATCCAAAAATATAAGGACTATTTTTATTTGAACCTATTTCATCCTTAATGGTAAAAGGTGGAAAGGAAATACCTTATAGCATGAATGTAAAGGATGTGTAAATCCATGTGAAATGCACACATACAAAAAAAAATAAATTATGACATAAGATCTCCCAATCCTACCAACACACGAGAAAGCAGGCACAGGTGCACATTGCAAATGGTTTCCTCTCTCAAACACAACGTTTTTTTTTGCGTGTGCATATATTTTTCTGTATGCTTTATTGTTGTTAAAGCTAAAATCCGGAAGGTATTTTTCTTTCTCCCTCCTCTCCTACCCTTATACCAGTTCATTCAAAATGGTTAGAAAAATAGGGCTGAAATTGCTCCAACAGGGTCGCGAATGCCACAGCATTTTCTTCCCTTCACAGTTTAGAATTTAAAAACAGGTGCGTGTTGTCGGACGCACGCAAATGTACATATATACATGTGTTAAATTTTATGTTTTATTTTATTTTTTTTTACTTTTTAATTTTTATTATTATTATTTTATTTTATTTTCCTATGCGGTGTACTCCTGTTTAGGATATTCTGATGCAGGCTCTTCGCCTAATTACTTGCGAATTTGCATGAGATGATAAAATTTCATCCAGCTCCCCAAGCTTACCATTATGTATGCACATTTGCACAAACGTGTAAAAATATGAAAAAACATGAACAAACATGTAAAAATATGAAAAAACATGAACAAACGCGCAAAAATATGAAAAAACATGAACAAACGTGCAAATTTTTGAACATACATGAAAAAAATATGTGCATGTGTGCAAATATTTACGTGTACATTTTTGACTTGAGAGGGCTGGTAGCTATTTTGTCCCACTTACAAAGACTGATCACATGAACAGTCAGCTAACACCTTAGTTAAGGCACCAGCGCCATATAATAATTAAGTGTACAACACCTTGCCGTGCAGGTGAAACGTGTCTTCAAGTGCGCATACGCGTGCATGTGCATGCGAATGTTCATACGTATGTGCATATTAGTATATATTCATATATGTAAGTATACATATATTCATATATGTAAGTGTATATATATACATATATGTAAGTGTATATATATACATATATATATGTTAATGCATATATATTTACCCTATGTACACCTTTTTGCGTTGCTCCATGTATGAGCACGTGCAGCAGCACCACCCATTCCCTACAACCACAATCATCACTTCTAGCAAGAGCTGTGCAGAATATAACATGCTTAAATTCCTGCAGGATATAGATGTAGCCAAGAAGAAAATCCTGAATACTATTAATAACAAATTTACATTATCGAGTAAAAACCATGATTCTCTGTTTCCAGATGAACAGGAAGAAAATATGAACCACATATTTGAACCGGATGTATGTTTGTCTCATGTGAAAGATTCAGTTCAAAATGATACTGATGCATGTCGCAAGATTTCCAGCAAAAAGAGTGAAGGAACACATCGAAAATTTCTCATCCAGTGCAACGATAGAAAGTGCAGTGGTGACCAATCCATTCAATGTAATGATGAATCAAGAACAAGTTTGATTCATTGCAATGAATCTAACCATTCATGTGGTAAAAATGAAAAAAGGGAAGATGAATCTGCGAATGCACATCTAAAATGGAGAATATGGAGGAGAGAATTTGCACCTGCATGCCAAACTCAATATGGGCAAAGCGACGAGGAGGGAAAGGATTATAAAGATGATAAGAATTTAGATGAAGAGGTGGATGATGACGTGGGTGAGCGGACCCATCACTGTAGCGTCGAACCGAACGGTCAGATCGAGGAGAAGTATAAAATAAGAATCCGTGGGAAAAGAGGATCAAATTTGAAAAACAATCCAAATGTTGGAGGAAAGAGAAGAAGCGGTGGAATGGAAAGCAGAAAAGAAAGAGAGGAAGAAGAGAAAGTAGAGGAAGAAGAGAAAGAAGAGAAAGTAGAGGAAGAAGAGAAAGAAGAGAACGAAGAGGAAGAAGAGAAAGAAGAGTACAAAGAGAAAGTAGAGGAAGAAGAGAAAGAAGAGAACGAAGAGGAAGAAGAGAAAGAAGAGAACAAAGAGAACGAAGAGGAAGAAGAGAAAGAAGAGAACAAAGAGAACGAAGAGGAAAAAGAGGAAGAAGAGAAAGAAGAGAACAAAGAGAACGAAGAGGAAAAAGAGGAAGAAGAGAACAAAGAGAACGAAGAGAAAGAAGAGAAAGAAGAGAAAGTAGAGAACGAAGATGAACTCAGGAATGACCACAGAAGCCACACGCCCACGAAGATGGATAGACATATTCGAGATGAAAGTGAGAATAGATGCAACCAAGTCAAAATGATTCCACAGGGGCTGTGTAATAAGTCTTCTTCAAATGTAAGTTGTGTAAAAGCTTGTAGTGAATCTGAAAGAGAATTTTCTGTGGAAAGCAGAATAATGCTTACCAGTACAAAGGGATTTCATAAAGAGATGGAAAGAGCTCCGACTGATAAATTTGAAATGGAAGGGAGAAAAGATAACGGAATCGAGACAAAGACAGAAATACAGGAGAGAAGAAACAAAAAAGACATTGCAGTTGCTACGAATATTTTTGTAGAATCAACATTTTATAATAATTTCAAGAAAGAAATTGCCAATAACCTGATTTATAATTTTTACCATGAAGAGTATGAAGCTATAATGAATCAACTGCCCTTGGAGAAGAAGCAACCATGTGAATTTCAAATTCTATTGAAATGTGGTGAGAAAGGTGAAATCACAGATGGGAGTCAGAAGCGTGAATTACAATTGCAATTGCAAAGAGAAAAAAAGATGAACGTTCAAGATTGGGCTAGCAAAGTGTGCGAGCTTGTTGTTCGAGACACAAAGGGCTTATTTGATAGTCTCATCCTCTGTAATGAAGATATAGAACATTTAAGAAACATGAGTAGGGACAAAAAAATATATTTAGATGAAATTTCCGAGCTGAAAAAGAAAAATAAAATGCTTAATGATATAAATGAAAGGCAAACGAACCAGTTGTTACAATTATCTTGCCAGATATCATCAAACATAAAGAATGATTTTGAAGTGAATGAACAAAATTTTTTACATGAGAAAATTGATTATATGGAAAAGGAAATCAAACAACTACAAGGAGAAAAAGTTACTTTAGAATCTTTAGCAAATGATAAACTTGCATGCATTAAAAAAAATTATGAATTAAAATGTTTTTTAAAAACTTTAGAAAATGTTGTTCATAAAAAATCACAAGCTTGTATTTCTCTAAAGCGAGAAAAACAAGAATTGCAAGAAAAGTTAAAACTTTATTTTGAAAATTTGCAACTCGCAAAGGAGGATTTAAATATGTATAAATTGGCTTTCTTGGAAAACCAGCGAGCGCAGAAACATCTTGCTTATCAATTTAAGAACCTCCTTAGAACCCATTCCAAAACGGCTAGGTGTGCACACATTGGAAGTGGCACATCGATAGCTCACTCGAAGATGCAGAAGATAAAGGGGTTGAAGAAGACAAAGAAATTGAAGAAGATGAATCACCTAAAGATACTACGCCAATATGTGCTTGGAGAAGAACACCCAATTGTGCACAGCATGAAGATCTGTAATGTTAGATGTAATGTTAGATGTAATTTTGGCTGTAATGTTAGATGTAATTTTGGCTGCAATTTTGACTGCAATTTTGGTTGCAATTTTGGCTGTAGCTGTAGTGGCCGCTGTAGTCGTGACCCACGTGGAACCCACAATGCCACAGCTCATTCTGAATCTGCATGTGGGCAAAGGATAGATGTACACGAAGGAATAGCCAAAAGGAGAAGCGTAAGCGACACACCTAAGGAGAATATTTCAAACTATGATTCTCTCACGAAGGAGGAACTTGCACACAAAGTAAGGATGTACGAACTTGTGTTAGATGAATGGAAATCTGTGTCAATTAAAAACAAAAGTAAAAATGACACGGAATTGAAAGAAACAAAAAAGTTATTATCACAAGAAAGAGCAAAAAATGCACTGATTGAAAAGAAGTATCAGTCTGTTTTAAAAGAAATTACAATAGTAAGCGAAGAGACGGAGCGGCAAATGGAGCTGCAAATGGAGAGGCAAATGGAGCGGCAAACGGGAAGGCAGGTGGAGTGGCAGACGAAGCAACAGACAGAGTTACAAACGAGTGGGAAGGAAGAACTGTTGAAGTATGAAGGCAGCTATGAATATCGAACTTGCTTAAAAATACAAGCACTTTTAAACGAAATAAATTTCCTAACAAAAGAAATCGAAAGATTACGAGAGGATCAGCTCCTGCTTCAAGAGGGTGTCAAAAACAAAAGTGAAATAATATCTCATCTTATAAAGCGACATGCCCTTAGTGAGGAACACTTCAGGTATACATTTCCAGTCATTAGGAATTTTTTACATACGCATGCATAAAACACGTGTGCAGTGCTATGTCTCCATGCGTGCAGTGGTGTGTGCTTTTTTTTTTTTTTTCACATCCACACGTAAATACATGAATAGGAAAACATGCATAGGAAAACATGCATAGGAAAACATGCATAGGTAAACACGAATAGGTAAACACGAATAGGTAAACACTTGCACATGTCAACACTTTGATTCCTCTCGTCCGTAGGCTAGACACCAATCTTTCCATCTCCAAAGACAAGCTGACGTACGAAGAAATGTGGAAAATAATGGAAGAAACTCTCATCGAAAATATTCGCTTGCGTTCCGATTTGTTAACCTTGGCCAAATCGGTTCAATATTAAAGTTCCACTTCATGAACTTTTTCTCCTAGGACCCCAGTAAAAGGGGAGTTGTTGGTGGTGGTGCCTGACTTGGCAATTTCTCCAGCCCACTTTTGTTCAAACCACCCCTACTTACACCGTCATTGTGTACTGCTAATAGTGTGAATAAAATATGCAGTTTTTTTTTTTTTTTTTTTTTTTTTTTTTTTCTTCTCCCTTTTTATTTCTCTTTTCTTCTTCTTCGCATACTTTGAGCTCACTGGGCATTTCCACTTCTTTATTTTTTTGTCCTTTTTTGTCGCCAAAAGAGCAGCTTTTTTTTTTTTTTTCTCTCTCTCTCTCTCTCCCCTAGACACCCCACATCATGTTAAGTGATATATTTTGAACACAGTTTTCTGACAAATACTTATTTATAATGGCCTTCCTAAGAACAGTCTTCTTACTATCATTTGACAATCCATCAAAAATGTTTTTCCCTGATAACCTTCCCAAGTGATAAGCAGAATAACTTAGAAATGCCTGAAATAAATTTCTGTTAACAAGATTTGAAAGAGTAACCTGTTTTGAATTATTTTTAATTTTGTTTTTATGTTCTTGAATAAATTCATCACATATTCTTTTATTAAAAATGGAAATCATAACTTCTAAATTTCTCCTGGAAGAAAATCGATCCCAATTATAAGAACCAACAGCGCACCATAAATTATCTACAACTAAATTTTTTGCATGACAATGCTTATTCTGAAAAAAATAAAATTTACTATTCCCTTTTTTCTGTTTTTTTCGAAAATTATCTCCTAGTTTCAATTCTGCACGTTTTCTCAAATTTTGCAGATATATATTGTTCTTTATTTGTATCCTTATTGGAATTACTCTAGATTCTCTGGGAGAAACCAATGAATCAAGATTAATGTCATTCCTAGAGCCACAATCATTAGTAACATGCATGGTATTCTCATCCCTTTCCAATTTAACTTTCTCTTTTTGAAATTTCCTTAAAAATTTTTTCACGATGTAATATGTTGCTGGTACATCTCCCATAATATCTGAGTTTCCAGAAAAAAGAAATGTAATATTTACTCCATTGTTCAGGGCTGAAAACAAAGCTCTTCTTAAGAACCCGGGTGGCATAAAATAGCTAGTCGTTATATGAATATTCTGTGTAGCTCCGTTTTTAATAATCCATTCAAAAGTAGACTGAATGGATTTAACTTTTCGAAGAACATTCGACTCAAGCACTTGTACAAAACATGAATTACCACTATTATCCATATATTTTTTCTGATTTTCAATTGGTTCTCTCTTTATTGAGCTTCTCGTCATCTTGAGAGAATCAATAAATACATCTGCGAGATCTTTTACAGCTGGTCCTTTCATCTTTATGTGTAAATCATAGTACTGCAACGGGCTACTTCTGCTCTTTTTTTCTGTCGTTTCCAATTTTTTTTGCTTCCCTCTGGTTTTCCCACGCGTAAAGGGAACAATCCCCTCCTCCCAATCATTTGTGCGCTCGCCATCTGGCCCTACTTCTCCCAGTCTTTCCTCTCCCAATTCTGCATCTAGCAATCTAGTATCTGAATCAGCCCCTCCCAGTTTTTCCTCTCTCTCGTGGATACTCCAGCTTGTCCCACTTGGAACAACATTCTCAGAAACATTCATAGAACCACAGTAAGCGGTATTATCTAGTATGATAATTTTTCTATGATCTCGAAAGAAAAAGGGCAGCATGTTCAGAAAAGAATTCAAAAATGTGTTAAAAAAAAGAACATGCACATGATTCTCTCGGAGCCTGGTCACCCATTTATTTTTCATTTTTAAACTACCAATATAGTCAATTAACAAAATAACATCACACCCTCTTTTCCCTGCATTACATAAACTATCAACCACTTTTTCAGCTAATTCGGAGTCATCAAAAATGTAGGATTCAAACCATACCCTTTTTTTGCTCTTATCTATTGATTTGAGAATATGTCTAAATGCTACATTTCCATCATTGTATATTTTTATTTTATTTCCTTCAGATGATTTTCCATATTTTTGTGTATTTCTTTTTAAAATATAATTCCATTTTTTTTTAATCCTTTCTTTTTCATTTTGATCAACATTTAGTTGTTTCACGTTTTCCTCAACCAACTTCTCGATGTTAATTCGGTTTTCTCCACTTTGCTGATTTTCTCCACTTTGCTGATTTTCTCCACTCAGCTGGTTTTCTCCACTCAGCTGGTTTTCTCCACTCAGCTGGTTTTCTCCACTCAGCTGGTTTTCTCCACTCAGCTGGTTTTCTCCACTCAGCTGGTTTTCTCCACTCAGCTGGTTTTCTCCACTCAGCTGGTTTTCCTCGTCCTCTTCATATCCTTTCCTCCCACGGAATAAGCTCTTTTTCCAAACATTCCAATAAGCATCTTTCACGTCCTTCTGCTGCATTTTCATGAATGAATCCTTGGGATGTACCCACTTCCACTCGTTCCTTCATGTGTGGTACTCCTCTCCCACTCTGTCTCTCATAAGTGTGTATTTTTTCTCTAATGTATCCTCTTCTTCTGCTTCTTCTTCTTCTTCTTCTTCTGTATAATATCAAAACAATCACAAAAATTCATCCCTCCCTAGTACCACCCTTTGGGGGAAGAAAACTGTGCAGGCAGGTACTTGCAGAAGGGCGGCATGTTCGCGAGCAGCGAAAAAAAAAAAAAAAATTCAAAAACGGTTCAAAAATTATTGGAAAATGGATGGGAAACGATTGGAAAATGGATGGGAAATGGTTGGAAAATGGATGGGAAACGATTGGAAAATGGTTGGGAAATGGTTGGAAAGCAAAAATAAGCTTGAAACACGAGCAAAGACCGAGCAAAAAAGTTCGACGCGATGCCTCTCGAATGATACAGAAAAAGGGCATGTGCCCCCAGCCCCCACTCTCAGGTGGCATAAAAATGTGGAGAAAAAACACTAACTTCTGTTTTTTTTTTTTTTTTTTTCTTTTTTCCTCGACTGTGTCACACCAGGCTGTGCAAGTTCTGAGTCCATTCCTTTCCTCCAACTATCGTGAAATGTAAAAGCAAAAGCAAAAGCAGAAGTAGATGCAGATGCAAAAATGAAAACAAAAGTGAAAGCAAAAATTGAAGCCGCAAAAGGAAAATCTCAAATTGAAGAAGTGAAAAAATTAAAAACAAAAAAAAAAAAAAAAAAAGAGAAAAAAATTTACTGAAAGGAATGCGTTCGTCAACACATCATGTAGAGCCCTAGGCACACTTTCACTTTTTTGCAAAACGCATGCAAAGTTGGGTTCATTGAAAAGAATAAAAAAAAAAAGCTAGTCAACTAGACGGATATTATGTTTTCCTTTTCAAAGGGGCACTGAACAAAAAAGTAAAGAATGGAAAAGCACAAAAAATGAATAAATGAATGAATAAGAAATAAAGTAAATAAAGGTGTAGGAGTAAGACCATCAGGGGAGAAGCGCTAAAGTGAGAATGGAGGATATTGTATTTGTATTTTTCTTTTTTTTCTTTCTTTTCTTTTTTTCGAAAAAGTGCAAAAAGGAAAGCAAAATGCATAAACACGCAAGTGTGCACGCTCACTATGATGTTATGGAAAGTGTGAAATTTCACTTACAATTTTGGAACATATCGAAATATTAAAAATAACATCAGCGAAATGTGTAAATTATTTTATTATGATATGTAATTTTGGGTAACGTTTGAGAGATTCCCTTTTTTTTTTCTTTTTTTATAGTATTGTAAGAAAAAAAAAAGGGAAAAAAAAAGGGAAAAAAAAAAGAGAAAAAAAAAAGAAGAAAAAAAAAAAAAAAAAAAAAAAAAAAAAAAAAAAAAAAAAAAAAAAAAAAAAAAAAAAAAAAAAAAAAAAAAAAAAAAAAAAAAAAAAAAAAAAAAGAGAAAAAAAAAAGAGAAAAAAAAAAGAGAAAAAAAAAGAGAAAAAAAAAGAGAAAAAATGATTCCACTTCAGTCGAACCCGTGAAAAGTGGAATGCAACTCTTTAGGCATATTTTTAATTTGCATATAAAATAGATGTAGAAATATATTACGCTTTGTTCATATAATAATGTAGGGGGTTTCCCCACTTACGTAGATTCAAATGATAACTCACACGCAGCAGACAAGAGCATCCACTGTTCTTCTAGTTGGCACTTGTAATCTCACACAGACTAAGTGTATAATTGCTGTAATTCAGAAAAGAGTAAAGAAAAAGTAAAAATAAAACAAATTATAACAAAATATAGCAAAATATAGCAAAATATAACAAAATATAGCAAAATATAGCAAAATATAACAAAATATAGCAAAATATAGCAAAATATAACAAAATATAACAAAATAAAACGGACAAGTGGGTAAATATTTCCCTAGAATGAGGTTCCTATTTTTTTACCCGATTCTCTGTTCTGCTTTTGTAAAGAATGTCGGCTCCATCTTCCACCACAATTTCTCTTTCACATTCAAAGAAGTGAAACAAGTAATGGTCTAATGAGTGAAAACAGCTAGTGCATATGGAGGCATTTTGTCACCACAATGCAACCAATCCTCAAGGAAAGTGCTTCAAGAGAAGAATAAAATAAAAATAACTAAAATAAATGTCCAAAAAAAAGTGACAAAAATATGTGTCCAAAAAAAAGTGACAAAAATATGTGTCCAAAAAAAAGTGACAAAAATATGTGTCCAAAAAAAAGTGACAAAAATATGTGTCCAAAAAAAAGTGACAAAAATATGTGTCCAAAAAAAAGTGACAAAAATTTGTGTCCAAAAAAAAGTGACAAAAATTTGTGTCCAAAAAAAAGTGACGAAAATATGTGTGAACGAACCCTCCTTTTTAAGGTCAGCACGAGCAAAAGCGACATCAACAAATTCGAAATGGAACTCATGTTATCATTCAACAAGCAAATGACTTCAAAGGAATTCTTCTTGACATCTTTCATACCTGCGAGTAAGTTTGAAACCATCTTCTCCTCCGCGCCCTTTACGTAGATTCGTCTGTTGATTGCTTTTTCTTCTACCGACCTGTGTTTTTTTTTTTTTTTTTTTTTTTTTTTTTGCATTTTCTCTACTTATACTCTACCCTAAACCCTGCCTCGACAGAAGGAGATATTTTGCGTCCCCTCAAAATGTCAACTTCTTATATTCACTTATTGCTTTTTTCTACCCTTAAGAAAACTTGCATGTATTGTCCTTCAAAAGAGATAACAACAGTGGCGAGCAAGAAAATGTAGAAATTCGTCTTAATAAAGAAGAAGTTAAAGAAAAGGGTAGATGCAGCTTCAAACAGGAAAAATAAATAAAAAATAAACAAATAAATGAAAAAAAAAAAAAAAAAATAAAATAATAATAATAATAATAATAATAATAATAGACAAGTGAAAGGATAAAATATAGCAACACGACACGTTCATGTACGTATGGACAAATCCACACACAGAAGTGCATACCCATTCAGTCTTTCCTACAGTGTGCATAATCACACATTTCCCCACCACACCCCATCGTAGATCCATGCGATTATCAGATAACATCCAAAATGTACCTACTGAAGTTACACACTGAAGAATTAAAAAAATTTAAAATTTATCGATATCCTTTTACAAATAAACAGAACCCTCCAGAAGTCCCGTCCCAATATGAATACTCTGAAAAATCTCTAAGTAATTATTACACACACATATGGAGAGACAAATATGGAGATGCATATGAATATATGTGATAAAATATATTCCAAAAAAAAAAAAAAAAAAAAAAAAAAAAAAAAAAAACACACATTAAAAATTAACATAATTATTCATATACCTACACATATGCATGTATACAAAAAATATTCCTTCATAACCATATCACAATCATATGCATTAATATTAATGTAACAATTTTTTTATGTTTTTCCTCTTTTTTTTTTTTTTTTCTTTCTTCTTCTTCTTCTTCTTCTTCTTTGGTTCCTCCATTTTCCTACCTGGATAGAAAACTTCTTTCCGAGTGAAGGAATAATATACGCTTCTAATTATTATTTAAAATTTTCTGTGGAAATTAACAAGAACCAATTTAACTCGGATGATATATGGTAAGTTTACTTGTAAAATGATACGAATGAGACAAGAGGAACTTTAGGGAAAATGGGGAGAGACGTACACCCGGTTGAACTATACTGGTACACTTAACAGGATAAGATAATATTTATGATGTATACCCACCCCGTTGTGCTGTTAGTGAGACATGAAAATGATGTATTAACACTTGTAAAAAAAAAAAAAAATAATAATAATGAAGCGGTGAAACGATGAAGCGACGAAACGATGAAGCGACGAAACGATGAAGCGACGAAACGATGAAGCGACGAAACGATGAAACGATGAAATAGTAAAAAATTAAAATACTTTTTTTTGTAGGATATTTTCCATTTCTGAAAAGAATAAATTTAACACGGGAAATCAAGAGTGTGTAATTTACTCTGGCCAATTGGCCGAAGTCTTTTTGCCACGGGCGACCCACAACGACACTTTCCTCCTGTACTGCAACAGTACCACAAATGCAGAAGTATAAAACATGTGCATGTCTGATGGGGACACACACACGCCTTTAACTCCCACGCGTGACATGATGATATATATGTCTGCTTTGAAAACCTTGATTGTGATACGCACCTGCTCTCGCTGCTGTCCCGATCGAGAACCTCTCACATAAATTTGCATCCATTACAAACCCTTTGAAGCTACTAAACTTAGTCCCTGAATTAAGAAGAAAATTTGATGTTCAGATAAAAGCCACTAAAATGTTTTATGGAGCACAGGATGCGATATACATTGTCCAAATGGATTTGGAAAAAATTGCTTCTCCATTGAAGTTGAGTAAGAACGTGAGAAAAAAATTGAGAAAAAAGTTGAGGGTACCCCCATAGAAAATCTTATTTAGCACAATGGGTGAGGGGAAAAAAAAAAAAAAAAAAAAGAAAAAAAAAAGCGTTCTTACACTTCATCTCTGTGTGCAGATATATGCATCTTTTCACTCACATAACCGTTTTCACGTGTCACCCTGCATCCCCACTCCACCCTATCTTCTTTCGATTCTAAGACCAAGTGATGATCAGGATGAAACTGCCTTTGGACCTCTGCTATGCCAACTCTTGCTTTAGCAAAAACCGGGAGAACCCATGCTCCAACATAAAATCAAATCCATTTGACGAGTGCACTTACATATTTAGAAATTATGAATTTATTTTCAAATCAAAGGAGAGTAAGGTACGCCCTGGAATGTCCCCGACAGTATAGCCACCACACCCCACTGTCAACAGAAACAGACAGAAAACAGAATAATAAGCAAAGCATCTTTCACTGTCAATAAGAACAATAACGAAAGATGCAACACATCTCCTACTCAACGTTAGAAATGTTTCCCCACTTTGCTTCTCTCCTCCCCCGTGTGCAGGATATTAAGGGTAAAATAGAAATTGTCATAGAAAATATGAACAACCCACTCTTAAATTTAGAAAGTGATAAAAATTGGAAGATAAACTTGTTTACTATCGACAATTCAAGTTTTGTAATTACTATGGAACATAAAGAAATATTAGAAAAGGTTTCCCATGACATATGTTCCAAAAAATTTATAAAGAAATTTGTAAATATATATGAAGACACTACAATGTGGAAAAATTCCCACCTTGTGTTAGTACAAACTCCGCAGTTGATCCCTCTCTTAGTGGAAGTAAGAAACTCATCTTGAAAAAAAAAAAAAAAAAAAAAAAAAATCGAAAGTGGAAGAATAAATAGAATAAAATGGCACAAATGGAGACACAAAGGCATAGACCACACCAAACCTTGCCTTAAAGAAGGTCTTTCATCCATATTATAAGCAGTACCACAGGAAAGCTATCACAACTATTGATTCTTCATGTCATTACTTCACCATGTCACCACCTCACCATGTCACCACTTTGCAGCCTATCAACCAGCAGGGGCTCCTTGAAGATCCTCTCATAATTCAACTAAGAGTCCGATTCCCAGATACCAACGCATTCAACAAATGCATCATAGAACTGAAATCCATCCACAGATTCACGTCAGCTGGTAGCAGAAGTGAGCATAGGTTTAACATGTACAATCACAAATTGGTTTTACCCAATTCTGTATTCAAACCAGTTGAAAGGGATGAAACCATTTTGCAAATAGAAAAGGAATCTATCAAAAATAATGACATTATACAATTCGCTATTAATGTAAATAAGTATAATAATAAAGAATATTGGAAATTTACACTTATCTGCTTAAATAATCAAGACAAATATGTGAGGGAGGCACAAACGCTGTTTACTTATCCCATAGAAAATAAAAAAATATTCATAAGTGATTTATACCTTAGAGAAAAAGTTGGACCCAATACATACCGTTTTTACTTGAATATATTTGTATTCGATGAGAAGGAGGTAGAAATTAAGTTGTCACTTAAAAATAACGCGACGAATGGTTTAACAGGTTCTAATAACGCAATAGTAACAAATTTCAAAACACATCTGACCGATGCATGTGAAGCATATGTACATACGTCTTGCTACAACTTAGTGTTTCATGAATGCTCCAAATCGGAACAAGCCATATTGTATCAAATAAATTCATACAAATCTACAAACAAACATTTCACTGCACTATTTCCTCTCGTAATTCCAGAGGGAGAAAAACAATTCCATTTACAAGTTAATGTAGAAACAAAAAAACATGAAATACATGTCCAAAAAGATATCCAAGTACGTGTTGATGACATACTTATACATAATGCAAAAGCACCTTGTGTAAATAATCTAATTTCAGTATTAAAGAAGTATAAAACACATGAAGAATCTCATTTGTTTCTTCTATTTAAAACTGTGAATTGTCACAAAATTTATGAACCTTTCCTAATTAATCATCAAAATAATGAAACCTTTTATGCAAAAGTGGATTCATCAGAAAATAATGACAAATTTACATTTCAAAAAATGTATAGACAAACATATCCAACCAATTATCAATCCATATCACAAAATATATTTGACTCTCATGTAATTAGCATCATTACTATTGTTCTAATTGATGATTCACTTTTTTTAAATACACACATGAGAAATGGGAAGGAAGAATTTCTACAATTTTTGAAAAACAAAAAATTTCCCTTCCGATTCAACAAATATTACGTAGTTAACTATTCCAATCAAAATGTACTCATAAATCTGTACAAATATATCGATGCTGGGAATGTTAAAATTGATATTGTGCAAAAATCTTCAGACATACAAAATGTCGCAGCAGCATTAGACAAAGTCATTGCATTTGCTGAAAATGCCAAGCAAACAGAAAATTATTACATGCATAGTGAATACAGCATTTTGCTATTAACCGATATCAAAGGAATGGAAAATGTAAAAACAGTTACAGATAAATATGTAAAAAGTGAAAATGATATAAATAAAAATTTTTCAAGAATATATGTTATATCTTTTGAAAATGGACATTATTCTAACAGTGATATGTTTAACGAGTCTATTCAAAGTGTGCGAGATATGTATACATATAATAAAAAAATGAAAGACGATATTTTATTCATTTCTTTTCATAAATATACTATTGATGAAAGACTAATGTTGCATTATGCAAAAGCTGTAATACAAGATTATATCCTTTTGCACATACATATTTATAAAACAGCATGGTATTTAATAGGAATATGTAGGTACAACATCATAAAAAATAGCCCAACAACAAGAAAGTTGCATTTGTATTACGTTGATAAAAATGTTAAAACTGTTACTTATACAATATCTTCAGACGAGGCTAAAAAAGTTCTCGACAATTCTTCCCCTTCTTCCTTTCAAGACATGTGCAACATTTTTACACAGACTCAGTTATTGGGACACACTTAGTGTTCATCCTTCAACGCTTTGGTGGTTTATTCCTTTTTTCAGTTAGAAAAAAAAAAAAAAAAAAAAAAAAAAAACGTATTCCACAATGGAATATTTTTTACATCATAATTAGGAGTCTCTTTCGTGCACAAAATTTTATTTTGGATCATATACCTATTTTCGTAACGAACAACTGGGTTCTGTGGCTTGCCATATATTAGGGCTTAATCCAAACAATCAACAACTAGCCTTTTTAAAAAACAAAACGGGGAAAAAAAATATGACTTATTCATACAAATTTACATACTTTTTTAAAAAAAAAAAAAAAAAAAACGGAAAAATAACGGCTAGCTGAATTATTTCACATATATATATATATATATATATATATATATATATATATATATATATATATATATATATGAATGAGCACTTATACACACTTGTGCGTGCTTTTTTTTCGAAATAAATTTCATTATACACATCATGTATCATCCTGTTTCTTGTAACACTAACGAACATGCTACATCAAATGAAACTTAATTTTTTTTTTTTTTTTTTTTTAATGTAAGTGTTTCTTTTAATTTTGGACTTTTTTTTTCAATTTGGCTGATTTTACGAAAAATATTCAAAGTTATGTCTTTTTTACACTACCCCAAGAAAAATGCTCATTTAGATTTGTGTCTTCTAAAAAAAACTAATCTTGTGTGTCTTAAGTTTTTTTTTTTTTTTTTTTTTTTTGTTTACTCTGGGGTTTTACTTAAAAAACCATTCTCAATTTAATATCCATCCTTCTTCAGTAAACAAAAATAGTAGTGCCTAATTTTGACAACCTCAAATTATTAAAAATTTAAGAGGGTAAGTAAAATGTAATACGAGAAATGGTGCTAATTTTAAATTAATGAGGAACAGTTGGGGGAAAAAAAAAAAAAAAAAAACATACCACATTGTATATTCAAAACACACCCCTGCAAATGTGTGCTTTTTTTTTTTTTTTTTTTTTCATTCAACTTTCAGTAATATTTCCTTTTACTTTGCAACTATGTTGTAACAGATTAGTGTTGAGACTGCTCTGTAACATTTCCTTAATGTTTCACTAAATTGTAAAAGAATGTAGGGGAAACGCAATTTAGAAACTAAAAAAAAAAAAAATATGTACATTTTTAGATACAATTGAGTGTTAGTGTTGTTGTTGTTGGGGGTGGGTGGGCTCCTGTATTATTCACGAGTCCATTGAAATATGAAAAAAATGAGGAAAAAAAAAAAAGATGAACATAGAACCATGGGAGTAGCAAATTTTTCTTTTCATTTTTTTTCACACTATTAGTAAAAGTGATGTAATATATATAGTCTCGCAAAGTGCGACTTTTAAAAATTCGTATATATATATATATATATATATTGTTCTATATTTTTGAGTGATTTTATGTTCACTTTTAATGTGCTACAAGTTAGTGCATCTTCGAGCGTACATTCTTTAACGTGTGTCCCCCCGACTTATAGAAAATGTGTATATGTTCATACGTAAATATATATATGCGTATGTGCACTTATGAACTTTCACTTTTTATATTTTCCTTTTCTCCTAATTTAAATACAGGGAGAAATGTGTTTCCATGTAAAAAATGCTTATACCGTTCATGTACTATGCAACTGTGTTATTTATGTACGTGCATGAGAGTGCATTTTTTTTTTTTTTTTTTTTCCCTCCCCCGTCTTGAATTACATTTTTTTTTCAATCTACATTTGTGTCATCTTCGCTAATTGTTGTTTATTGTTAACCTCTTCGTTTCTTTTTTTCTCGAAAATAAAAGCATAGGGGGGGGGGGGGAGTTCATACAAATGACGTGTGCATATATTCGTCCCTTCCGCAGCGCCTGTGCATATATACATACATATGCATATATACTTATGTACATGTTAAACGCACAGGAATGTTCAGGGGATGGAAAATGTCAAATACGTGTGCACCCATTTATCACACGTGTTAAATCTTTTGTGTAATTTTTTTTTTCAAATATGCCTTTTTTTGCAAGATTAACTTTCTATGAAAGACTTCGTAGAGACAAAAGTACTAGCTGGCTTATGTAGTAAGACTTAGTGAGACTTGAAACTTTTACATTCATGGAGAGGGGTTAGAACAATTATATAAATAATATAGAAAGTGTAAATAATTTGTATGAACGTGTACATATTTTTTGTTATATTGTCAACCTATTTTGATAAGTCTCGTGGAAATACATAAAATTGTGTGGGGTATAAAAAGCATAAGAGGTAAGGGAAACAATAAAGAAAAAAAAAAAAAAAAAAAAAAAAAAAAGTACACTTATTTTTAAAATATTTCCCCAACGTTTTTTTTCTGAATATAAATTTACTGTGCAAAAAAAAAATTCACCCCTATTATCTTAACATCTCTTTTTCATATTACTATGTCCTGTGGGGTTAAAAAAGCATTGCTGCGTATAATACATGGGCATGTCCACGTGTATGTCTACGTCTATGTCAACATATATGTATATATAAACGAGCTTATGTACACCTTTTCCTTACCTTGAGAGGGGCAATCAATTCTTTACATTCTAAACGTGTATGCTTTTTTGCTAGTATAAAATGACGTAGTGACATGCGAAATGGCTTTTTTTTTTTTTTTTTTTTTTTCCCCTTTGTTCTGTATATTTACTCAACTTAACAATTACACTTTTGTTATGATTTCTATGGGGTAAACGTTCATACGGGGATTGTATATATATATATATATATATATATATGAATATATACATAACGTATGTAAACATGCATTTAGGGAAAGTTGTATATGGATGTATTATTTGTAACCTTACCGATAAGGAACAAGTTTTTTTTTTTTTTTTTTCTTCTTTCAAAAAAAGAAAATTTATTCTAAATTTGTTTATTTCTTCGTATTCATTATTGATTTGTGAATTTATCTCCCACGATAATTACGTGCTGGTAATTTTTAAGTTTACCCATTTGCAAAAAAAAAAAAAAAAAAAAAAAAAAAAAAACCTACGCTACACTACACTACTACTTTTTTTAATTTAATTTTTTTTTTTTTTTATATTTTTTTTTCTCAGATTTGTGCTTTTTGGTTTTTATTTCGCTTTTAACTTTTATGAAAAATTTACTAGACTATTTTTCACATGACCGATTGTTTATCCATTTTGTATTATTTCATCCTTAAGTTATTTCTCTTTTTTTTTTTTTTGTGCTCTTTCATTCTTACATTTTTTCTCTTTTTTTCGTATTTTTTTATTTTCCCCTGATATGAGAATATACCCAATTGTTGAAAAGGCATGTACAAGAAAAGCAATGCCAGAAGGGGGGAAACAAAATGTTTATTCGAGAATAGAAGTAGGAAAAAAAAAAAAAAAAAGATATAAACAGAAAGTACACGTATGGAGTACAAAAGTGGACGTACAAACATAGAAGCACATGCATAGCTAAATAAATACATACATGTACCTAAACATAGATAAACATACATAAACGTAGATAAACGTAGATAAACGTAGATAAACGTAGATAAACGTAGATAAACGTAGATAAGAATAGATAAACAACACGGATAACTTTCCGTCTCTGTTTGCACTTCCCTCTCCCCAAAGCACAACTTTGGGCAGCTAAATTTCTGTGCGTGGAAAAACTGTTTTTCCATGCGAAGGGGGAACTCAAAAAGTAAAATATAAATAATACAAAAAAAAAAAAAAAAAACTGGAGAGTTTTGTTGTATGGACATACGAAAGAGGCTATAAGAAAAAGGATTTACAAACAAAATGGAGAAAAAAAAAAAAAAAAAAAGATTTTCATTCCAAGGGTATTTTAAAAAATCAGAAAATTCACTGAACCGTGAAAAGAATGGTGACACGAATAGCAGCAATGCCACGAACTGCAGCAATGACAACTTTGATAAGAACCACGGAACATATCATAACGAATCAGAAGGAAATCTGAATAACAAATTAAGAAAACAGTTTTGTAGTTATCCCCTTGGGTTAGTAGCTTATTACAGATGCTTGGAGGGGAAACACACAGCTCTGAGGGATTCGTCTGGATGTAACAGAACAGCTTTCATAAGGAACTATGAGGAGAACGATGATGCAGGTACAAAGTTTAAGCAAAAAAGTGGAATGTAAATGTTTAGTGTAAACAATAAAAAACGATGCATTGGTATATGTAAACATGTGCTTATGTAAAAATGTGCTTATGTAAAAATGTGCTTATGTAAAAATGTGATTATGTAAAAATGTGATTATGTAAAAATGTGCATATGTAGAAATGTGCATATGTAGAAATGTGCATATGTAAAAATGTGCATATGTGTATATGTATACCCAAAACTTCGTGTGTCTCTCCCTTTTCTTCACTCGTTAGTGAAAACGAGTTAAAAGGCATATATCGTGTGCCCACGTCATCACATTGATATTGTCATCTGTATCACATTGATATTTTTATCTGCATCACATTGATATTTTCATGTGTATCACATTGATAATTTCATGTGCACCACCTTGATATTTTCATGTGCATCACAGGAGACGAAGGCTCGCCGTGGATGTTCAAACTGAAACACAAGAGGCTATTGGACTATGAGGACAAATGGGGGAATAAGAACAAGTCTAATTATTGCATAAAGTTGAGTGGAAAATCCAAGTTTTATATCCAAGTGGAATCAGATAATTGCATGGAACTGCTGGGAGGAAATTATTGCACGAACGAAAAGAGTATTCAAATAAAGAAAGAAATTTCGAAGAATTTATTGAATGATTATAATGAAGGATTTACATTTGAAATGTGGATTGGGATAAAAGAAACGAATTTGGAATTCAAAAGAGAAGATAAAAAGGAAGAAAAGAAAAAAAAACTAAAAAAAAAAACTTATATATATCTAATTCAAAAAGGAAAAGAAGAAGAATATCAATGGAGTATATACCTAGTTATTTTGAAAGATGAATGTTATTTTGTAATAGATTTCAAAAATCGTAAATTTAAATTTGATTCTTTTCCTGTTGAACATTTAAAAACTGTAAAATTAAATAATTATTATTGGGTTCATATATCTGTTATATTTAACCTATCTATTGATCTCATATATGTCATATTATCAGGAAATGATGATTATTTCTTAAAAATGTGTAAAAATGTGTATGCTATTTTTTATAGCAGTATGCTATATCCAACGAATTTTTTTCTAGACACTCAATCTATGCTACCAATATACATTGGTTCCAAACCATATAATGAATTTTATGGTTCAGATATTAGTTATGAGGAACAGGAAGAGAATAATAATAAACTCGAAAAAGGAGTTCTTAACAAAAAAAAGAAATCATCCAAATCGAATAGTAATTATAAGGGAGAAGAGGAAAACAATGAATTTATTTCATTTCTAATAACAGAAATAAGATTATTTGCAACAAGCAGATCTGCAGATTTGGTAGCTAAGGAATGTAAATCCTTATTGGATATTGCTCCTGTAGATGCTAATGGTAGTGACATGGTGTGTAGTTTAAGAGATGAAGAAAATATACGAGAGAAGAAATTGGAAGCGAGTAATGAAATGGAGGAACATCATCCAATCGGGTTATATTCTGAAGGAATCCACAAATCCAGTTGCCAAAATGGGTATTCTGGTCGAAGCAATAGAATAGATTCACTTCATCAGAGAGATGTTGAGGGGATGCACTTTTCCAACAATGCCGTAGATCAAACGGGCTTCCAACAATGTAGTGAAAGTAGCAGCACGGGTAGAAACTCTAGTAGGAAAAAGAAAAACAACATGGAGTATATGAAGAAGCATGCAAAGTTGCATGAGAAGCAGCATGAGATGGAGAAGACTGGGAAGGAAATGGAGCTCAAAAGTTCAAAGAGTGAAAAAAGGAAACATTTGTGGAATACTAAATGTGAGAAGGAGAAATCGAATATGAACAAAATGGAAGCTTATAACAAAGATGAGATGGAAATGCACGAGAGCGATGAATTCTTCCATCAACTGGGCACTGACAAGGAGAATGAAAAGAACAAAGATGACATCGCGATTAAGTGCAGTGAGTTCAACAACGAGATTGAAGAGATGAGGAAAAAATTCAGCAGTTTCGGAAGTTTTTCCAATTTGGGCAATCTCAGCAATTCCAAAAAAGTAGAAGGTGACATGGTGAAAATCCATGGGGATGGGAAGTTCAGGCGAGACTCCAACAGAGGCAATGGCAATGGAAGTGGAAGTGGCAATGACCATGGCAGTGGAAATGGTAAAGATAGCGATGGTCGTCGAAGGGGAAGATCAAACCAGACAGAGACGGAGAAACACGTAAAGCCACCATATGAAAAGGAGGAGAAAGAGGCAAAAGATGCAAATGAGGAAGACTTTTTCAAATTCGAGTCTGAAGACGAGCAGCTGGAGCAGGAAGATTCTGTAAAGGATGTTGGTTTTTCCAAAGGGAAAACACGCAATGACAATTTTTCGAATCCATCATCATCCAATTTTGATCATATTTCAGATAGAAATAAAAATAGAAACAGACACCATGATTATAGGAATGGAAAAAAAAAAAAGAAAGAAAAAAAGAAAAAAAAAAAAAAAGCTACACAAGAAGGAGGATCATCGAATTGTGATGATGATTTTTTTGAAAGGAAGAATAAGACAGGAATGCACTTTTCATCTCCTAATGATGGAATCAGGAAAAAACGAAACGAACTAAATTCTGAAAAATTAGCTAGCTATTATCCTAATAAGGCCCAATCGAGCAAGTCAAGAAAGAATGAGAATTCTTCATTTTATTTCAACTTTTCAGATGCAAGTGTTGAGAACAATAAAGAATTCGAATGGGGTGACAATCAGATGCATGTGACGGAACTGAGTGGAGAAGAAGAGGAACAGAAACAGAAGAATTCGCACATTGAAGACACTGCATCTACAAGGAAATATCTCATCAATTTCAATGCAGATGAAAAAATCCAACGAGGTGATAGTAGCAGTGATGGTGCAAGTAGTGTCGAAATGGATGGTAGTAGAACCCACAGTGGTGATGGTGGTAGTAGTACTGTTCATGCAAGTAAGGTCAACAAGGGAAGCACAGAAAAAGAATCCATGAAAAAATATCTAAGAAAAATCGTGAAAGAAACAAAAGGAGAAGAATTTAAAAAGTCCAAAGGAGAAAATGAACTGAGTAAGAAGGAATACAAACAGGCAATAGATGTGAATATAATTCTCGATGAATTCAAAGAAAAGTTTGAACATGAATTTATTGATAATTTTGTAGAGAATTTAGGACACAAATTTCGCCTTAGCGAAAAGGAAAAGAAGGATATTATCGATAGCTTTAAAAAAAATGACAAGGAAAAAATTGGTTCAGATTATATAAAAGAAAAATACAACGAGTTAATAAAAAAAAAGAAAGATCGCGAGGAAAACAAAATATATGAAGAAATTAAAGAAGAGTTAAAAAAGGTAAAAGAACATTCACCAGTTGAAATGGATTTAAAAAATTACATAAAGGAAAATAAACTAATGAATGATTACTATATAAAGAAGTATAATTATGAAGACATGAGTGAAAGTCATGCTGAGGATTCTTCACACAATGGGGATGATGACATAGACAGAAACAATGCATCAAATGAAGAACAAAACTTTATAAATTTTGCTTGGGACAAAAATAAAAAGATAGAGAAAAATAATTCTTCTTCGAAAAGTGAAAAAAAAGAAAATTTTATTAATTACAATTCTTGTAGAATGGACGATTCATATACATCTAATAAAAGTCACTCCATTGTAAATTTTGGACACGGTGATGACAGTAACATCTTTTTGCAAAGGGAAAACATTAGTGTATGCAGTGCACATAGTATGCAAAGAGGAATGAATGAAGAGTATAAGGAGATGCAAAAAAGGGAACCATGTTATTCTCAAAATGATAATTCTGGTGAAAGAATTGAATTAGAGGAAAAAAAGTCAGACATTAGCGATTTTACATTTGTAAAGTGTAAACAGAAAAAGGAAACAAAAACATTTTGGGATTTCAATGATAGAGGAAATGATGGCCTTGAGCTATTTATGTATGATAAGAATGGTGACAATGTGGAATTGAGGAAGAGTAAATTGTTTTCTGATGAACATTACGGTGCTGCGCTCCTTGGAGAGCCTTCAGAGAAGAAGTTCCACTTTGAAAAAAGAAATAGTTTATTAGCAGTGAATAGAAGTAAGGACAAACCAAATGGGACTGATTTGTCATACAAAGGAGAGGAACAGCGTGTCAATGGAAGTTGCAATGGAAATGATCGTGGCAGTGAAAGTGATCGTGGCATTGAAAGTGATCGTGACAATCGAAGTGATCGTGACAATCGAAGTGATCGTGACAATCGAAGTGATCGTGGCAGTGAAAGTGATCGAGGCAGTGAAAGTGACCGTGGAGCTGGTAGACAAGCGTGCTCGTACCTAGTTATGAAGGGAGAAGAGGAGCTGACGACAAGTCCAGCAGAATTGAACGATGTTATAGAGAGGGGAAAGAGGTACTACAGATTTATAGTTCCTTTGACACCATATGAGTTATTTGTAGTATGTAATTTTTACAAGAATGGAATTAACAAAGAGTTGAAAGAATTTCGAAACAAAAAGTATATATCACGTGAGAAGCATGATGTCATTGGGAGAGGAATGGCCAGAACCCCAGTTAACTTGACATACATAAAATATAAAATATCAGTTATGAAAGCTTTACTTAAGAGTAGTTTAAAAAATATTCAAGAAAAGAAATATAAGAGGGGATTAAAAGCATGTATAAGGAATAGAGAATATATGAAGAATTTTATAACAAGTTATTGCATTTTAAAAACAAAAAAATTAAAAATGGATCAATCGAATCAATATCAATTTACAGATATGTACTTGAATATAAGCAGTTCGTATATAACTATGGATGAATTAAAAAACATTTTAAAAACAAATGTAAGAAATATTATTATTTGTAAAATATACATACTAATGAAAGAATATAAGCGTTACAAGTATATTGAAAATTCTTCCATCAATCTAATCCTGTACTCAGTTTTATGTCGGATTGTAACCAACTACAAGCTCTTAAGAAACATTTTGAAAAAGTTTATTTTATATTTATTTCTAAGGGGTTGTCTAAGCTACGCAGAAACAATGTGCAATTTTCTTTTCCTTTTATATCCATATGAAAAAAATCATCCAATAGTAGCAGAAATTTACAAACTCACGAAAAACACATTTTTAAAATATTCAACATGTTACAAGAGTAATAAATTTACCTTGATAAATAATTACCATTTAAATTTTGAAAATTCTATTCAGTTCTTTTCTCCTGAATGGGGTTATTACATCTATACCACGAGCAATTTCAACATATTTTCTTCAACTATTAAGTTTAATGGATTCTTAAAAAAAAGAGTCGACTTTTCGACAATTTCGCAGGAAAAGTATAAGTCTCTACTAAGTGGTGCCACACAACCTTTGGCTATTTGTTGTGAAGCTGAAGACGGAGCTAAAAATGGTGCAAAAAATGGAACTGAAGATGGATCCAATCGTGGTGGGCATAATCAGGACGCCTTGCCCATCTCGACAAACAATATGGAAGGAGAGTCTACGAAAGGAGAGTCAAATGACTCAGAAGCAGGAGGAGTGAGATGCATACCACCTGTCCCAGTTGTGCCAATTGTGCCGGTAGATTTGGCTGAAAAATATGAAAACGAAACAAGCAAGAGAAATGAAGAGCTCCTACCTACTGAAAAGACAGATGATGGTAATGTGTCGTCAGTGCATATGAACATAGTTCCATTTGAACCAGATGCAGATGCAAGAAAGGGAAGAAGAAGCACCAGGAAGATAGAAAACAAGAAGAAAGAAGAATCATTTGGTTCGTCTTCCCCAAATGACTTATATACCTATTTAACAAATTATGAAAAAAAAAAACGAAATTATTACATAATTGATGACAATTTGAAACATATCCAATTTAGTAGAAAACAAACCAATTACAACTTAGAAACTTGTTTCCAAATTGGAACAACAAATGAGAATTCTACGTCGAAACAAAAGAATTATCACGACATAAATCGAATTATGAAAAAAGGGAATCATGATGTCTATTTAAATTCTTCTAAATACACTTGCAAAAATGAATCCTTCTTAGGAACATGTCCACATTGTACTCATCCCTTTAACTTCTTTACACGCTCGTGTAACATTTGCCAACGACACGTCCATGTGTGTTACTACTTCCTTATCTACTGCACCTACAAATACCATTGCGAGTTGTGTGATGCCACGTACTCAGAGAAGGTATAGCCCCTTCACGCAGCAGCATATTTGCATGTTTACATGAGAAGTTGTAGTTGCATCCGCCCATCTTCGTGAACATTCGCCCATTTTCGTGAACATTCGCCCATTTTCGTGAACATTCGCCCATTTTCGTGAACATTTGCACATCTTCGTGAACATTCGCACATCTTCGTGAACATTCGCCCATTTTCGTGAACATTCGCACACATAAGCACCTCCCTTTCCCACCTCCCTCCTCTCTCGAAGTGTTTGAAAAAGTTCAACAAAGGATTCACCTGTTTCTACTGCGGACTCTTTTTCATCCGGAAGTGAATATATAAAGTCTAACAGAATGGACTGAGACACCACCCCACCCCTTCCCCGCAATCTGGAGAGATCAACGTTTCACCATCCCCTTTTCCCCCCCATTTGTGATTTCAAGATTGATATCTTAAAACTTGCATGACGGTTTGATGTGTGCATTTATAAGGGTTCCATGCACATACCCTGTAATGTCACGCCTTCGCATTTCTTTTCATTTCATACCTTTTTTCATTTCATACCTTTTTTCATTTCATACCTTTTCATTTCATACCTTTTCATTTCATACCTTTTCATTTCATACCTTTTGTTTGTACCCTCCCTAGTTTAAGCCCTTTTTTAATTCACCCACCATGGGCAGCACCCATTTTGTTGCTTTCAATATTGATTAATTTTCATGTTCGCTCTATACCAACATTTTTTTTGTAATTTTTAAAAAACAAAACGTGTGCAAATACGTTACTTGCATTATTCCCTTATGCAATGTTTTTTTTTTTTTCATTTTTGTCGTGGCTTGGGGCTTGGTTTGTTATATATGTCTTTTTTTTTTTTTTTTTTTTTTTTTTTATTGAGAAAATTTTAATGAAAGTTTTTTAATGTACCCTTTTTACAAATACACGAAGAAACGAAAAAGATAATGAAATCGAAAGGTGAATATAAAATGAAAATCTAAAAAAAAACACCAAAAATGGTGTACCAAAATGGTGTACCAAAATGGTGTACCAAAATGGGGTACCAAAATGGAGTACCAAAAAATGAGAAACAAAAAAAAGGCTAAAATCTTAATTTAAAATCATACACCCTAAACATGATTACACGTACAATAACGTGCACTCTTTATGTAAAAAAAAAAAAAAAAAAAAAAAAAAGTATGCATAGATGGATGAAAACTTAATTTTACAAAAAAATAAATTGAAAAACTGTATCACGTAAAAATAGACTTTTCATATTTTAAATATGAAGCACAGTCGTGCGTGTGGAAAAGCATATGTATACATATATATATATATATATATATATATATTGCAACACCATAACAGCTTAACCGTGTAACAAGGGAATCTCCATGTGTCCATCGATATATATATATATATATGGACAGAGAGAGTGAGAGACATTGTCGACTCGTGCACATACAAGTGGATTTTTATGTAGACACACAGTCACATACATATAACACATTTCGAATGTAGAAAATGTTTAAAAAAGAAAAAAAAATTAGATGCCTGTTTCTCCAAAATATAAATATGTACATTTTTGATCAAAGCGGAACGGGGAAAGAGGAGCATACAAGCACGCGTGCTACTCACACACGAAAAAAAAAAAAATATAATAAAATGAATAAATAAAATAAAACACGGGGGGATAATTAAAAAAAAAAAAAAAAAAAAAAAAGCACCCCCTACCCACACATGCACAATCGTATATGCACGGTGAGGACAGGTCAATAGAACAGAAAATGTGATGCAGACAAATGTTGAGATACGTAAAAAATTCACAAAAATGTCCGGATAACTTTTTCCCAATTTTCTATTTAAATGAGTGTATTTTCTTCGTGCATTAAAAACATCATCTCTTATGTGTTGTTAAGCATATTTTAAATTAAAAAAAAAATAAAATAAAATAAATGTGCATGTATAAAAGCGTGTTGTCATATAGGTGTTCTTTGTGTATACATTATGGAAACATTCGTTACGTTCGCTTAGCTCATGTCGATCGCATCTCTAATTTCCTTCTCTTGGCTCATTTTGACAACTTCCCCCCATTTTCATTTCTCTGTTCCCTTCTTTTATAGTTTCTCAAATCATATTATCATGTAACACACTAACTCTCCACCTGACACCGTCTCCTGCGGGTCGATTAGAAACACAATGGAATGGACACATCCAACACAATATGTTATTACCAAATACCTGAAAAAAAAAAAAAAAAAAAAAAAGTGAGAATAGAGAACATAGAGGAGAATTTTTCGTGATTCTTTGTTGAATGCAGCAAAAATATCGATATAAAAACTTAAAGTCGTGATTCTACATGTACACAACACAAAGATGGATTCAAAGGACAGAAAGGGGTATCCCAACCTGCTTCGCGTTGTCTTCACAGCCCACATTATACATATTGTAATCTTGGTTATATATGTCCATATTCTCAATAGTTGTGGAATTTTTTGAAATTAATTTTAAATGAAATTTAGTAAATGGAACTAAAGCGAAAATTAAAACGAACGTTAAAAATAAAACAATAGAAGCATACGTATACTCAAGAGCTACAAAGGAAGATTTTTCGTGAAAACCATCATCAATATATGCGTTTGCATTATCAATAAAAATATAATGAAATGTTTGAACAGCAACAATGAAGAGACAAATTAACCCATAGAATAATAACTGAATAAAAAATCTTCGATTAAAAAAGCCAACACAATTATTAATCCAGGGACAATGATGATCCATATTTAATACACATCTATTACAAGCTGAACAATGATGTGTTCTATCTGGTTTCCAGACGTTACAAATTTTGCAATATCTTCTTCTCTTTACATCATCACCAACATAGAATCCCCAATTTCGAGGAACCTTTCCAGGATCCGTTGATGCGCACTGCATTAAGGGGGTAGAGAAAAAACGGAGAAAAATACAAAAAATGAGGCTTGCATCTGTGGTGAGCAAGTGCATGCACGCTGGTTGGAGAAACAAACACAGAGAGGGAGAGAGAGAGAGAGAGAGAGAGAGAGAGACACACAGACAGACAGATATGTATATATACATACACACATACAGAGATGTATTTACATTCACGAATGCACCTTTCCGTGAGTTTGTGTAATATTACTTTTATAAAACTTAGCAAAAACAAAAAAAAAAAAACATGAAACAAGGCAGCTATTGTGAAAGAGCCACTCCTGTAAGGTATAAACCAAGACCGCAAGACAATTCCTGTATACCCTATGTATATAAATGCTGAAAAAAATTAGGGAGGGAAAGAAAAAAAAAAAAAAAAAAAAAAAAAAAGAAAATGTTAAGATATGGATACAGATAGAGATGTAGGGTATACATTGTGCATAGCTGATTTATCACAATAAAAAAAATAAAAAGCAAATAGAGGGAAACTCACGCAGAAGCACTTTACATGTCTCATCGTCCTCTGCGTATAAAATGTTCCTTTGTTTCTATTTCTGCATTTTTACACTTTTACATTCTTACCTAGTATGAAGAACACAATAAATATGAATATAGAACCGCCCTTCTTTTTTTCTTTTTGTCCTTGCGAAGACTGCATATATTTAGGTCTCATTTTTTATTGAGATTATTTATATTCTTAACTGTGTACATGTATACATATGCATGTACATATATGTACATGCACATATACACATGTATGTGAAAACATTAAACTGTATGTTTGCTTTATCCTTTTTCCTCTAAATGTTACTAATTATTCTTGTATTATTCTCCTCATTTGATATCGGCTTTAAGTGGAAATATTTCAATCCTTCATTTGAAATTGAATAAGTATATGTATATATATGTGCACATATATATGTACATAAATCTAAGACATACGGCATATACATGCAGATACATGTACAAAATATGTACACATACATATATATCTGTACTCCTTTATATCTTAAATGACAAATTTAGTTTTCACATTCTCGTATTTGTCGTTCTAAACAAAAACTATATAAACAAAAAAAATAAATAAACAAAAAAATAAATAAACAAAAAAATAGATAAACAAAAATATAAATAAATATATAAAATAAAATATTTATTATTGGCCCTATTCCTGTCACTACAACTGTTACTACTATTATTACTATTGGGAAAAAAGTAAATACGTTTACCTCTGCTTATTTTATCGCACTTTCCTAACTTTTCATTAGCATATTTAATGAGATGAAACGAACATGAGCTGAAAAATGTGTTCCATTTTCATTTATGCATGTGCACACGTGCATACACATGTACGCATACATATGCTATATATATTATACTGCACTATGCACTGTTATATGTTATATGTTATATGCTACACACATGTACATATACATATCTATATGAACAGCGGTGCACTCGAATTTCCACTGCATGTACAAATGTCTAAAATTAACGTTTAAAGTATTTGTCAACAATGGAAGCGATATGTTTTAATGGAATTACACAAGTTATGCATGCGCAGACACTTTGTGCACACGTATGCGCGTAATATATTTAAATGATGTAAATTGTAAAATGTACTATACTATGCAATAATAAATAAATATTCTAGTATCCAATCAAATGAAGGATATAATTTAAAAGAGTTCAAAAATAACATTCCAAAACGTTTATGCTATAAGATGTAAATAAAAAACAGTGAAGTCTTTTTTTTTTTTTTTTTTTTTTATGTACTTTCTCTTAGTCATTTGAATTTTTTTATTTTTCCCATAATATATTTAAAACACTTGATACTAACTCCTTTATATTATAATTACGACAATCACTAAAAAATAAAGTAATAAAAAAAGAATATAAAAAAAAAAATAAAATAAAATAATAAAATAAATAAATAATAAATAAATTATCAGCATACTACTTCGAACAAGTTGAATATAAAACACTTTTTGTATTTTTTGTTCGATTCGCTAAAGGTTTCTACACTAGCTAGGTGTGTGCATATCTATCAGATGTGTGTGTGACATTCATTTGTATATTCGTACTTAACCCTGTACGCCTACATGTGTGTGTAATACATACGTTGATATATTGACGAAATGGTATAATGACGAACTGATATATTCGCGAATTCATGTATTGACGAACTCATTACATTGACAAATTGGTACATTCACGCACTGACATATTCACACATGCATACATATATGCGCACACGGATAGATACTCACATACACTTGTGCACACGCACGCAACACTCGCTGTTTTTTCTTTTGTGTTTTACATTACCTAGGATGCCAGAGGTAAGTGCTATAGTATCATCGGATAAAATCGCTTTAAAAAAATTATGAACAGTTCATACAAAAAAAAATAAAATAAAAATAAAAAAATGAATAAATTACCTGTCTTATCATAACATTAGTATAGTTTTAAGAAACAAAAAAAAAAAAAAATAAAAAAAAAAAAAAATTGAATTCATTCTATGTGCCAAAAGGATATGTTATATAATATTACATTGTTCTTTCCATGTATTTTCATTCCAGAATTGCACTTAATTTATTTAATTTTTTTTTTTTTTATATGCTCATGTGTTATTGAGAAATAAACGTTTTGTCACAATTTTATGTAAAATAATTAAGTCTAATTGTGTATATCACCAACATACTCAATTCTGGAAAACACAAAAATGTTGGCAAAACCTACTAACAAAAATTACTAGCAAAAATTGCGAACAAAAATTATTAATAAAAAAAAAAAGCTGCTCTGCATTTTGTGTATGTGCACATGTACACACACAAATCAGCTGGCAAAAGGTAAAAATACAAATTATGTAAAAATGTGTAAACTTGGAAGGTGTGGGGAAATCGTTTCATATATTAAATTGAGCCTTCCCTCTAATTGAAAGAAAAAAAAAAAAAAAAAAAAACGCATTCTTTTTTAATGCTACAAATGGTTAATTAAACATGATAAAATGAATAAAAATGAAAGGAAAAATAAAAAAAAAAAAAAACAAAAAAAGCGAAAAGGGAATGAAGGGAATGAAGGGAATGAAGGGAATGAAGGGAATGAAGGGAATGAAGGGAATGAAGGGAATGAAGGGAATGAAGGGAATGAAGGGAATGAAGGGAATGAAGGGAATGAAGGGAATGAAGGGAATGAAGGGAATGAAGGGAATGAAGGGAATGAAGGGAATGAAGGGAATGAAGGGAAAGGAAAATCAATATGCAGTAATAAATAAGCAAAAAGAAAAAGTGAAAAAAGAAAAAAACATTGTTTATCCTTTGAAGACATTTTGAAGTCACGTCAAGTATATCATTGATGATAACAAAAGTGAAACCAGTTTTAAGTAACGTTTAAGTTTTGCACCTGTCCCTCCTTTTTTCTTTTTTTTTTTTTTTTTTTTTTTTATTCAAATGACGTCGTAAAATTCGAAAGTTGTGTGGAATTATGAACTTCCACTGTTGCGAAGTTGTAAAAAGGACAACACAAAATTATACTGATCTATTTTCATTTAACCCTAACTTGAGACCTTGGCACAGTTTATGCTTTTTTGTCGTTTCCCAAAACTGTAAGAGTATGCCAAGCGGGGTGCACCTCTTTTTTTTTTTTTTTTTTTTTTTTATAATTCAGGTATAGCCCTTTTAGCGCTACCATTTAAGGGCAACTGTTTAAAAGCACTCGCTTGAAAAAGGTTGTTACTTTTTAATAACTCAAACATGCTGTATTATGAACAAAACATTCTTTATTAACAAGAAGGTGACCCCAGGGGAGGGGTAACTGTTAAACAGAATAATCTCATGGTCTGATGAGGAGGAATACACTTATAACATGCTCTTAATATACGCCTTACAATATTGTTGCATATGCATGATGAGCGATATTGTAGCGTTTTTTCAGAGGAAAAGAACCTTTTCACATCACCGTGAATCGGGTACATATAGAAACATATTTGTACTTATCTATGCATGCATGTATATGTGTGTGTGCATTCACACCGCCCTCAGCCGGAAAGCACCATTTTGTCCATTTGTCCCACCTAGCTTATTTGGCCAAATTTAAACAGATCGTCCTCCAATCAAGCGAAATTACGTCCATAAGCCCTAGCCGGACAATGTGTATGCATAAACAAAAAAAAAAAAAAAAAAAAAAAAAAAAGAAAAAAAAAGGTGTTTATGTGAATACATATTTTTACACATATGTACGTTCATATAGCCTTCCACGAATTTCATTTAATAGCTATAAAATGACTCCGAGTTTTTGTTGAAGTTGCCATAATTTAGATTCTCAGAATTGAGATATTTGACACACATGACAAGTTCTATTTTTCTAACAATTTTATAAGTTCTTTTAACACAACTTCATACATCCGAAACTATATTGTTGTTCTCTTTTTTTTTTTTTTTTTTTTTTTTTTTTCCATATATTCATACATTAAAGTAGCAAAAAATTTCAAATCAATCAGATATCTTATAAAAAAGAAAAGAAAATAAAAAGTTGCACAAAGCAGATACTTAACCCGATTGATGGATGTGATAGTTATATAATAGTGAAATTCATTTTTTCACATTTTCCAAAATTTCGTGCTCATCAGGTATGGTATGTGGTTACATATGCACAGGGCTTACAAGTAAAAAAAAAAAAAAAAAAAAAAAAAAAAAAGGAGGGGGGAGAGGGAAAAGCAAATATATAAGACTGGATATATATATATATATATATATGTGTAGAAGTTCAAACGAACTACTCTGGCATATTCTTTCGTGAATCCATTTGAACACATCGACATCTCTGTATGGAATACACAAAAGCCAATCATATATACCATATGTATGAACACAAAGTAGTACTTTGCATGTGTGAATATATAAATTCCTTTTCCCTGATTTGCACAAACAAATGAATACAAAGGCGGATAGCAAATATGAAAAGAACAAAAACATAACAAGATCTTTTCATAAGAAAAATGTAAATGAAGATAGCGAATATAATAGTGATTCTTTCATAGAACATTTATTTAACGTGAATAAAATAAACAATATTCAGGAAACGAATCATTCATATGATCACCCTCAGTTTAAAAATGACAAATGGTATAATAACCGATATAATGTAGATGCAAGAAATGATACGGAAAATAATTCAAATCCCTTTTTTGAAGTTGGAGTGCAGGAGCTTCATGGGTTAAATTGTAATGGAAATTTTCAAAATGGAGATCGTTACTCTCATGGTGAGAGTGGTGGACGAAGCTGCTTTTATGAAAAGAAAGGAGCACGAAAAGAAAGGGCCATTGCTGGGTTAGTCCATCGGGAAGAAGTGGAAGAAAGAGAAGAAGATGATGAAGTGGAGGAAAACGAAGATGAGGAAGACAAAGATGAGGAAGACGAAGATGAGGAAGACGAAGATGAGGAAGTGGAAGATGAGGAAGTGGAAGAAAACGAAGAGGATGTGATGAAATACTACTCAGTTGTGAAGAGTAACAAAATGAATGATGAAAATTTGGAGAAGAAAATTGATAAACTGTTAAATTTTAATAAAAAAATTGAAACGTATGAAGAAAAAAAAAAGAAATTGATACTAGGATCAATGAATGATGATGAAATTGATCATTGTTTATATGATCAACATGAAGAGGGGAATTTTTTTATGGAATTTTTGGAAGATCTAAGTCATGTGAAAAACAATTCCATAACAGAATCTGCAGATTACGTGTGTCCAAATTATGATAAAAATAAAAGGAATGAATATAATGAAGAAAAATCCAAAATGTGTAATAGTATTGAAATGTGTCAGAATAAAATAGTCCTCTCAGTTAAGAATAGACATGTTATTTTTAATGAAAAGAGGCTATTAGATATTAAGAACATAAATTTGAAAAATATTATGTATTTTTATTTTTGCTCCAATGAAGAATATGTTTTTTCCTGTATCCAAGATGGAGCAAAACATTTGTACACGTACGACTCATACATCTTTGAGAATTATGATGATATGAGCAATGTCACAAGCAATTCCTTGTCAGATGGAAATTCCAAATCTGATTCCATAACTGACGAGGAGCTACTCCTTCTCACATATAACAACACAGATGAGGAAATTTACAATTACGACGATCCTGGATATTATTACAATGATGAATATGGTGAGGAATTTGGAAGGAAGGACGAGTTTGGAAGTAGAGACAAATTTTGCGATATTGAAGACTCTAACTTCTCCTACATGCGTACGAGAAAAAATCGCAGGAAAAATAAAAAAGTGTGGAGAAAAAAAAAATTCAGAAAAGGGAAAAATCAGAATGAGAAAAGCATCACGTCCACCTGCGTTGAACCAACAAAAATGAATAGAGAAGTAGAACAGTTGATGAATAAAGCTAACAGTTATTACATTAACAAGAATTTTGAGGAATGCATACTCATTCTGGAGAAAGTGATTAAATTATCCCCAAATTTGCAGGACCCATTTCATCTTCTTGGTTTAATATATGAAAGAGAATATAAGAACATGAAAAAAGCAATTAATTATTATCTAATTGCAGCTCATTTATCACATAATGATTATCTAGCATGGTATACTATTATAGACTTGTGTAAAATTGAGAAACAGTATAATATAATTCTTTATTGTCTTTATAAAGTTTTGAAAATATATAAGAAAAAAAGAGCAAATCAGAAAAAGAAAAATATGAAGAAGAACCTACATGTTGATAATGATATAGATTATATAGAGAAAAAACACTACTCCAGTGTCATCATGAGAGAACATGATGATGCAATACATTTTGATAATAATATAAGAGAGGAAGAAAAGGAACATGTGAAAAATGAAAATAAAATGGAAGAAATGGATGATTTTATGAAACATTTATATTTTAACTTGGCTTTTACATACATATTATTGGGGGATTACAAAAATGGATTAAAATTTTTACTACAGTTACGAGATAATTGTGAAGGTTCCCTTGATATAATCATTGATTTATACATTTGTATATGCTTGGTCTTAGTTAGGTCTCCAGAGGAATGCTATAACTTTTTGAAAAATATGTACCTAAGAGTCATGAAAAAGAAACAAAAGTTAAGGAAAATAATAGCAGATTCGACCAATGCCAACTCGATTGAAACACAAACTACTAGTGCCAATTGGTCATACGTAGATAAATCCATTATTTGTTTTTTCATGCAATCACAGATATTAAACAACAAATATGACGAATGCATCTTTCTGTACATAACTCTTGCAAAAATGTGCAATGAAAAAATACATATTGATATTTTTATGCAGTTTATAAAATCTCTTGTGATGATTGGAAATGTAGATTATCGTTATTTAAATAAGTGCTACTTCTTGAATGCCATTCGTGACAATCATACTTTCTATGAAGATCTTATTTTTCATCTAGCGGAAGCTTATTACATACGATCCATGTATAAAAATGCTATATATTTTTACAATTTGTTATACATTCAAAGGAAAGGTGTCTTTTTGCAAGAAAGTAAACCAATAAAAGATGAGGAGGATCAGTTGGTTTTCCATGATTCAGTGAATGGCATGTCTGCACAGGGAGGTCACTTCATCTGGGCAGCACCCGCTGTGGAAGAGGTGGAACAAATGGAAAAAGTGGAAAAAGTAGGAACCAAGAAGCCAAAGCAGACCCAGGAGGGAAGGCGTGAGGAAATGGTACCCACAAACAATGCTAGAGAGAGCAGGGAGATAGAAGCGAAAAATCTTGTGAAGTATGACAACAAAGTTCCTTTTTTGTCAATGATGTATAAACTAGTAAAGTGCTACTACTACGTGGATAATTTCACAAAGGCAGAAAAGATGATTGTAAACATTTTAAGAGACAAGAATATAGAAAAAAACCACATAGAGATAGACATCAAAACGTTATATGTTGATATACTTTATAAATTGAAGAAGTATAATAGATCGATAAACATATTACTAAGCATAAAGGAAAAGAAACTAAGATTTATGTGTTCCATTCCAAACCCTCTTAGCAACAAAGAAAGAGAAATTTTGCTTCTTAAAATTTTAAATAAAAAAAATAAATTACTATTGTACATATCTCATAATAAGTACATTTTGCATATGTTTTATATATATCAGAAAAAGAACAAGGTTTTTTACAAATATGACAATTACATTTCAAACAGAAATATAAATGACATTATTCAGGTTAAGGTGAATATTTGTTTTTGCTACTTTTGTGTGAAGTACAATTTTTCAATTCTAAATTATTTGTACCTCTACAATGTTTTAAATTACCTTAACAGAAAGAACCCGAACGGACGAATGGGTAGCGGTGGTAGAGTCGATAGAGGTAGTAGCAGTGGTAGAGGTGACAGAAGAAGAAACAGACAGAGGATTCTGAACCTGTACGCATACAGGGAGTACTTGCTATTTTTGGCATCATCCTTCCAGGTTTTTAAAAAGAGAAAGAAGTTGGAAGATTTTGACATCCATTACAAGAATATGAAGTTAATTGGAACGCGACTCTTCTATAAGGATGTGTTCATCTTCGATGTTAATTCTTTAGCAGACTATGGGGAGAATGGGTTTGGCAAGAAAGAGCCAAATGGGTTTGACAAGGAGGAGCCAAATGGGTTTGACAAGGAGGAGCCAAATAGGTTTGACAAGGAGGAGCCAAATAGGTTTGACAAGGAGGAGCCAAATAGGTTTGACATTGAAAAACCGAATGAACCTGCTAGGGAAGAACCGAACGAACCTGATAGGGAAGAACCGAATGAACCTGATAGGGAAGAACCGAATGAACATTCTAAATGGATAAGCTCTTTGGAAAGGGCGCGAGTGAGGGAAAAGTTCCACAAGCAGGTGCACAAGTACACAGAGGGCGTGGAATCTGAAATATTCAAAAGCAAAATAATGATAAAGTTCTACAAGTTCAGCTATAATTTCTTTTACTTTTTATATGAGATAGAACACGATTTTAGAAGAATACGTGCTGTTATGGAAAAGGACATTCTGAATTTTAAAAAAAAAAAAAAAAATGGAAAAGCAGATGAAGAGAAAGAGGTAGAAAGAGAATCTTTGTTTATTAATTCAAGGATTAACAACCATGTCTTAGAAAACAATGAAATGGTGAGTTGCACTCCCAAAGAGAATTCACATTCGGTCAAATTGGTTGCTGGGTATAGTGGCACTAAAGGGAGTAATGAAGGAAATGGAATAATGACCTCTGATATTAGACATGTGAAGAAGGATGATTATGATGATGAGCTTGATTTTTTTAAAGTAGAAGAAGAGGAGGAGGATGTTCATCACAGAATTAGGAAGGGAAAATTTCCAAATCGAAGCAAGAGATTTTCCTTCCTTGTTACAAAGAAAAAGATGAACTTTTTTACGTTTGAAAATTATTTGGGTTTATATTTCAGTCTACTTTTTATTGAAGAGTGTTTCTTCATAGTGAGTATAATGAATATGTATGAAGATGCCATTCATATTTTGAATATTTACATAAGAAATAGAAAATCGAGTAAAATGAAATTTTTAACATATATCAAAGCAGTTAAAAATGAATTTAAAAGAAATAGGAATGATAAGAACTTAATTAATTTGAATTATTACTTTTTTGATAATGTCTACACAAAGAGTATAAAGAATGAAATGAAGAATGAATATTATAATTTTTTAAAAATGAATAAATATATTGATTGTAAATATTTTCTTTTTCGTATTAATTTACTCCTAAATAAATTGTATATTTCCAGTGGTGATTATGAGAAACAAGTAAAATGTTTAAATGATGCATACATATTTAATAAGAAAGAAAAAGATGAATATAGAATCTTAAAATATTATAGCGACATTGTACTCACAGGAACTTTTTGTCAAAATTTTTTAACATCTATTTCAAAATCAAAGAATAAAAATATTTTAATTATATTTCGCCTTTTTCTAGTTAAATCTATACATTATAAAAATACAAACCCCTTTTTAATCTACCTCATTGGTAATGTGTGCAACTTATCTTGCATGATCATCAATGCTGTTCATGAGTACACACGTGCTTATACATTTTTACTCAAAAGTAGAAGGAAGAACCAGCAGGAAAAGTTGCGATTCAGCTATGCCACGCGTAAGCCAATCGTGAAGGCGGTTAAGAGGTGCAACCAGGATGGCCTCGTGGGTGATGAAGAGGAAGAAGTGAGAGAAGTGGGTGAAGAGGAAGAAGTGAGAGAAGTGGGTGAAGAGGAAGAAGTGAGAGAAGTGGGTGAAGAGGAAGAAGTGGGTGAAGAGACCGAAGAGGAAGAAGTGAGCAAAATGGGTGAAGAGACCGAGGTGGATGAAGAAAACTTGCTATTCACGAAACTGAAACTGTGCAACCATGGGAAGAAAAAAAATGAAATAGAAGATAATTTTGAAAATATTTCTGACAATCTCAACTTCTTATTCAGCCTGATGACTTCATACTTCAATTACGCGAGTGGCTATCGTGTCACTAATAGAGAATCAGTAATGATGACGTCATTCTGTTTACTAAATGAGTATATTACAAAAAGATATGAACAGAAAATAACAAGAAAAAAAAAAAAGTATATGAAACGTTCGCAATTTTATAAAACGTATAAATATATATACCTCGCAGAGATTTTATATAATTTGGGAAGAGCACTGCATCATTTATCTTATTTCAATGAATGCATGAAATTATATTTAAATGTCATTCAATTGATACGAAAGGCAAATAAAGAAATAAAAAAAATTTGTACCCTAAATAATTTAAATATTAATGAAAAGTTTATATTAAATCATGTAATAAATATGAAAAAATGTATGTGTTACACTTGTTTAAATTTTGCTACACATTACCAAGAAAATACTCATTTAAATAATATAATTAATTATTACCACAATTTAAATTCCAAATATTTCAATTTGTTTCTCCTCTTCTATGACAAGAGACATCTTTTGTTTTCTGCTTCCTACAACTTGAGTATAATTTTTAGGAGGCAAAACCGTTTCGAGCAAGCCAAGTATATACTTAGAAATATTATATGGGACTGATCATTCGGTTCCACTGGGCTCTGGTGCTGCCCCACTCCTTCGCCTCTGCACATGGGTGTGCATACATGTGCATACATGTGTATACATAGGTGTACATACATGTGTATATATAGGTGTACATACATGTGTATACATAGGTGTACATACATGTGTATATATAGGTGTACATACATGTGTATATATAGGTGTGCATATGTGGAAGTGCCTTCCGCACGAAGTCGCTCTCTGCTCAAGGGACTCACAAAAGAGAAGCCGGTTCTACATCTATCACACAGTTACTCATTTGACCAACACATTGTTGTATTATTCCCCTTTTTTTATGCCCATGTTCATATTTATGTTTTTTTCTTTTTTCTCTTTTTTTTTTTGTCACATCAATTGTGGCCATCCCAGACCCCACATTTTCAACCTCCTACAAAAGATACGTTGGGATGAGGCTCATTCAGCACACACTGTTCTAAGTATTTCCATCTTAATTTTGAAGAATGCACCACATTTGGGAGCAGTGGGGAGAGATGCATTCACATCTAGCACTTTTTGTTTACTTTTTTTCAACGTCAAAATGATGACTAATAAAACAGTATAAAAAGGGGAAAAAAAAAAAAAAAATATACCACGCTTTTAAATTTATAAAAAATTCCACTTTTTAAAACATTTTACATCTTTACCCCATTTTTATTATCAATCTAACATGGGTTCCATATTCCTTGTCAGGTAAAATTTTTTTTTTTTTTTTTTTTTTTTTTTTTTTTGCCTAACCAAACTAACGTATTGTTTTTTCATTATTTCGTCCCTCCATTTTATCACTCCATTTTATCACTCCTTTTGGTCACTCCATTTTGTCACTCCATTTTGTCACTCCATTTCCTTTTGATGATGACACAAGAACAGTGAAAATGGTGGTTGGGCCCATATGCAACGTTTCCCATGCAAGAGAAAGGACACACATTTTTTCTCTTTTTTTTTCTTAAATTTTTACCATTTAACGAAGAAGAGAAAAAAAAAAAAAAAAAAACAAAAGACAAAATTGTGACAAAATTGTGACAAAATTGAGACGAAATAGAATGAATGTAAAGTCTTAGGAAAAGAATACCCTTCTCTCATACCCTCCACAGTCCACGAGAATACTATGGTGCGTTTCTCTTCTTTTTGCATCAAACGAGAGTGATGACACGTCCTGAACAAGAGTGTGAGTCGAAGTGGAGAGATAGAGTACTAGAATCACCAGGAAAAAAAAAAAAAAAAAAAAAAAAAAAGCAACAGTAGAGAAAACAAAATATACCATATCCCAACCATATCACATGTTTTAACCTTTACCACTCATACAGATAAAGAGATATATACGTACAAAAATTATCACGAGTCTTAGCAAATACAAATGCTACAATATTGAGAATGAAAAGACGTCAAAATGCTGGCCCAATCTAGATTGTATCGATAGGGAAGAAGAAAATATAAATGAAAAAACCAAGGAAGAAAAAGAGAAAAAAAAAACTATACCATATTATAAGAATTACATGCATGACTTTTACAGCAGACAACTAATGCATAATTTGCATCTAATCGAAATGAAGAAAATGGAAAAATTAAGAAATTTCAAAATGCCAAAGATTCATACCGGGGATCTAGTGGAAGTTAAATATGAGTTATCTAGATCACAGCAAACCTTTGCCATCTTTCAAGGTCAGCTCTCATTTGATCACGGTTACTATGCAGTGCAATTGGTGTCGCTGAAGAGAAGGCCTAGTCTCGACACTGCATCGTTATTCCATTACACCACCACTCCATTACACCACCACTCGATTGCACTACCACTCGATTACATTGCCACTCCATCACACCTCTACTGAGTATCCCACTTCCCTCCTCCCTCTGCATAGGTTACTGCATAGAAATAAGAAAAAAAAGACTTGACTCATCATTCATCGTGAAGAACATATTTGATGGCGTTGGGGTAGAACAACTTATCCCGTTCTACTCACCAAGAATATTATATGTTAAAATTGTAAAAAGTTTACACAATATAAATGAAGAAAATATGAAAAAATATTACAAAATTAACAAACCAATTACGAGAGATTATCGCTACATGTGGCAGTATAATTTTAGAGGAAAGTACGAGAGACCAAGGGGACAACACAAACCTGGTATTAGATCAATAGAACCAAAAATTAGAAGACGGTTAGCCAAATTAAAAAAAAAATATATGAGAAGAAGAATCGAGAGTAACCTCTCTTCTTACATTTTTGGAGGTGTCTATGCACAATACACAAGAAAAAGAACTAGACTAGTACGTGCAGAAATTTATAGACGGATGCTCATTTATGCATTAGATGAAGAAAACAGAAGAAAACAAAAATTAAATAAAAGGAGAGAAAAAGAAAGTTGGAACACCTTTAAAATTAATAGAAATAAAGGAGATAACGCTTTCATGGCTTTGCCTTCCAATCATCCACTTGTTAATAAAGACAAAACAAAGGGGACGCTTTAATTCAGACACCCTACTGAAAATCACACACACGCAGGTGCATACATACATACTTATATACATACATACATATATATATATATATGTATACACTTTCGTCTAATGACAAAAATCGTCCTTTAGATTCCCCATATAATTCGACCAGTTAAAGGTATATCTCATGAACAGTTCTTTTTGCGACTCAAGGATTAGAAAATAACTGAAATAACAGAAATGAAAGAAATGCACTTACAACATTAGATCAAAAAAAAAAAAAAAAAAAAAAAAATCATTGTTAACAAATCGACGTGCTTTGTAAAAACATCTTTTATCTCATTATATGTTATAATTGGTGAAATGGCCACTTCAAATATATTTATGCATTATGTTTATTACTGGAAAAGACACCTATAAAAATGGATTCCCTCCTAAAAGGTAAATACACCTTTTTATATGAAATGAACGGTTGGAAAAATTAGCTGACAAAAAAAAAAGAAAACTACCTCGAGAGGGTTGCAAAAAAAAGAAAACTACCTCGAGATGGTTGCAAAAAAAAGAAAACTACCTCGAGATGGTTGCAAAAAAAAGAAAACTACCTCGAGATGGTTGCAAAAAAAAGAAAACTACCTCGAGATGGTTGCAAAAAAAAGAAAACTACCTCGAGAGGGTTGCAAAAAAAAAGAAAAAAAAAGGTTAATTCGGATCGTACAAAATGAAACAATATTTGGGTGTTAAGAATTATGTACGTGTTCTGTACAACTGCTTAAACAGAAGGAACAAGCACAACCACCACCACTCCTCCCTTTTTGTGCACACTTTGCCAATCATGTGTGAAAACATTTCTCAAACTTATTGGTGGACAAACAACATTTGTAACCCCATTTTTTTTTCTCCTTGTCATAATAACTCCCAAAAATAGAAGAATGATCAAAAATATGTATATCTTCTTCGTACTTACTTAATACTTTAATTTTTTTTGTTTTTGTGTCAATCTGATCTATTGGTTTATATTCAGTGTAAATTTCTGAATGTATAAGTTCCTCCTCCTCGTTCTCGTGATTTTTTAATCCAGTAGACATATTTTCACACTTGTATGTTTTTAATATATCTTCTTCTTTTTTTTTTATAAGTTTTTTTTTTTTTTCTAAAAATTCTTTATATAACAATTCCAGCTGTGTTGGTTGTGCATTAAAATGAACATTTTCTCCTCTCTTATAAGTTTCCCAAGCAAAAATTTCTAGCTTCTTCGATTCAATTGCCTCATCTGTATTATTATAATAATTTTCTCCTTTATAGTAATTTTCATCTTCACCAAGGTTCTTACGTATATTTGCAAATGGATCTTCTCGCATACTTCTACTTTTGGGATCATAAAAGGCAGAATTTAAACTTAGGTTATATAGATATTTTGCTGTGTCTTCGCGAATTCTTAAATTTCTTGCTACGTTTCTATTCTTTTCATTTTTATTCATATTATTATTCGAACTACCGTTATTTTTTACACCATCTTCTTTCAACTCATCTGCTGTTTCTTTTCCTTCATCGTCCTGCATTCCATCCTCCTCCTCCTCCTCTTCCTCTTCCCCTTCTTCGTCTTCCTCTATATCGCTTTCAGAATTATCTTCTTCATTCTTATTATCCATGTTATGGTTTGTTCCCTCTGTGTTATTATTCTTTCTATTTCCATCCCTCTTATCAGCATCTTCTGCATCGTCTATACCCCCACCACCTTGTCTTTCTTTATCAACATTTCTTTTTTTCTTTTTTATGGATTTCTTCTCATATTTCTTTTTTAATTCCTCTGCTTTCCTTTTTTTTTTCTCCTCTGCTATTTTTTCATATTCTTTGTATATATACTCAAAATTGTTTGGGTTATATCCTACCCATCGATCTCTATTTCCATCATACCCTAAATCTTGTGTAACGCAAAGAAAATCATTATCATTATCTTTGTTTACAAAATTTATTTTTTTTTTTCTTGTTCTTTCCAAGCAGTTCTTTTCCTTATGTGCTAGGCTTCCACAGTTCTTGCAAAAATCGGTGTTATTCTTTACATTTTTTTTTATGTATATCTTTTTATTTCTTTCTTCTTCTATTTTCACCTTGTCTGTCCCTTTGTACCTTTGGTGCTTAAGTCCTACATGGGCAGGGGGCAAAAAATGGGCAAAAAATAAGGGAAAAAAATAAGGGCAAAAAATGGGCAAAAAATAAGGGCAAAAAATAAGGGCAAAAAATAAGGGCAAAAAATAAGGGCAAAAAATAAGGGCAAAAAATGGGCAAAAAATAAGGGCAAAAAATAAGGGCAAAAAATAAGGGCAAAAAATGGGCAAAAAATTCGGACATAAAAAGGACAAAAAATGGACAAAATCCGAATAGTAACAGTTCCATGGGAATGCGAAAATTTTTGTTTGTCCTTTTATGTTGCTTCCATTCTTCCTATTTAATAGATTCAATACATTTTCAGAATTGCTCTAACTTCTTTCATTTTTACACTTATGCTGTCATTTTCTTCACTTACCTGGCTTCGTCTGGTTCAGATACCATGGAGCCTTAATAATGTACTGAGGCATATGAGGATTTATGTCGTTTCCCTCCTCATCTTTCAGCGCTTCAATTTTTCCTATTGATGGTGATAAGAAAAGCCGGTGTGCGAGGGTGTATATATATAAGTACACATATATGTATAAGCATAAGTGTCAGTGTTAGTGTTAGTGTCAGTGCGAGTGTTAGTGTCAGTGCGAGTGCATAGGTGTGAAGGCATGTGTTCATGTACACAAAGAATATTTATGCATTCCTCCCCATTATGCAGCAAACGGGAGTAATATATGTTGTATCTCTTGAAGTTATCAAAAAAGGTTTAATTAACTTGGTTCAAAATGTCTCCATATGGTATATATAGGACATATGGAATTGATCTATTTTTTGATAGCTACACTTTACCTGCCTTCCTAGCCTCATTTAGCTCCTTTTCTTTCTTTTTATCTTCTCTAGTGACATTTTTGGTATTCATTTTTCCATTCACACTCACATGGCATATCTCTCACACGTCCGTCCGGGGGGTAAAAAAATGGCACAAAAAAATGGCACAAAAAAATGAGCACAAAAAAAAAAAAAAAGCACCCTTTTTTTTCTACTGAACACAAAAATGCATTCACTTCTGTTTGTTCGTTCATATAGGAAGGAAAAAATCCCTAAAAATCCCCATTTTTTTCTGACAAAAGTTGGGATTCTTTTTATCGTTTTCCTTTGTAAAGAAAAAAAAAAAAAAAAAAAAAAAAAAAGGGGGGGAAAAGTGGTGGAAGGAGAAACTGCATGTAGTAAATTTTACGCATATATTTTCACTTGTATCTGATGGGTATCATTTTTTTATGTATTTATTCCATTTACACGTGAATGCAAAATAATTTTACCTTTTCTCTACATGCTACAATTTTTCTCATATTTTCACGCCAACATTTTTTTTTTGCTGCTTAAAGGGAGATAGATAAATAGATAAAATAGAGAGGTAGAAAGGTAGATAGGTTAGAGAAGTATAAACATGGGGGAAATAAAAAAAAAAAAAAAAAAATGTAGGAAAAAAGTAGCAAAAAAGTAGCAAAAAAGTAGGCAAAAAGGTTCCTCATGTTCACCTTGTTATCAGCTGTTACCTATAACACCATAAAGATACAAATGGAAACTTTCTTTTCTGAGGAAGGCGCAAAATTCTTTTTCTTCTCTTTTAACTTACGTCTATGATTAACTTTATACTATATCATGCATATACTGGAACGTGACGCAAATTTATATAATTCCTCCTTTTCCTTTTAGTTACTTCTCGTTTCTTGCATAAACTTCTATAAATCCAGGTATAATATATATATATATATATATCATCCTCGTGTTTTCTATGGCTAATCTAGTCCCTCCACATTTCATGGACTCAGAAAGGTTTCTTTTTTTTTTTTCTTTTTTTACTTCTAATCCACCGCACAATGTCATATTTCATACATTCATAATGGTATAAAAACTAGAACAGTTAGTACGACACACAAAAACTACACATGGTTTCGGCACAAAATCGACTAATTCTTTATTTTTATACATGTTTATAAATAACAACATGAGTTACAAGGGGTAGTAAAGAAGGGGGGAAAAAAGTATATAAGAACAAAACATAAAAATCGAATTATATGATTTAATCTGTTTTCATATATAAAAATAGGGAAAAAAAAAAAAAAAAAAAAAAATTAAAATGGGACAAGGCTATACCTTCTCTACATATTTTCATTAATGATAGGAGACACACACACACACACACAAAAAACAAAACTTGTTTAAGTTCATATTTTATTTTTCAAATGAAAATGTTTTATATACACATAAGTTTTTGAATAAAAAAAAAAAAAAAAACAGAGCGAGACATGTATCGCTAAAGATAGTACTTGGAGGTTGCAAAAAATGAAGAAATGAGCAAAGGGTCAAATGGGTACAAAAATGTAGCGCTTATCTTTGTCCAAAAAATTCGCAGAAGAAATGACAAAAAAGGGAGGGAAGTGCTAAAAATTGTGAAGAAAAGTACTTTTTTCAGGAGCACACATTATATGTCTGAAGGGACGCATTGTTGTGTTGGTTGTTTTATTTTACTTGAGAATTTTCACACACATACAACCTTTTTTTCTTTTTTTCTTTTTATCCCCTCTTTTGCACGTGATTTTTTTCTTCACAGATAAAGTTCGTCCATTTGTTCCCACACACACCCTCTTCTCCCAATATGAACAACGTAATTTCATTTTTCCTTGGGGATCAAACAAATTTTCATGCAGTGCTAGTGACCTTGATCTGCTCGAATATGATGAGCTTATACATGTTTAGAATAAATTTTTTTCCATCTGAGTCTAAAAACTTTTCAGCCTCTACCAACATATCTTTAGGAGAAGTTTCTTTCAAAATTTGCTGCACAAAATAATTACTTATTTCTTCTATTATTTCCTTTTCATCTGTCCCTATATATTCTGTGATTTTTTTATATATCCACGGTTTCAATTTGTTTCCTATATTATCTTTTAAATTTAGTACTTTCCAGTTTAAGGGGTAATTAAATATTTCTTCTTCGCTCGAAGGCACTTTTTCTAAAATTTTTTTCGAATTTTCTATTATATCTATTGTTTTCATCTTTTCTCCTTCTTCTCCTTCTCCTTCTTCTTCTCCACCGCCTTTTTCTTCTCCCTCTGCTTGATTTTTTTTATCTACATCATTATCCAATCTTGTGCCTTCCACGTTCTTTTTTGTAAAAAGTTCATCTTCATTATTTGTGCTAAATACATTGTGTAAGGCTTTCCTCGTGGACATTTTATTTACTCCTTCTTCTGAATCTGTAATTTTGCTTTTTTTATTTTTGTCATTTACCTTAATGTTAATATGTTCTGTGGCGTTGGTTTTTCTTTTTCTTCCCCTCAATTTTTTCTTGTTCACCTCTCCCTGCCCATTTGGTTCGTTTGCATCTGATTCGTTTGCATCTGATTCGTTTGCATCTGCTCCGCTTGTATCTGCTCCGCTTGCATCTGCTCCGCTTGTATCTGCTCCGCTTGCATCTGCTCCGTTTTCCTCTATCCTGTTTGTATCCGAATGTTCTGGATTCATTTCCTCTGAATTGGGTGCATTGGCCTTGTGGAAAGCTTTATGTCCACTCTTCATCTGGTTCAATGCACATTCCACATTTTCGTTAGGGTTTCTATGACTCTTCCCTGTTACATCACTAGATGATTTTTCTTCTTTTATCTGCTCCATTTTATTATCACTATTCCTATCAAAAACAAAAGATAATGCATTCATAAAAAAGTTGCTCTTTAACTTTGCTTCATTTGCATAATCCTTACTGGATTTGTTACTTTCCTCTGTTGCACGTTCAGAAAAGTTGTTTGACTGTTTCTGGTCTTGATTTTCGAAATGTTTTATGGCTTTACTTTGGCACGTTTTATCGTCTTCCTCGACCGGATGGGTCGTCTCTCCTTCTTCTTCTTCTTCTTCCACTTTATCTCGCTCCTCCTGCTCCTTTTTCTTTTGCATCTCTTCCATTTCTTTGATTTCTTCCATCTCGTTTAAACGGTCCAAATCATCAAGCTCCTTTTCTTTTTTTCTTTTAGAATTTCTAATTTCTCTCTTTTTCGAAGACGACATGTTTGCATTTTCTTGTTCCCCCTTTAAATCCAATTCAATCATTTTTGCAATATCTTTTTTTTTTATTTGAAGAAATTTATTCCATTCTTTGTATGTATCATTTTTAATTTGATCTTCTAATTCTATCCATTCTTTTTCTCTTTTGTAAAAGTCTTTTTCAAGTTCTTTTTCTTTATTAATTACTTTTTGTATCCTTTCTCTTTCCCTCCAGTGAACTTTATACTCTTTACTTATATACTTTGGATACTTTTCATTAGTTCCATTCACCTCCGCTTTCTCTATTCTTTTTCGAATTTCCCTTTCCAAGTTATTTCCATTGTTTCTCTGAAACTTATCATTTCCCTCCAAACTCTCACCACTATTACTTTTCTCATTTATAGACTCCTCGACATGCTTCTCCATTTTCTTCTCTTTGTGTATAATTTCATAATTTTCGGATGGGTATCCATTCTCCCTTGGATATCCGTTTAGGTTTCCTTCACCCATGGCTAGGTCCATGTGGTCTGGCCAGCGAATTTGCACTTTTATGGCCAACCAGATTTATGGCCAACCAGATTTATGGCCAACCAGTTTTATAGCCAACCAGTTTTCTGCTCTTCTGTTTTGTTTCCCGCTTAACCGCTATGGTCAATTTTTATATTATCAATTATATTTTATCAGTTGATTTTCTCCCCCATCTCCCTATACAGGTAACGAATAATTCCTTTTTTTTTTTTTTTTCTTGATATAATATTTGACAATGTGACTCTATTTTATTTCTTATACAATATCGACAATGTGGTGCTATTTTTTTTTTTTTTTTTTTGATACAATATCGACAATGTGACGCTATTTTTTTTTTTTATTTTTTTTTTTTTAAATGCAATTACAACTTGGTTATAAATTTCAACCTTCTCATTTTCATGTTTTTTGTTACACTTTTTGAGTGAATAAAGCATCTCATACATTTGCCTATACATTATGCATGTCGTTAATGCTAATTATGGCAAAAACAAAATTAAAAAAAAAAAAAAAAAGAGATACAGTACGATGCAGTACTATGCAATACAAATAAAAAAAAGAAGAAAAAAAAAAAAAAAATGACATTAACTCCTTCGTTTATGTATCATGTTCACTTAACTAAATATTTCTACAGCATTTATGGTCTTATAGGAACATATATACTTTAACAGTATTTCCTACGAACACAGCGTGTGGTGTGAACTTTCTTCCCTCTTCTGTCCCGTGTGTACCTTTTTCTCTTTTTTTTTTTTTTTTTTTTTTTTTCCTCCTTCTTCCCTTCTACTGATAACTGCCCGCTTTACATTTCTGTAAATGTGGACATTTCGTGCCCACTACCTATATATATAAGCGTGTTTATTTTTCCCTTTGTAGTTTTTTTTTTTTTTAACCTAATTGGTAGTGACTACAATATCTAGGAAATTTCTTTTAGCTACCTCTGCTTACTCTCAAGTGGATAAGCAGTATGGCGATAATCCAATCACCTCTCAATAATCAGCACTTACTAATTATCTCTCACGAGTCACCTCTCACGAATCACTAATTATACACTCGTGTGATGGAGCGTAACCAACGTGCGATTCATTCCAGGCAAATTGTGTTGCTCTGCACAAATATCGAAAATAGCATGTACATTTCACATCTAACCAATGTTATTTATTTAATCACTCTTCTCGTTTGTGTGCAGAGAAATGAGGAATGTAGACTGTATATTTTTTTTTTTTTTTTTTTTCAAATGAGTGATGAGTCTATGATGTTTTTTTAATTTTTCATAAATTTCTGAACAATTCACTTTGACGAAAAATAATCACAAAGTTGTTATGGAATTGAAACGCTATAAAAAAAAGGGAGAAAAAAAAAACACGGAGGATATAGTAAAAATGGGAAAAGTAGTAAAAATAGGAAAAGTAGTAAAAATAGGAAAAGTAGTAAAAATGGGAAAAGTAGTAAAAATAGGAAAAGTAGTAAAAATGGGAAAAGTAATAAAAATAGGAAAAGTAGTAAAAATCGTTAAAAGCAAAAATAGCAAAAAGCATAAAAATCGCTAAACAGGTAAAAAGATAATTGCTTTTTCCATTCTTCCTCCATTTCGCATAAATGTATTTATAAATATGCATATATGTACACATATATACATTTTCCTGCGTCCCATTCGATTTATTTTTGAATTTAAAATTTTACGACAGACAGTGAGTATCTTTTTCCTTGGTGAACTATCAAAAATGCAAGCGAAGTACTTACTCTTTGTATACATTCACAAAACTTCTATTTGTATATTTTCACTTCAAGCAATCAGAAGGGGAATCCAAGTCCCCCAGCAGCATTGCCCACACACAGTAGTATCATTCTGTGTATAGCAATTGTATGTTCTCTTTTTATATATATCATAATGTCCAGGACTTTTCTACTGTTTGTCGTCTTGCTTTTTTTTTTTTTTTTTTTTTCCTTTTTCCATGACAGTTTTTTTTAAAATGTCTCAGGAAATTTTGTCGCCTCTATATAATTTGCATGTTCCTCCTTAGCACTCGCTTATTTATTTATTTTGTTTGTTTATTTTTTTCATTTTCTAAACATTTTATAAAATTTATTTGGGAAAACCAACAAAAACTAAACCTCACAAATATGAAGAATTTACTATATTCCCATATCTTCTATTTTTTATGGCTTTATAAAGACTGATCCAAAATCAGCATAATGACATAAGTACTATCTCAAAGGAATAACATTAATTAGGAACATAACTAAATATTTATGCATATCATCACTCTACACTTTTTTTTTTTTTTTTTTTTTTTTTTTTCCCCCTTCATTATAATTAACCTTTTTTCTGTATTACAAATACCAAACACATATCATTATACAACGGTTCATGATGTTCTGGAATTTTACCTATATAGTACATATAAAATAATATGCTACATTATGCCAATCCCCATAAGATGTAGAGAAAAAACTATGAATTCGATAAAAGACCATATTTATACTCATTTTTCCCTTAATATGTGCGTTTATTTGTTTACAAGCTTTACATGTCCATTTTTTTTTTTTTTTTTTTTTATCTTCAAATGTACCATATTAGAATAATGAACGAATACAATGTCTCAGGAAAGAGCCAATTCGTTATAGATCCACAGTGCATGTCGATCTGTGCTTGTTGTTGTGAAATGTTGATGTGCACATATGCATATATATATATACATATACTGGAAACCCTCTTTGTTGAAACCGTATAGAGAAATATGCACATTCATATATATGCATGTAAATCCTTTTTTTTTTTTTTTTAAGCTCCCAATTTTCCTAAAATGTGTTTTCACGTGACATTCTACAAATATTGGGACTATCACATAGGAATTAAAACTGCTAACATTTATAATTTAACCTATTATAACTTCATTTATTTATATAGCGTATAAATAATTGTGAAAAAAAAAAAGATGGGAAATATTTCCTAATTAACCTTTTCAAGCAAGTTCAGGTCTCCCAATTATGAAATGAGCCGTATATATGTGCATATATAAAATACCTTAACTATTCATAAACTGTTACCCATTCTGTTATTCCTTTTAAAACACAACAGCGTGTACATATAAGTTCTTATCACAGCCAATGTACAACACACACATAAAAAAAAAAAAAAAAAAAAAAAAAAAAAAAAAAAAAAAAAAAAAAAAAAAAAAAAAAAAAAAAAAAAAAAAAAAAAAAACACATACATAAATGCATACATACATATATAGATGGATAAACCAATGCTTTCTCCTCTATCCATTAAAAATTTACATGTGTGTAAACGTAGGCATTAAGAATCTAGCGTCTTTTTTAATTAAATTTAAACAATGTAATTTTCTCCCCCCCTGTTTCAACCAACCATTCAGTAAATGGGTAATAAAAAATATATGCTAAACGGTTGGGACGAGTGAGCTTAAGAGACATGCTCCTATTATAAGCAAACAGTAATGATCATATTCCCTATTTTTCATCCTTCATGAAAAAAAGTGCTAATGTATATTTTTGTTGTTTCATTAAGTCTTGACAATGAAAATAGCTTTTCCTTTTTTTCTTTATTTGCTCTCTCACCCCCCCTCCCCTTTTTTTTTTTTTTTTTTTTTTTGAGGGGGGTTTATATTTCCTGCTAATGAAATTTTCTCCAAAAATTGCAAACTTCTCATTTATATCATATCACAGTGCATGTGTAAGTACTTGTATGAAAATATCGATGTATATGATATCTTTCTGTAAATAATATCCGTTTGGCACATATGTGGGTAAGAATGATGAATATATATTAGAATGCATACATATATAAAGGCATATATACATATGCATACATATATATAAAGGCATGCACATACAAATGCACATATATATAAAGGCATATATTTATGAATACGTATAATTATATCTGTTTATATAAATACTTGAACATACAATGAGTACTGGATGCCACACTCAAAATAAATTCGTATGGGTCACATGCACGTTTGTCAAAATACTAAAAAGGGGAAAAAAAAAAAAAAAAAAAAAAAAATCAAGTTCCAGCAAGATGTGGAAAAAACACCATGAACCAATGGACATTTGCGTGCTGCATTGGTGTGATAAACAAAATTGCATAACATTTGAGTGTGTGCTCATTCGTGTATGCATTTACATTTATATATATAAATACATTCACATATATTTGCATGTGTTTGCATATTTATAATACGCGCGCAAACTTATATATAAAGCCAAAGAAACACTATTAATTAAGTTGACAGCTGCGTGCGATTTTATATCGTCTGCACAAGCGCTTAGCGCACTCGAATCGTCAAAGAAACTCCCCAAAATGTATGCATACATATAATGCATACATGAGCGTACAATTGCATACATATAATGCATACATCAGTGTAAAGTGCATACATCAGTGCACATATATGTTTTACATTTTCGGCGCGGTCGGTACGCGCATTGCACGGACGGTCCACGTGCCACACGATTAACGGAAAAATTTTGGAGCTATCTTTGTGAAAAACGCGAAATAAGCAAAGTTCACTGGACCAAAGCGGCTAGTCAGCGTGCATACATAATGTATAAATGCTCATGTAAATATATACATATAGCTGGTGCACATGTAATGTCCGCACACGTATGTCCCATTTTTGCACTTGAAAATTGCCATTTTCCACTGTGCATGATCATAATTTTTTTTTTTTTTTTTTTTTTTTACGCAAAATCGTGGCTTTCTGCCTTAACAGTTCAGAAAAAAAAAAAAAATATGACAAAGCATGCCAAAATATTTTGATTTGAACACTTGCATCATTATATTTATAAAAAAAAAAAAAAAAAAAAAAAGAGCACATATATAAAATATTTACAAATATTTTAAAAACTTGGTTAAAAATGTTCACCAAAAATTAAGATATGTAACATTTATATATATACATATATGTGCAATACATTTTTTTTATTTTTTATTTTATTGCAAAAAAAAAAAAAAAAATATATTTATTTATTTTTTTTTTTTTTTCTTATAATTTTTCATTATATTATTATCTACTTCATTTAACACACACATGTATTAAAACATTCAAAAGAAAAAAAAAAAAGAAAAAATTTTTTTTTTTTTTTCACAAATAAATAACACACACACATTTATATACATATTAGTATATTGCATAAATATCGAAACATTTTAAATTATTTATAAAAATGGCACGAACAAAACAAACAGCAAGAAAATCAACCGCCGGTAAGGCCCCAAGAAAGCAGTTAGCCTCCAAGGCAGCAAGAAAGTCAGCTCCAATTTCTGCTGGTATTAAAAAGCCACACAGATATAGACCAGGAACTGTGGCATTAAGAGAAATTAGAAGATATCAAAAATCTACCGACTTGTTAATTAGAAAATTGCCATTTCAGAGATTAGTAAGAGAAATTGCACAGGACTATAAAACTGATTTAAGATTTCAATCATCAGCAGTTATGGCTCTTCAAGAAGCAGCAGAAGCATATTTAGTAGGTCTTTTTGAAGATACTAACTTATGTGCCATTCACGCTAAGAGAGTTACCATTATGCCAAAGGACATACAATTAGCCAGACGTATTCGTGGAGAAAGATCATAAAAATAAACCGTTTAAAAATTATTAAATATAACATAGGAAGAATGGTAACAAAAGTAAAACGTTTTACCTATTGTTTTTTTTTTTTTTAAATGGTTGTATTTTTATGTCAGTAATAAGTGTGCCTGAGTGGATGTTTTTATGTGTGTGCACAAGTATGGGTTATGTATAATATATTATACATAATGCCCTATACACACACATATACATATACACCTTGTACATATGTTTCTTCCATCTTTTTTTTTATATTATAGCATTCGTTTTATACATGTACAATTTTAGTTTTTTTTTTTTTTTTTTTACAAAGTAAAATTTTTTAAGGCTTCACTAGAAGCCATTATTATTATAGCTAGAATGAAAAAAAAAAAATAAAAAATAATAATAAAATAACATTTCAAAATTACACAACTGCTGTTTTTTAGTTAATTTCTTTCATTTTAATTCAAAAAAGAGATATTTTTACACTCTTACAATATGTATGCACAAAATAGTACTTTACGTTTACGTAAGTTACACATGGAAATAATGTACACTTGAACAAAAATGTTCCTTTATCATGTAACACACTGGAAACGAAAAATGGTGCAGAAATTGTTCTAACGTTATAAACATATCTAGGTTGTGTCCTCACGAAATAAAAACTACTTATAAGTGCAGAAATTCATTACACGAGTATTTTCCCTTAGGGGTGTGTGTACTCCCCCACTGTACACAATCAGTGATATCCCAAACAAATGTGAAAAATATCATAGAGTATATGGGAACATAAATAATCTTTTAGATTTCTCATATTCAGAACTTCCTTAACAAGGGGTATTTTTTTAAATAATCTTTAATCGTATTTTTATAGTAAGGCTTCAATGCAACCGCTGATTGTATATTTTCTGGGTATTCTGTCCAAATTTTGTATTTTAAGCAATTTTTATCTAAAATGCTGGATAAGTTTTTTATTTCATTTGTGCTATCAATCCGTAGGATAACCTTGTGCATGTTGTTTATTTTTTCCACTGATACGTATTCCTTCACTTCTTGATCATCTTGGTTTTCTGCAATTACTGCGACGCTGTTGGTAGTAGCGGTTGGGAAAAAGATTCTAGTTGTGTGTCTATGTGTACAGTGTGCAAGCAAATGATTAATTTACAACCCGAAGATGCACAAAAAAGAAAAACTAACGTGGAAAAAGTTTATGCCAAAGAATAGGAACGCAAGGTTCCCTGAATAGAAAAAACCTATGTGCATGGTATCCCCTCGTTAGCATACACATTTAAAGAGTCACAACAAATATTTGACATTCCTGTGAATATGAACATATATAATTGCATCAACATGGAACAATAAATAAATAAAAAAAAAAAAAAAAAAAAAAAAAAAAAAAAAAAAAAAAAAAAAAAAAAAGGTATCTCTCCACTTATGTAAAATAGCTCACCAGGCGTGACAAGCTTGGGCTATAATAGATCCCAATGGCCATTTTTTATCTAAGATTTCCTTGTTAATTAAAATGTACTGAACGATTGGATTTTCTTGCATTGGATTTTTGGTGAATTTCAGTTTTTTTTTTTTTTCTTTTTGCTTCCTTTTTACAAATCCTTTTAAATCTCATGAACAGCCAATTCGATATATGATACCTAGGATGTAGGTACAAGTACAAATATATGTATTCTCTTTGGTAGGAGGATGAGGAAATGAGTGGAAGAATAGATAGAAAAATAAATAGGTTGAATAGATAGCAATTTTATAGGTGAATTATAAACAAATGGTGAAGTGATACTGATGGGGAGAAAAACTTTGAACATGGAATTAAGCAAGAAGAGCAATCAAGAGTATCCTTTGTTGTTGTTTTGTTTTGATTTGGTATACTTCTCTTTGGTTTGCTTTTCTTTGTCGCTTTTTTTTTTTTTTTTTTTTTTTCCTCGTCCCACTGCTCCGTTGTGTGCATGTAAGGAGGGGGGCTAATTTATAAACAAGTCAAACGATTTTGACCCCTGATAAAAATACATGTGTTCATAAAAATGGGCACATAAATTTTGGTTTAACATAAGGAACAAGAATTTTACATCATTAAAACTGTATTACTGGGCAGGTAAAAATGTGTGACATAAATGCTCTGTACATAGTTCTTATGTAAACAGCACTCATGTCGAACATACATGGTATGATTTATCACTTCTCCACAAGAATAGAAATTTTTACAAAATTTTCAACGTGTAGGTATTTATTCTCCTTTCTCTGCTTCGTCATATTATTTTTACACACAACCATAAGACATTGCAGGAGGGGGGAGGGGAGGAGGAATGGGTTTCTACAAGACATTTTATCCTTTATGTGCAGGTTTAAAAAAAAAAATAAAATAAAATTAGGAAATTGTCGTAAGCAGTTGGTCAGTTCTTTTTTTTGTGTAACCTTTACTTTTATTTAAAATTTGACTACATATAACTTTCGCGTAATCTCCTTTTTATGTATTTTACTAATTGCACTCATTTGCTTGAAGTAATTCTTTGATGTCAAAATGAATTTGTTCTACATTCTGGTTGTCATTTTTTTTGTACAACTTTGGGCATCTTTTTTTTTTTTTTTTTTTTTTCTTTTAATGCCATTTATTGTGCAATCTGCTAATTTTACTTACAATGTGTGTTCCTTTATTGCTCCAATTTTTTTGTCTACACATATGCAAAAGGAACAACTAAAGTTTGATTCAGTTATACCCTTTTGAAGAGACATCAAAAATTGGATTCCCCAAATGGGGGATGTAGAATAGGAAGAATTTTTATACAAATAATTCAAAAAAAAAAAAAAAAATATATATATGGAGTTTAAAAAAAAATGTCATGTGAAAATAAACCCTAAAAATTGAAGACATTTTAAAAGAAATGGTTCTACGTCTTTAATTTTTCTTCCTTTTTAGATTATTCCTTTGATTTTTTTTTTTTTTTTTTTTTTTTTTTTGTAACATAGATGAAGTGTTAGGAATAATTACACACAGTACTGCAAAATGGATATATAGAACACACATTCTACTTCCGCACGTGTGCAAAATTTGAATACAATTATTGATTCTTCTTCATCACAATATTATGTCTATCGTTATGTTTTTTTTTTTTTTTTTTTTTTTTTTCATTTCTATAAGACACATACACATACGTCACCTCCTGGTTTATTCACACAAACTATTTTCATCGCACAAAACATTTAAAGAATATTTTTTATTACCGGATTTTCCTAATACATTGAAAGTGTAACTATTATACTTTCCTCTCATATTTTTTTATTTCCATTTTATTTTATTCTATTTATTTTTTTTTTTTTTTTTTTCACTCTTGTTAAGCCTCTTAGATTATTTTTACATTCATCCCTTCCGCCATTTTTTTCCAGCATATATATAATTATTAGCACGAAGCATCTTCAAGCCGAGTGGTTGAAAATGTTATCTTGGTTCATCTCACCTTGGCATACTTTAAAGAACACGAGCACGAACAAAAACAAGAACAAAAACAAGAACAAAAACAAGAACAAAAACACGAACAAAAACACGAACAAAAACACAAAATTTTCGTACCTGTTTATACCTTCCTATGTTTTTGTGCGAGGCATGCGATTGAATAAACACTTTATATAATTCATCCAAACAGTATTTTTAAATGTACGAGATTTTCCTTAGCATTTTTCTTTAAAAATTGTGTTTATAATGTATGTATAAACAGATAGTATTTATATAAAGTACTATTATTTGGAAGATTTGGGCAAAGGGTTAATAACTTTGTCGTCGTTATATAAAAATGTCGAATTGGGCACCTTTTCAAATTGAACGAATGAACGTTAGGGTGTTTCTAATGTTAATAAAAAAAAAAAAAAAAAAAAAAAAAAAAAAAACTAGTCTGACGGGTTAACTTTTCTTAGCATTTTCAAAAATGAGAAAACGGAAAAGAAAAATTCGGCATGTTTAAAAAAATGTTCTAATTTTGAAGATTTTAAGAAAGGAGAAGAAAGTAAAGCAAATTGTTCAAACTTACTCGCAGTTATATAATGTATCCGTTTTTGTGCGCATAAGGAATGCCTTAAATTTTTCTTTTTTTTAAATTTAAATGTTTATGTTTGCTCTTGGGTTTGAAGTGCTTTGCATAGGTATCTATGTATATAGGTCCGTGCACGAATAATCAAACACGTACATGTACATACGTACATATATATATATATATATATATATATATACATATTTATGTGTATATACAAAATGTGTACCTGGGCAAATCCAAGCAAGGTCATATTAACAACTTAGCACAACATTGGGAAAATTACCTACTCTCTCTCCCTATTTTAAAGATTTCCTTTACTCTTTATTTATATTTTTGACTCAGTTCAAAGAAGTTATATCATGGCTGAGAAGCATAACCAGATTACGCAGTAATAATATGGAGCGTTACATGAAAGACATTTTCCCCCCTCTGTTTATGCAAAGATTTACATATATGAATAAAAATAAACACATAATTGTATTGTTCATATTCTCTGCTTGCCACATAAGCATATACATATATATATTTATACCAAAGAAGTATGTGAACTCTTTCTCTCTTTTTTACTCTTTGCAGCATTATTGAAGTCAAATGTTCATCCGAAAACCATAGCAATATTTTGCACAAATGCTTATCAAGTGACGAGTCCTTGAAGCAAAATGGAATGTACAAATATATAAATGTATCTGGAAGCACAATAAAAATGTAATATACGAAAAAAATAAGTAACTGCATGAATGAATGCATAAATAAATGCATAAATAAATATATATACATAAACAACCACGTGGAAATTTTCTCTACACATCTTTTTTCCCCACATATCTTCTCTTGCATTTAACGTTTTATTTGGTGCACGTTTTGAGTGTATTCCCTCGTCGCCACGTTAAAATTTTGTTGCTCGATTGTGTAGCCGAATAACTACACGTTTTTGAAACATTTTTTCCCTGACTGTGCAGGTGGCATGTATGCAATTGCGAGGACACCTGTACATATGTACATGCGTACATGCATATATGTATGTACTTTATGTATGTATATGTGTGTGCTATATCGAATGTTTATATATATTTATACCCTACATAAAAACATTAACATGACATAATTTTTTTTTTTTTTTTCCTTTTTTGCTATATGACGTCATATATATTTTTATATATTCACTCTTCTCTACTATATATTCTCAATTCGCACAATTCACCTTTTTCATATAGTACGATGTATACCGTATGTATATAGCTACATATATATAAAAGTAAACCATACCAAGAACACAAATTGCCACATATACAGAAATAAATGCAGTCCTATTTGTATATGTCAATACATTTTATATATGTACTAAGGCAGCCATTCATTCAATTAATGAATTTCTTATTACTTAACTTTTTTTTTACCTGACTGTGCATGTTTTTTTTTTTTTTTTTTTTTTTTTTTTCCACTATTTTTTTTGTAAATCGGGCTTGTAAAAAAAGTGATACATTCAAAAATACATATTAAATATATGCACAGTACATGATTTGTCAATGTTCAACGTTTATTGTCAAAAAAATAAAGTAGAATAACCAAAAAAAACAAAATATGCTTTTCTTAAGTTAATAAAAAAAAAAAAATGTAAAACAACATAAGCACAAGTGCATCTGCATAACGCGTAACACGAGATTTGATATCTATAACATTAACAATTGTATTCCAAATTTTTTTTTTTTTTTTCTTTATAGAGAATTACAGAGCAGCACATGCGAAGATATAAGATACAAGGCAAAAAATATTTACGATTATTTACATTTTTTTTTTAAAACCATTGAAACGTTTGTGTGACATTAACTCTTGAAGCACATTTGGTGCAAGAAAATATATGTGCACCACTGTTTATCAATATATCACATTTCCCCCCCGCTCCCCCCTTCCTCAATACGATCGCTATTGAGTTTGATTATTTTCATGTAACAAGTGAGCCTAGTGCAAAAAATAAAAAAAAAGAGTCATTAAATATATACATTTTCACTTAAGTTGAGAAAAGTTGAATTAACTGGAACAACCAAACGGAGCAACTAGATCCGAGCTACAAACACATCTAACACACATGCACAGAAGCCTGTCTCTTCAATCAACCCCCATATTTAACAACTCATACGACATTCATTCATAATGAACCCTAAAATAGACGAAAAATGCATCAATGAAATTCGTATGTTGTCAGCTGAACTTCCATTAAAGGCCAATAGTGGACATCAAGGTGCACCAATCGGATGTGCACCTATGGCCCATATTTTGTGGGGATATATTATGAACTATTATAATGAAGATACAAATTGGATTAATAGAGATAGATTTGTATTATCAAATGGCCACGCTAGTGCATTATTATACACTATGCTATATTTGACAGAACAAGGGTTAACTATGGAGGATCTAAAGAATTTTCGACAATTGGAAAGCTTAACACCAGGGCATCCAGAAAAACATATTACCAAAGGTGTGGAAGTAACCACAGGACCATTAGGACAAGGTGCTTCGAACGCAGTTGGTATGGCTATATGTGCACATAACTTAGCAGAAAAATATAACACAAAGGAATATCCAATTTTTGACAACTATGTGTATGCTATATGTGGTGATGGATGTATGCAAGAAGGTGTGTTTTGTGAATCAGCTTCCTTGGCAGGTCATTTAGGGTTAGGAAGATTAATAGTTTTATATGATGACAATAAAATAACAATTGATGGAAATACAGAATTATCATTTACAGAAAATATTGAAAAAAAATTTGAGGCTTTAAATTGGGAAGTAAGAAAAGTATCGAATGGAAACACAGATTTTGAAAATTTACTAGCACAAATTGAAGAATCGAAAAAAAATAAAAAACAACCATCACTAATTATTGTTCAGACATCTTGTGGTTATGGAACGAAAGTAGAAGGAACATGTAAATCTCATGGGTTAGCATTAAAAGAAGAAGATTTGAAAAAGGCAAAAGCATTTTTTGGTCTAGATCCTGAAAAACAATTCCACATTTCAGATGAAGTGAAAACTTTTTATAAAAATGTTATACAAAAAAAAAAAGAAAATTATTTGAAATGGAAAGATATGTTTGAAAAATACACCTTGCAATATCCTGAAAAAGGACAAGAAATTTTGAGAAGATTTGAAAAAAAATTACCACATAATTGGATAGAAGTCTTACCTAAATACACAACTGTTGATGTCCCAGGAGCTACTAGAAATTTATCAGGTGCTGTTTTAAATTGTATAAATAAAATTTTACCTGAGTTGATAGGTGGAAGTGCAGATTTAACAGATTCTAATTGTACATCTTTAAAGGAAGAAAAAGATATTAACAAAAATTCTTATGCAAACAAGTACATCAGGTATGGTGTACGAGAACATGGTATGGTGGCTGTAACAAATGGAATTTATGCTTATGGAGGATTTGAACCTTTTTGTGCAACTTTTCTAAATTTCTATACTTATGCATTTGGTGCACTAAGATTAGCTGCCTTGTCAAATTATCACATCTTATGTATAGCAACACATGATTCTGTTGAATTAGGAGAAGATGGCCCAACACATCAACCCATTGAAGTTTTATCCTTACTTAGATCAACACCAAATTTGAATATAATTAGACCAGCAGATGGTAATGAAGTATCAGGTGCATATTTATGTCATTTTGAGAATCCCCAAACACCAACCGTTATTGCTTTATGTAGAAATAAAGTACCCCATTTAAAAAATACGTCAGCAGAATTAGTCCTAAAAGGTGCATACATTTTAGAAGATTTTGACGATACCAATGATAATCAGAAGGTCATTCTGTGCGCATGTGGTTCAGAATTGCATCTTTGCTTTGATGCAAAAAATATTCTAAAAGAGGAACATAATTTAAATGTACGAATTGTAAGCTTTCCATCATGGACTTTATTCAAAAAGCAATCAGAAGAGTATCAAAGTTCAGTTATGATGCACCATAATGTTAAAATCGTTAGATTCTATATGGAGCCTGCATCTACCCATGGATTCGACACCTATTTTAATGTCTACATAGGTATTAATCAATTTGGCTATTCAGCCCCTAAGGATAAAATATGGAATCATCTGGGATTTACTCCTCAAAATATAGTTCAGAAAGTATTAACGTTTATAAAAACGAAAATGAACAATTGAATCCCATGTATTTTTGAAATTCCATACAGGTGTTCTCGAATAACTAGGGAAAAAAAAAAAAAAAAAAAAAAAAAAACTAGCCATGTTTCATGTATGAAGGAGGGATGTGTATTGCTTTACCACGCACACTCCATTTTTGCAGTTCACAATATGTAGTTTATTTACACCCTCTTAAAATTAACGCCCTTTTATTTTGTTTTACGTTTAAAAAAAAAGCCTTTTCAAATTTGTTGTACATAATCATCCATGTAACATGTGTATATATATATATATATGTATATTCTTTTACCTCCTTTAAGTTTTGCATCATTTAAAGCAGTGAAGTAAAATAACAAAAGTATTTATGTATTTTTCTTTTTTCTTTTTTTTTTGCTTCGTCGGAACTATTTTGCACTTTTGCACACAGTAGGACGAAAAAGCAACAATATGACAAAATAAAATAATGAAAAATTCATTCCAATTTATTTCATGCCTTTCTAGCACATTCATCTAGCCCATATATACACCAACAGTTCGCCTAAGCTTTCTGTACGTGCATATACATACATGTATACGTATATATATATATATATATATATATACAGAGAAAACTTTTCATGTTTCTTTCCAATTTTATATTAGTAATACAAACGCTTCAGTCATTCCATAATCGGTTAAATCTCCAATGTTCGAATACTTCTAATGATTTCCATTACACGTCGGCATAAAGGAATATGTATACATATATATATATATATATGTATGCATGCATAAATATTTATCCCTTCAGGTTCACAGTCCCCTTTGTGCATGCGTATGATTCCATATGCCATATTTCATCTGTGTGGAGCACCCCCTTTTCCTGACCGCTCCTCGTACATGAATAGTTATATCTACATATAGAACACTTCCCTTAGCGTCTGTATGATCATATGGTATGGATAAACTAAATGTCACGTGGAATATCATTTTTTTTAAACAAAAAAACATTTTTCATGCGATAGGTAAAAATTCCTTGTGGCGTGTTCACTTGAATGTCATCATTTTGTATGTCTTGGACTGACCCTTCGATAATTTTTCCCTCATCTAAAACTATAACTTCATCCTTTATTCTATTCGGTTTTAGAGGAACAACAGCTTCAGAAACAATGCTAAAGGATGTTTTTTCCGTTGATATTTTTAAAATGGTATACAGACTTTTTTTAATTACTTCTGTGACTCTCCCAATTTCGTTGTAAAATGGACCTGGAGTGATAACCTTTATCATAATTCCTACAATTAACCAAAGGGGATAATCTTGACTCTCCTCCTTTTTCTTCTCCTTCTCCTCCTTTTTCTTCTCCTTCTCCTCCTTTTTCTTCTCCTTCTCCTCCTTTTTCTTCTCCTTCTCCTCCTTTTTCTTCTCCTTCTCCTCCTTTTCCTTCTCCTTCTCCTCCTTTTCCTTCTCCTTCTCCTCCTTTTCCTTCTCGTGGTCCATTCCAAACATATTTCCACCATTGGGGGTTTTAGGATCGCTTATCCCATTTATTCCGTTTCTTTGCTCATCCCCCCATTTTCCTCTACCTTTAGAAGTGTTATTTTTTTCATCTCTCCTATTATCACCAAATCTTTGATTAACATTGAACGTGCGGGAATCACGTCTCTCTTCATGCATTCCTTTTAAGAAATCTTCATCTTCATACTTTTTTCTTGTTCCAATTTTTTTTTTTTCATTGATTCTGTTATTATGTATTGTGTACGAGGAGGAGGAGGAGTCACCTCCCTTATGGGATATGTCTTTTTCACTTCTTCTATGTACTTCTGCTCCTGCTCCTACCCCAGCTGGAGGAGGGGGTGGATAAATGCTGCTGTTGTCGTTAATATTTTTCTTCTCGTTATGATGATTCCAACGGGATCCGGAATGAGAAATACGTTCAACAGAAGAAGAAACACCTGCAGTGGCGCTAATAACATCACCCTCTTCATAACTTGAAAGTTTTGTATCAACATGATTGTGATTTCTTCTTCTCCTCATCCTCCTCATTTCATCACTGTAATTGTTGTAACTACTTCTGTGTCCATCATACCTCGAGCGGAATTCATTTTTGTGTAATTCTGAACCTTTTGTTCTCACACTTTCATTGTAAAAGGATTCATCATATTTTTTTCTGTCGTATCTAGGACTTTTATCATTTCTATTTTGCCATGGTTTGGAATGGAATTCATCACTTGCCATCCTTCGATCCATGCCATTGTCATGTTGGTTATAATGTCTACCATCATCTAACATGTTATAGTTTTCTCTATAAGAATCTGCAATAGCACATTCTGTTCTTTTTTGCCTTATGGTCTTTGGCTTGATTTTTAAAAGTAGAGTAAATTCATCCCTTTCTGCATCAATGACATCTCCTAATAATCCTTTGTAAACCCCACTTAAAATTTTTACAGTTTTTCCAATAAATGATTGGTAAATATTTCTTCTGGGTAATGATGAGTTATTAGTTCTGAAGAGATTATTATACGTTATTATTTTTTTTTTTTCATTTTGATTTCCTGTTAGTCTACAATTTTCATTATCTAAAACGACAAACCCATTATCTTCCACTTTTTTATTAATTTTCGCAAAAATTTGGTTCTTCCATATGTAATTAACTACGGCTAATTTATTTTTATGAATTCCTCGAACTATTTGTATGGTATCTTTGGATTGGACAATGTTTCCATTTTCATCTTTACATACTTGCCCTATTGCTGATCTTTTGGATGTAATTGATCCTATAGTTGTGTGTAAAATTTTATGATTACTAGTTAAGACCCGGATGTGCTTATTCTTATCAATATATGTTAGTACTCCTATTTGTCTATCACTAAGTTCTATTAAATCTCCTATTGAAAACCCGTTTAAAGAATTAATACCATCTAATCCTTCACTAGTAGTGTGTTCAGAAGCTGTTAGATCTTGAATAGATGCACGAAATTCAGTATTCAACGAAGGAGAAAAAATAAGAGCAATATTTTCTTTATAATCAAGTAAAGATATAAGTCCACTTTTTCCTTTATGTATTCCATTAATAACTGTTACATTATCCCCTTCTAGAAAATATTTTGTAACATAACTTGGTAGAAATTTAAAATCTTTCGCTAAATTATCTGGATTTATTGTTAATACATTTTCATTTATATTTGTTATTGTTCCTATTAAATTATTCAATTCTCCTTTCAAAATTTTAACCCTTTCTCCTTTTTTATATAAATGTAAAGAATTTTTATTAACGAAAAATTTACTAACATGCAAATTGATATCCTCTTCATTTGCATTATTTTTATTAAAGTCACGAATCTCAGTTAACGTAATATTTGCATCTTCAGAAATTAAATATTTTATATTCATCTTTTTTAATAAATATCCATTTTCTTCAAAAATGTTATTTTGATATTTAATAGTTCTTGGATATGGTCCATGTTCAATCACTCCACCAATTTGTTCAATTTCTTCCCTATCGAAAAACTTTTTTAGTGGTCTTTCTTTTTTCTTTTTTTTTTTAATTTGTAATGCTTCATCTAGTATATCCATTTTTTCATTCCATAAATATCCACTTACAGGATCATTACGATTATCTCCCCTCCCCCCATGATGATGATTCATGTGGTTGTTATTCACATTGTTCATATCAAATTTATCATTTATATAGTACGTTTCATTTTTATTACTGTTTTCATCAAATATGGATGCATTTCCTTTATTTAACGCAGATGATAAATTTAGATGATAATTCCCTTTCTTTCGATAGTTATATTTGTCATACTCTATTCGAGGTATTAATCTGACGATGGCATAAATACCTTTCTCATGAACTTCAAATATCTGTCCTATATCATTCATATAGACACCTCGTTTTATTCTTACGTATTCATTTACCTTTGGAATGATAACCTTTGAGTGACACATAGAAAATATGGATGTTAATTCTTGTACCGGGACTATGGAAATTTCATTTAAATTAATAAACTTGAATCCTAGTAAGAACCTTTTCAACATGTATAAACTGTCTGCTTCTACATATATATACCCCTTCAGATTATCTGACACGTATATACCTTTAATATTAAAATCGTTGTCTTTTAATTTCATATATTTGTAGTATATTCCTATGGCTAGATTTCTCTCTACTCCATTTTTAAATAATTTTATTAACCACATTTTAGGGCTATCAAAAGTAGTTAAGCATTCTCCTTCATCAAAATATTCGTCTTCATCACCTGACATTTCCTCATCAGTTAATGTTTCACCATCTGTTAATATATCTTTTAACTCCTTTTCATTTTCATATCTTTGTGATAATTTGTTAATTGCTTGTGCTAAATGATTTGTTCCACTTTTCAATTTAGTTTCATACATTTTTTTCTTTTCTAATTTTTTCGCTTCTTCAAATTCGTCCACATATGAACTCGCGTATTCCTCCTCCTCATCGTCATCTCCTACTTGTGCTTCTGTATCTAAAAAGGTTGAAAGGTATTTATTTTTTGACATTTTTCTTTTTTTCAATCCTCCACTTTTGTTTGCCCCACCCACCCCCTTCTTTTCTTTATATTCTGTATTTTCATACCCTTCGTCCTCTTCTTCCTCCTCTTCTTCATTTTCATTCTCTTCAGCTTCGTTGTCAATATACAATGATGTGTGCTTCTTTCCCTTTTTTCTTTTTCTACTCCTTTCTACCTGATCCTCATTCTGCACATGTGTGTTTTTCAAATTGTCTTGATTATCTCCGTCACTTTGTTTCCCCTCATCACTTGCACTACTCTGTCTGGATGATCTTCTTGGATGTTTCTCCCTCTGCTCATAAATTTCATCTTCCCTTGCTTCATCACCATTGTCATTTTGATCGTCATCATCATTTCCATTTAGATCATCATCATTATTGCCATTTAGATCATAATCATTATTGCCATTTAGATCATCATCATTATTGCCATTTAGGTCATCATTGTCATTTTGATCACCATCATCATCATCATCGAAAAGGTTATTCTCTTTCACACTGAACTTACTCATATTATTTCGTTAGTGCATTCATCTGGAAAGGAAATTATTAAAGGGAGCGTTGCGTCTGTCCTCCACTCACTATTCCGATTTTAACTATTTTTATAAAATATAAAGATGGGTCGTGTGCCTGGGCCTTCTCACGTATGTAATAGTGTGGGGCTCTTCTTGCATTTGTCAGTACACGCATACGTGCTTATATATATATATATATATATATATATATATATATATATATATATATATATATATATGCGTATACCTATGCTACATATACAAATTAACCCCACGTCTTTGGACCCGATAAATAAGGTTCATCTAATCATCAGCTCGTTAGATAATCACACGCAACTACAGGGAGGGGAGGGAGGAAATATTTCTCATGCAACACTATTTGTACGTATGAAAAAAAGTGTGAGACGATATGATAACAATAATGTTCTTTCTTATTATATGCCTATATGCACACGTACGCAAAAATATAAATTATTTGGGAAACTTTTCCAAAGTAACAAATATTTCCATTGGAAAAAAAAAAAAAAAAAAAGAAAAAGAAAAAATGGGCTTATTCAAATTATGCAAACAAATTAAAAGGGGAAAAAAAAAAATAATAATAATAAAGTAGCAAAAAAGAAGTAGTGAAACAAACAATTAAAAAATTGTGATTGCACTTAAATTCGCTAAATGTTTCATTAAGGAATTTGTTCGTTTTTCCTTTTATTACGGAATTGAAGAGTGGATATATATATACACAAATATGTTATATATATATACAAAAATATGTTATATATATATATATATATATACGTACAGTACATATGTATTGGATATATTTCTACCATATATTCATAGCATACATGGTATGAGGTTAAAAATAACAAAAATGAATCAGCCCACATCATTAGGTGATGGAGTAAAATGCTGTCGTGCGCCAAATTGGGAAACCTGCCTAAATGCATGTGCATACGAGAGAAAAAAATGTTAAGTAAATATGAAAGGAGGCAATCCGGCAAATGTCAAAATAGGCAACTGGGAAATTATCCAAGGAGTGAACGAGGAAAGCATAAACATGCCACAAATGTTACGGATGAATTAAAAGGATTTTTTGTAAAAACAGGGTATTGATATCCCCACGTGGTCAATCTCACAAAAAAAGAAATAAAGTTTTCAACTTGTGGCATAATATTGGATATATATTATTAACCTACATTATATACACGCGAAATCATTTTAAATGAGTCACATATATATATGTATACTTATATATATACATATGTATATATGTCACGTGCCTGCTATAATTTTTTTTTAACACTTAATTTTCATTGTCAACCAGCATTTTGCATATCCATTTTCAACATTGTGCCATACTTCCTTTTTTTTTTTTTTTTTTTTTTTTTCTTCTTCTACCGTGTTGCAATATATTATTATTTTTTTTTTTTCTTCATCAATGGCATAATTAATTTTACACGAACATGAAAAGAAGATAAAAAAAAGTTCATTTATGTTTGCATTAACAAAGGAAGTTATATAAACTGATGACATTTCTGTATTTTTTTTTTTTTTTTTTTTTTTTTTTTTTTTTTTTTTTCAAAATTTTTTTTTTTTTTTTTAATTTTTTTTTTTTTTTTTTTTATTTTTTTTTTTTTTTTTTTTTTTTTTTTTTTTTTTTTTTTTTTTTTTTTTTTTTTTTTTTTTTTGCAGAATATTTTGTAAGATCGAACATTTAATGGAAACTGTTCGTGCATTTCTTACATAAAATTGTGTTCGTCCATGCACATGCGCTAGGTATATGTATATATACTTGCACGTTTACATGTTTGTACATACAACTCGTTCGTGTATGTATATATATGCTCGTTTGAAAAAAAGGGCATATCTCGTACAGACAAATCGAAAACTCTGCACATTCATCGATTTTTTCATCTTTCGATTAAAGATAAAACAGGGTTAATTAGGTAATGGAGCAGTTTTAACACAATTTTTTCATGGATCTTAAAAAAAAGAAAAAAAAAAAAAAACTGTAATCACCAGTGAGTAAGAATTCTTACCATATTGCCCTTCACCCCATTTCCACTGTAAACCCCCGTTGCCAAAAAAAAATAATGGCAGAAAAAAAGTCCTTACATTGTGCGAGTATATTTTATGATGTTAAAAGGGTTGTGCGAATTGGAAGTTCCATTCGGTGAGTTAAGATATGCGTGTATGTACGGACCCGCGTATATGCATATACATACATATATATATATATATATACTTACCTGCTGTGTATAGATATATTGAACTGCACCTTTTCTACACACATATGAGACGCATACAATTTCATGACAAACGAATTCGCACATGAGAGAATAGTAAGGGGTTGATGCTAACAACATGGGTAGTTATTTTTTAAAATACTACACATTGTATGTGAAAACAGAAAATGTTTATCTTGTGTAAAAAGGGAATGCAGAAATGTACACATAACTCCTTTCTTTCATTATGACCATATCTCTTCACTTAATAACTTCATTTTTATAATCTCTATTTAATTGTAAAGAAAAATAGAAAATGTGTAAAACGCGAAAAAAATAGAAAAACTATATCAAAAAAAATACGAAATAAAATAAACCTCTTTTTCATTTAATTGAGAAACATGCTAACAATTAAAGTTGCAAAAAAAAAAAAAAAAAAAAAAAGCTAGAAAAAAAAAGGCAAACATAAGGGAAAACGTAAAGGTAAAGGAGTTAATGACATAAAATTAATAACTACGGATTGGGAAATAATAAAGGTTAACAATTTGTCGCCCAAAAAATATGGGGAAATATATACATCAAGATATAAATAAGCTAATGGCTCAAGCATTAAATATATGCACATATATATGTATATCTGTATAATTCTGCGTGGGGGTTAATTTCACACACATGCAAACATGTAGGGGTGTAAATATATGGGCAGATAAACACACACATGCACACATAATTCTAACTATACTAAACTACACACAACAGTTAATGAACCGAATGAAACATGGAAACTATAAGCTTTTTTTCTTTTCTTTCTTTACTTTTCTTTTTTCTTCTGTTCTTTCTTTTAAGTATAGGAATACGATATCCCAAATGTTTTGGTTCCTCTCGGGTATTTAACTGAATGAACTATATATACACATGCATACACATATATATACACATGTATATGTATGTATGTTCCTGAGTTATCTATAATGCAATTCCCCTATACTTATATTTGACTATCGTCTGGAAGAGGAATAACAAAACTATAAATGTTATAGGGATATAGAACTGTTGTTTCACATCAACTGCCGAAAGCATACTTATGGCCTGACCAACGGATACTAGAAAAAGGGAAATGTGTGGGTTTATATTTGACATAGGCATATTGTATGTGAATTAAATTCATTCATACGAAGGAACTTGATCAAGAAGAGGGTTCAAGTAACTCATAACGTTTATGTAGAACACAATAAATGAACATGTATAATTATTTCATGGGAAGAGAACAGATGGAAAAATATAAATATCCATGTTGTGCTATGGAAATATATACATATGTATATATATATATATGTATATGTGTGTGTGTGTGTACCTAATATGATTGTATTGGGAATGAGTCCTATGTATGTAGCACACATGAATGGAATCGCCGGGAGAGATAGAGACGCCACCATAATATTTATTAAAGCATTTGGGAATACAGGAGTTAATCTTAAAATTGCTAAATAGAAAAACAAATCGAACTTACTTTTAACTCTCTTCTTTATTTGTTCATTAAAGTTGACAAGCGATTTTTTAAAAAAATATTCTATTACTGTCCTTCCGTAGTTTTTAAAAATAAAATATGTAACAAGAGGAGAAATTGTTGATAATATGGAACAATAAAAGATTGAAAATGCATAATTGTAAAATGCCCCTATCAATATAGTTATAATGGTACCTGTCCCTGTCATCCACCATAAAAACAATGGAAATGCTTGATAGAAAATATATATTATTGTTAGCAATATTAGCAGTATAAAACCATGTTCATTTTTATATGAAATTAGTGAGTCATATAAATTTTTTACTTTTTCTCTGTTATTTAATGTTATTAAATCTTTAAAATTTTGGGGAATTAGGGTTTTCAATTTCTCCTTACTTTCTATACTTAATCCTATAAGTTAAATTTTTCAAAAAAAAAAATAAAACAGTAAAAAATAAAATTGCAAATAGGGCCATAAAAATAAAACAGTAAAAAATAAAATTGCAAAATAGGGCCATAAAAATAAAGCAGGAAAGTAAAATTGCAAAATAGGGCCATAAAAATAAAGCAGGAAAGTAAAATTGCAAAATAGGGCCATAAAAATAAAGCAGGAAAGTAAAATCGCAAAATAGGGAAATAAAAAAATAATATAAAAAAATTGAGTAAAAATTGCATCAATTTCTTCTTTTTTGTAAGCATTAATTTGTTGCACATTTATAGTGATGTATTTATATGTTGTCATATTTTACGGGGAAATGAACAAATGTGTAGGACTATGCATAGTGACATTTTTCTTCTTCTCAAGACAATCACAATTTATGTACATGGGTAATGTGGTAAAGGAGTGGTTTCTTTAATTCTAATATGACTACTTTATGTGAGATCGTTTGATATGTATATATATTGTGTAAATGCATAAGCATTAAAACGTGTTTACACATTCTATCTTTGCACACTAATTTGTGCATATGTTTATGAATATCACTCAGAAGAATAAAAAGCTCACGAAAGAAAAAGCTATATAATGGCATATACATTTTGAAGTATTTAATTTACCCGGCATTAGATGAACATACACCACAATCACTGCAACAAAAGATGCGAATATAAGCGAAAGGTAAAAGAGGTGTAGCTTCAGCTCTTTGTTTTTTACTTTTGGAATAAATAATGTATCTGTTTTATGTACTACATTTTGTGTTTTGTCTTTTTTCATCTTTCCGACTGGCATATTATGATTAAAAATTTCCTTCACATTAATGAGATGCTATAAGTGTGTGTCCTATGCACAATGGAAAAGGAAAAAATTTGTTTCAGTTAACAGAATCAGCTTTCCTGCTGTGTGTATGTAATGGTTTTGAACATAGGTAAGGGAAAATATGTATGAGCAAACGGATGCTTATATATATATATATATATATATACACATATGAAAATAAATAAAAAGGTGTATATGTAAATATTTACCTGTTTGTCTTAATTCATGTATGGTATTTCTGTTAACTGCCGCTTTTCTTTTCCTTCTTTTTTTTTTTTTTTTTTTTTTTTTCCTCCTTTTAAAACCAATCATGCATTTGTGTGATATTGCCTTGTTCCATAAAATAATCGTATAAATCTTAAAAGTAAAGAAAATAATAAAAAAAAAAAAAAAAAAAAAAAAAAAAGTTGTACGAAGTTACACAGTTGGTTTAACTTCTTTTATCCAACATTTTCAATTTTTAACAATTTGTTTCTTGGGCACTTAATTTATTTTTTTGTGTTTGTGTGCATGTATGTGCTTATGCATTATGCAAATATATATATATATATATATATGTATGTATTATGTGCATATCTATTAGAGTGAACTTCTTTTTTCTTTTTTTTTTAAAGTGTGAAATGCTTGTTTTATAACTTTCAAGAGTATTGGGATGTATACAGAAAAATGTGTTACTAGAACGAATAATACAGGGAAATGTGAAACTAATGAATGTGCCACTTGTAAGCAAGCTGATAATAAAGCATAATACTGATAAAAATCTCACTTAAAAACACACGCAATAAGTTATCATTTCCGTATTATTCTTTTTCATTTTTCTCCATTTTTTTCCATTTTTTTTTTCATGGTCCCTTGTTCCATTCTTATGACATTTATTTTTCTTTTATGTAAATGTCCCTGAGTGATTTGTTAAACATCTGATTACCACTACAATGATGATACGAGGTCATCAAGTCGTAGTCTTAACTATAAAGAATCCTATGGGTGCTTTAAAAGGCGCTGCAATTTTTTTTGCACATGCAAATCTTTCCACCCTTGCATGTGCATGTACATAATATATACATTTATGTAGTGCCTTTTTCCTATTATTACTCTTATTTTACTTTTTTTATAATGATAATAATTTTGTTTTATTTTTATTTTATTTTTTTTATCTTAAACAATATAAATATTTTTCACCTCCCTGCAAGTGAACGGAGATAATACTACATATATATATATATAGTAGTGACATTTAAGTATAGGCATAATGGTAACTCTCCTCGATTTTCTAAGTTTTTCTCCTTTTTCAAAAAATGTAACAAGTTGAATAATTTAATTAATGAGCTGTCATTTTTACTTCCCCTGTTAGCAGCTGTGTACAATTTGGCACAATTATTAATTTTAGATTATTAAAATTTGAAAAAAAAAAAAAAAAAAAAAATTGCCTTTTTCCTTGTTGCCCTCCTTTTTGCTTTTTTTTTTTTTTTTAATTTTGGGTGTTTCTTTTAAAAAAGTATAAAAAAAACAAATTATTCAAAAATATTAAAACAAAAAATTCATAGCGAGAGTGTTGCAAGTTGAGACAATGTTACGTAACAACTTACCTTATATGCATATATAATATTTACACATGGACATACACAAACATTATACGTGAATAAAAACATTGGCGTTTCCCGTGCAAGTAGCATGTATTACATTTAAGCAAAATGGAGTTAACAACTAAATAAATAAAAATAAATATATACAATCTTAGAGCCAAGCCGAAATTATGGCAGCTTGAAAATATAGGAATTGCGCTACATAAAAATATATGCAAAATAGACACGCAATTTTTCTCTTAGTTCTCAGTGTACGAATTCGTAAAATATACGTAAAGTACATTTCCTTTTGTATATATAAGTTCTCCCTTTGATTTTATAATGGTGCAAGCATTATGTGTTGCTGTGTGTAAAATAAGAGCCTTCGCTTAGAACAAGCATCCCATTCCCTCATGTTGACTACACTTTTGGAACTCTCTGGGTATATACATATATGGATATATATATATATATATATATATATATATATATATATATATATATGCACGCTTTTAAACTTTTTAAAATGTCAACATATGTTTTCCTTCGTCACTCTGCCTTTTCTTCTGAATCGTCCTTCATAAAATAATCAAAAAGCGAGAATATTTTATTAAAAATGTAATAATAATTTGTTCCTATGCAAATTCCTATTACTAAACCTATAACTAGTCCGGTTGAAAATCCCCAAATAGATTTGGTTGCTTCCTTTTCTATTTCATCCAACTCTTTTGATGCAAAGTAGTGGCTTAAGGATGCTCCACCCAGAAATAACGCTGGTAGATAAAAGGCATTTCTTCTTACGAATCTTTTAGGCATATTTTTTTATTGTTTTATTTTATTTCTTTATTTTTGCCAAAGTAGAAGGGAGATTCTTTGTGTATATACACCAAATGTATATACACCCCTACATGCATACACAAATATGTATGTATTTATTTTTCTATGTCCTTTATACACTCTTAATAAATGTGTCAATTTTTGCTCCTACAGTCATACTTCAAAGTTATATCAGAGGAGAGAGAGAGAGAGAGAGCGAGAGGGAGAAAAAAAAAAAAAAAATGGTTTCACATAAAATTCATTATTTGAGAAGGTTTCGTAATCATCAGCAATTTTATTGTTAAAGATATGCCTTTCTCTGTGTAATACACTTAATGAGAAAAAATATATTTCCGTTTGTACATATATATTTCTTATGTGTATGCACACATTACACACATGGTAATGTTAAAAGGTTTTGCTTAATGTAATGAGAAATGAGAATGCAAAAGCTTATCCGTCCAAATTAAAATTTTGTTTTCTCTCTCATTTTCAAAAATGTAAAAAATGTGTATTTCTGCTTTATACATGTTTTTTTTTTTTTTTTTTTTTTTTTTTTCTTTTTTAAGTCAACATTTGAAATAATGTATAATAATTTAAAATTTTACACAACTTGGCTCAATTTGCACCCCACTTATGGGTTATTTAAAAGGAGAGCAATAAAAATGAACATGTGCTGGTAAACAAAACAATGACTAAATCATTTGTGCAGGCAGCATGCATATATTATACCACCCTTTATTATACTGTGCTTTCAAACTTTTTTTTTTTTTTTTTTTTTTTTATTTATGTTTTGACAATATATACAATTCCTTTGTTCTAATGTTATTTTGCCAAAATGCATGTAAAAGATGAAATATATACATATAAAAACATACAAATACATATTTGTGTGCCTTATAGAAGTAAATCACAAAATAAGGAAGAGGCTTGAAATGCTAGGAAAATGTAACAAATCAAATATAAAAATTACGATATTCAAGGAATTTTTTTTTTTTTTTTTTTTTTTTTGAAAAAGAAATAACCCTTTTTTTCTACATAAAGTGCAAATAATGATATACCTTATATAACTGAAGTTTTTTATTCCTTTTCGTACTCCAGAAAAAAATGTTTAGAACGTATATAATGAGTACCCATCACTTTCACAAAATCACTAACAAAAATATCAAAACAGCTAACAGAGCAGAAATATCACATAGGAATGTTTCCAACATAGTATTATGTAAAACACAACCACAGTCATCATTTGGACCTACATTTTTTAGTCATAAAAAATTTTTTGGGGTAAAAAGAGTTGTTCAGAAAAGAAGTAAGGCTATTTTGAATATAATTTGAAAAACATTTATACATTATGAAAGGTTGCCTTTGTGACAAAAATACATTTAATTTTTATGCTTTAAATGTTTTAGTTAAAATTTATAGGAAAATGTAGAATTGAATAGTTGTGCATTTTTATATGTATGTCTATATGCCCATCACACAGGTATGTACATGTGTGTGTGTGTGTGTCATTCCCCTTCTACCTTTCTCCAGAGCACATGCTAAAATTAATACAACCACATCAAGAAAAGTTTGATGCGGAAAAATACGAAAAATTTTTGGAAAAAGAAAACTTACGTGAGAAAATTGATATAAACAACATTAACATTGACAATGAAAAGGAAGTTGAATTATATGAAGATTATTTACTAAATTATAAATACAATAAAAGAGAAGTTGAAAAAAACGCACCGCTCCCACTATCTCTATTATCATCTTCCTTCATAAGAAGAACCATTTATTCTAATAGAGAACATGTTTTAAAGAATTTAAAAAATGTTAACTGGAAAAAGTATTGCTGTAATGTAAAAGGTGTAAGGTGGCATGCTAGTGGGGCGTGGCGTGTCTACTTTTGCAAAAGAAATTATCAGCATAACTTTTTTGTTAAGTGTGACTGTTATTTTCGTGTAAGTATTTACGGCTTTGAAAAAAGCAAGGAACTCGCTGTTCGATATAGGAAAAGGCTGGAATATGAATATATTTTACTCATGAAGCGATGGAAAGAAATTGAAAAGTAGGAAAAAAAAAAAAACGAAAATAACGAAAAAAACAATAGAATAATAAAATAATTATAACTTCTTCCACCTCCAGCTAGTCATTTTTGTGCAATTTATTATTATTTTTTTTTTTTTACCGTTCATGTAAATATGTATAAATGCCCTACATTTTCATAATTTTGCATAAATTTTATTGCTTATTCAGGGAAAATGCTAAAAAGAGAAAAATGATAAAGGAATCCAAAAAAAATAATAAAAATTTTGATGAGGAAGAAGACAGTGAACAAAATGATGATGAGGGTTACTATAATGAAAATTCAAAGCCCGAAGAAGTAAATTATTAAATGAATAAATACACACTAATATTCATGCAACTTGAAAAGATAACATATAAATAAATCTGTAATATAAACATAAAGCATACTTATTATTTAATTAATTTTTTTAATTTTATTTACACTTTGTGCGTATTCACTACAATTTGATTATTCATGTTAACTTTGTTGTTAATTATAAGAATGTAAACCCTTTTCTTAGGCATTGCCTTTATATATAAATTTTTATTATTTTTCAATTACACACTTTTGAATTAATTGCACAGTTTCATTATTAAATTTACTTTTTTCCACAATAGCTGTATTTAAACTATACAACTTGCCTACAATGTCGGATTATTTTAAGGTGTAATTTAAATTTAAAAAGGTTAAATTATCTTTGTTTTTTTCTTCACCTATACAAAAGAGCTGGTGTTTTTCCTTATGTAAAAATGAAGCTCATAAAAAATAAGCTAATATGGTTCTTTTATTTGAACTTTACATGAATCATCAGCAACGGTTACACAGCAGATATTTCGCGAAAAGAATTTATAGCATTTATTCCTATTTTTTGTATATTCCTCATGTTATTCTTTTTTTTCTAAATTTTCCTCCCCTGGAAAATTACCTTTTCAATTATATGAAGAAATTATAAAAAAATTACACGAAAATTTTTTTAAACCCTTTTAAAATAAGTGCAATAAAAACGATCATGCATTCAACTTTTGCACAATTTTTATATTTTGCTTACCCTTAATTATTTTTTTTTTTTTTTTTTTTCCTTTTATCTTGAAAAAGCATACGGTGTAGTGCGCACTTCACTAAGCAGCATACATAAAATGAACTGAATAAGAATGACAAGAATGATATAACTTGTGAAATGAGTCCTGCTATGCTCCAAGCAATAATATATAACGAAGTTGTTATGCCTGAAAAATAAATTTAAACTGCTGAAATTATGGAAACCTAACTCCCCCAGACCATTCCTATGTTTTTTTATCTGTGTAAAAGAAGTAAATTTTTTGTTTTTTGTTTTTTTTTTTTTTTGAATCTAAACTTTTGCTTTATTCTATGGGCAGGAATAATATACCTCTGTGCAATTCAAGTTTTTCATATTTTCTGCAATTTTAGCATTCCTCATATTACATTTTTTTTTTTTTTTTTTTTTTTTTTTTTTTTTTTTTTTTTTTTTTTTTTTTTTTTTTTTTTTTTTTTTTTTTTTTTTTTTTTGTTTCTTTTACCTTCAAAAGCGAACTTATACAAGTGAACATCAATACATGTAAATTTAGATAACACATGTGCTCATATATAAACATACATATATAAATACAGGGGAAAAACAATTAACTTTATTTAGGAAATTTCCCTTTTTGTAAAGAAGAAAGGAAAAGATATATAATTATACACAATATATACATGTATATACAGTCAAATCATTTTTACACCATTTAAAAAGCCCCCATCCCATAATGTCATGTTTGTTTCCTTTTTTATAAATTATGGTAAAAATAGAAAGAGCTCATTAAAGAACACTACATTATTTAGCTACTCTTGACAATTTACCCCTTTTTTGTATCACTTTTTGCCTTCCTTTTTTTTTTTTTTTTTTTTTTTTTTTTATATCTGAGAACACACCGATCATGTTATTTTTACTTCTTTCTTCCATCCCACCCCCCTTTTTAGTTGCGATTAAATAATGCAAGACTTTTTTTCAAAAGTAAAATTCGATTAAGTGGTGGCAAGCAACACCCCAAATGGGTTGTAAAGGATAAAGAGAAATATAATATATATACCTATGATAATTCATACTATGGAGAAAACTTCAGATATAACAATTTTATATTACATTTAAGATCATACAAATACTATATTGACTATATAGTAGAAAATGTGTACAGATCTGTTAAAAATTGTGGGAAATGTTTCTTTAATCCTATAAAAAATATTATATTAAAACATAATCCAGATGTCCGTTATCAGTTAGTAGCCCTTATGGCCTTTTTGGGAACAACGTCAGCCATAACATGTTACCACAATTACACCTACCAAAATATTATTGATGTAACAAATATGTTAGAGTTAGGAGTGGTAGATGATATGAAAGACAATAACTTTTTTGACACGCAAAGTGAAATTCAGAACAAAAACATAGATGATTATAGTAAGGATTATGAGAGATTATCAGACTTATGGTAGGTTTCCCTTGCATATCATATACATACACACATTTGTGTACATATACATATATACGAATTATGTACAATTGTGTTGGTGTATTGCACATATTAATAAGTTGTTCTGTCTGGGCATCACTAAAAAATATATATTCAAAATGTTTTGCAAATTTTACCTAAATGCATATTCCCATGTTTTATTTTCCTTTTCACTATTGATTAGGAAAAGGGCACTCGAAGACGCAACACAGAAGAATAGCTTCGATAAATTATGCAGTTATTTGGCTATAAAAGATGATGAACCCATAGTTACCTTTAAGCCCAAGCATATCTGGAGATATAACATGATTCCCTATGGAGAAAATAACCCAGACACAAAGACATTTGCAATTCCATCGTATGAAAAACCATTTAGATCGTTTGCATTAAATTTCACATATAATAATTTGTCAGGAAATTGGGGAGATTACATTGACAGACGGGATAATAAGGGTTCTTTACTAAGACCATCAAGATACATGTTCACTGATGTAATAATACCAGCAACAAAATAATTTTTTAAAATAATTAAATTTGCAAAATCGCTTATATTTGTGCGCACATTACACGTATGTGTATGCACATGTACGTTTTTTTTTTTTTTCTTTTTTTTATATAAATAAAAAAAATTATCAATCTGAGAATGATATATATATATATATATATATATATATATATATATATATATAAAAGTTATATCTTGTGCGATATGAATTTGTTTTAATTCGTTCATTTCGTAAAACTTAAAAAAATGGATTTAAAAAAAAAGTAAAGGCAAATTAACAGCGATATATATACAGGATTAAAAAATAGAATAGGTCATGAATGAGATTACCATAAAAATCGGTTATGGGGGGTGTACGGGAATGCTAGTTATGTCATAAATTTTGTCTACCCTACGCTTGCACATGTATATATATGCATGTAGATATATATACAGATACATGTGCATATGTATGATAAATCCACCTTTTAACCAACGTATCGTTTATGGAATGTAGTTATTTGCATTGTAAAAGCTCCCATTAGGATACATTCCTTCCATAGGTATTGCCCCTGGATGATACATTACATTAAAACCGTTCTGTTGGGACATTTCATTAAAAGGATAGTTCATCATGTATGGTGCATATGGTGCAACTTGTTGAGTGTATGGATTAAAATTACCTTGCTCATTATTCTGCATAAAATTATTTTGTGAATTTATATTTTCCGGGAATTTATCATTGTTTAGGTTGAATGTCATCGCATCACGGGGAAATGGAGAGGAGCCTTGCATGCTATTATTTTCATAATTCATATTATTGCGATAACTGTACATAGGGTTGTTATTAAATTGTTCTGGTGTATTATTATAACTCATATTTTTATTAGGATAATAATAATATGCATTATTACTTAAATCTGGTTGGTTATTATAACTGTAATTTATAGGATATTTATACGGGTTATTATCTATATTTTCTTCTGAATTTGTATGTACTTTTTGTTTTTTATTATCATTCGTATTAATATCATCTATTTTCCTTTTATAATCTAGGTTCATTGAATTTAAGACAGATTTAAGAACATCATCAAAATTTTTATTTTTAATTAATAAATATTTTGAAATACCTCTATGAACCCATGGAAGTTTGTAATAATTATCATCATTAATGTTTGCTGCTTGGTCGTATATATAATTATTATCGTTTACATTTTCGAAATTTACTGGAAATTTGCTATTCATAACATGGTCAATAAATCCACATGGATTTTCATAAAAATTCGTGTAACGTAGTCTTAAGCTATTTTTTTGTTTAATTTTACATAGTATATTTATAATTTCCTCATCCATATTGTCTATTTGACTTTGGATTACATTCATCTTTTCAAATATGGAAATTGCTGGAGAATTAAAACTTGTTTCTTTTTTATCATTACCTTTATGCGAAAAGCAATTTTCTTTACTTGATCTCTCCTTTTCGCCTTTTTCTTCCTGTACGCTCGTTTCATCCATCTTTTTGCCATCTATACTATAAGCTATTTTCCCTTCTTCTGTGTCTTCATTTTTTTCAGTATTGTTCTTACTTTCTTCACCCTCGTACTTTTGGTCAGGTTTATCACTATTATATCCACTTTCCTCGATATTTTTAGAATTTTTCGATTTTTCAATATAACCTTCACTCATTTTCCTACCAGTAACATCTTTTGTTTCATTCATTTTCAAAAATTGTAATAAATTACTCAGGTGGTGAGAATCGAGCACAAATTTTTGAGGCTTACCATCTTCAAAAGTTATAAATGGTTCAAAAATGTCAACTACGATATCATAAATACTCTCAGATTCATCTTCCTTTTCTAGATCGACAACATGTTCTAGAACTATTGGTTTCTGAATGGAAATATGTTTCTGTAAAATTTTGGGTAACTCACAAAATTCATATTCATCTACCCCTAATACATCTTTTAATACTTCATCTGTTTTCATATTCCCATTCAAGTCAATTAATTTTTTTTCTAAGCTATATTCATAAATACGTTTTATAACTTCTGGCATTGTTTCTTCAGGAGATTGCATAAATTTCTTTAACTCAGGAGAAAGTTCAAAAAATGGTATTTTTTGATCTAAAAATAAAAATATTTTAATTATCTCCTTCTTTTTCTCATTTACTATGCGACTAAAAGTTAACTTATCACAATCGTAATAATTTTTATTATTCTTATCATATATAATTGTTTCTTTATCTCTCATAACCATTATAGTTGAAAAAAAGGAAGTAAATTTCATAACACTTGTGTTGCAGTAGTCAATATGTTCATTCGTATTAGATGAATCATCAATGTCTGTGCCTGAATATTTACTATCCACATCATCCTTCGTTCTCGTCCCACTTTCATCTACTAAATAACTGAAACCATCATCATCTTTAATTATGGTTGATGGTTGTTTATGTAAGTCATATGAATCACAGTCATTGTCATAATCACTGTCATCAGCTTTTAAAATATACCCATGTATGTTAAAGGTAAAAGATGAAGGAGAACAATACTTATATATATTCTCCGAATCAGCAATTTCAATATCAGGTGGGTAATTTATTTCTTTGTCCCCATCGTTGAAAATAGTGTAGATGTGAATCCTCAACCTACGTCTTACTTTTTCTGTCTTTAAGGTAGATGAGAATGCTTCATTTATGTAATAATTACTCATATCGATACATCTATTTATTTCATCTTCATACTTCACCAGCGTCTCAATTAAATTATAGTTTTTTTCGTCTATCTCTTTAACTGTCCTCGTTAGTACTGTGTTATATAAATTGTTAATAACATCCTCCTTCTCATAATACCTACTATCAGCGAATAAACAATTCGAGTTTAAACTATCTATAGGCTCCATGTATTTTATTAAAATAATGAGGTAACGTTTCAAAATAATATGTAAAAGGGCATATATATAACGACGAAACGCTTCAAATTAAACTTCGTGAATGTTTCAGTTATCTTTATGTGTTAGCTTAATATAGCATGTAAAATAATACTAAGAACTGAGTAATTATTTTCTCTGACACTTTATAATTTAAAAGTTCAAGTTAAAAAATTGAAAAAAATATGTAAGCTTATAATATATTCATGTTTGTACTAACTTTTATTATGTTTAAACCTTAACACAAAAAAAAAAAAAAAATCCACTTAATAAATTTTAAAATTTATGCTTATTAAAAAGAATAAATTTGTAAATAAAAAAAAAAAATCATAATCTTACGTACAAACAAAAACAAATGTATAAAAAAAGTAACTAATAAAATCACATGGAAATTTCTGTGGTTGAATTAAAAAATTCGAACATGTATACAATTTCAGTCCAAATGTAACACTTTTTAGCATGGAAAAAAAAAAAAAAAAAAAAAAAAAAAATTGGAAAAATAGTACCAATCCCCCACTTCCCTCATCCAAAAAAAAAGCACAAGAACTGAGGAAAAGGGAAACGTTCACAACAAATGCATGTACCAAAAAAAGAAATAATTAAAATAAAAATGTCCCGAAATTACGAGTACAATCATAACATCAAAAAAAAAAAAAAAAGAAGAAGAAAATAAAATATTTTTTGATATAATCCTTTCCAATTGGGATCAAAAACAACATTTTTAAAACAGTATCGTCTCATCACAAATTTAAAAGTTGAAAAAAATTGTCCACTGAGACCTTATAAAAATAAGGAAAAAAATCACAAATACTCAAACAATTTACAATTGCACATAAAAAATACTTGTGTACGCACCTGTTAGCGCAAAAAAATTCTTTTCATGTACTTTAAAAAATATATGAATCGCATTAAAAGCTTCAAACAAAAAATAAAAGGAGTACAATGAGTACATATTTTCTTTACACGACGAACAAGTTTTCATTTAAAAGTTCGCAGAATTACCATTTTAAAAAATTCACCACCAGCGTGTTATTACGCACATTTGAATCCTGTAGAATCTTCGAATAATACAATATTAGAGATATTACAGTACAACACACCTAGGAATATATATAAACTCTTACCTCTTAAATGTGCCAACACAATACAAGTTTAACCATTTTTTTTTTCACTTAAATAGGAATTTGCATAAATCATGCAAAAATACTTTACATACAGTGAAGTTTTATTAAACATAAAACAAAAAGATCAAAAGTTAACCGTTCTATCCCCCCATTGTGAAATTCCCTTCTTTTAAGCTTTGAACTCCATAATTTATTCATATTGTTTTTATTATAGTTTACTTCGTATTTTTCTTTCACTATCCCCCTTTTTGTTTCGAATAAATCATTATAATAGTGTACGCACATGAATTTTTTCACCCCACATGTCATTATAAAAAAAGAATTCTAGTGTGAACTATAGCTATATATACAATTTCTCGCTATTTAATGAAAGGACCCTTTTTACAACTTGAAGATGGGGATCCATTCAAAAAATAAATTACAGACTACAATATGAGAGAAAATAAATTAACGTTGCACTTAGTAAATTCCGTTATTTGTAATGAACTGCATAAATCTTTTTCATAGTAAAAGATAAATTTAAAATATTTATGAAACATGAACAAAATATAGCTAAAGGAAAAAACACTTAAGAATTTAAAACTTCATTCATATTTTAGCACATTAAAGAAATTATTAAGCATTAATTACACGCGATTCTTGCCTTGGTGATGACGGTTCCATCTACAATTATTTTTAGTAGTCATGGGCATAAAGGGGACATTCATTTTCTTTTGGAAAATTAAAATATTTATTTAAAAGTATATGAGTCTACTCAAAGTGCAAAGTATTTTCCCTAAAATTAAAAGCAAGATTACATTTTTTATTCCTAAAAAACATTAACACCGCGCATGTTACACATGATTATCTACTTTTTATTTATATATTCCTTAGAATTTCATTTATGTGAAATGTCACTTTACGTGAACCTATCTAAATGTTAAAACATAATTGTGAATTTTATTGTTTAAAAGAAAAACCCTTTTATTTTTACGGGCTCCTCTTAGGAGTTTCAAATATAGTAGAACAAGGGAAAGTATTAAAAATATATATGTATAATTGATTCCTAAGTTCCAAAAATATTTTAAAGATTAATCTTATATACTAAAACTCCTTTATGAATCCACAGAGGCTTTATTTTCGTTACATCATATTGCTTAAGTGCACATACCGAAATAAGCACGTATATTTTATAAAAAGTTTTCATTTAAGGACAAAACTTAAATATAAGTACAGGTTCTATCAAACTTCCACTATAAACGAGGGCATTAAACAACATGTTCGAATAAACATTAAAACTTAATCATTGCCGTAGTGCGAACATTTTCACTTCATGAAGCAGTAAACGTTTTAACAATGTAGAAAATATGAACATGTTTCATTGGGGAATTTTAATAGTTGAATTTAATTTATAATTTTTTTTTTTCATTAATATATGAAAGCTTAGGCTCAACGTTTATTAATTCTCACATGCTAGCGCATCTGTGTTACCTGTCCGTCCCCAGCTGTGAAAGCAATTTTTAAAATTTTTTTTCTATTTAACATAATGAAACAAATACGCTTGTCTTTTAAAGTTCTTTTTATTAGAGTAAATTTCATTTGGTGCATTATTTTAATCTAGGTTTCTTGTGCCCCTACACATATTATATCATTGTTTTGAATATTATTATAATACTAAGAGACTTACGAATGCGATGTAGAATTTAAGAATTACACATTTTGATTAAACTAAGCAGTAGTAAAAGAATATTTTAGTAATATTTACACCTTTTATTAACCCCTTTCATTAATGGAAATTATTATTGTGTTAAGTGGTAACATTTACTTATAAAGTTTCAAAATAACACAATTATATTTGTATATTGATTCTGATATCCTGAAAAACTTTTCGGGTATCTTTAGGAGCAATAATTCCATAAATTTTCTAAAAACATAATATTAATTTTCCAATATGTTGATAAAGAAAAATGTTATTCCAATGCTATTTTTTCTACAAATGGATAAAAAAAAATTAACAGTGGAAGTAAATGTGAGAGCATCAGTTTCACAAGAGATTTAACTTTCACTAAGACAGCAAGAAACACAAAATGTGATCATTATTCGTGCAAAATAATAAAAGTTATGTATTTATTCAAAGAAGACGTCCTTTATTTTTTTAAAAAATTACTCAAATGGGTAAAGAATTAGCAAATACTCAATTTTAAGAACACAGAGAGGTTATAAAATGCATATTTATAACCGAAAAAGTTGCTTACGCAAACAAATCCAACTTTTCTAATTCATATAGAGACTTTTTATTGAAGTAAAATAAATAGATGTGTATATAAAATTTACATTTTCTTTTTTATCTCAGTATATTTTTAAGAAATTTAAATTTGCACTCTCTTTTAAATATTAAATTATCATTTTTTAGTGTCTACCTACATATCTTTTTCTTATAATATTTTAATGATTTTCTTTTGTGTAAAAAATATTAAGTTATTTCATTTTTTATTATATACATTATACACATTTAAGCAACAGTTGACTTGTTAAATACCATATATTTAATTTTTGTGTAGTGCAAAGACATTCTTTACTTAATTTCTCAGGAGAATATAATATGTACCACAATAACAATCGGTTTGACAATGAGTTCTAAAAAGTTAAATGTTTTCAAAGAAGAAATTTACCCAATCCATGTATTTAAAATTATTTTTAATAGAAAGAAACAAGTTTTTTCTAGCTTAAATTCTGTAGACATCTATAATACAAGAGAAAAAAAAATAGGTGAAAATGAAAACCTTAAAAAAATTTCATTATGTAATTCACGAGAAGGGCTTATTTATAATGCCCTTATTCTTGTGCTACATATTTTAAATAAAAGGTTGTATTCCTTTATGATTTATTATTATTTAATGAAAAACAATAGTGTTCTTGTTATTTTTTAAAGTTTTACAACTTTAATTCTATAACATAGGGAATTTATGAGACATATCCTTATTTTTACCTTTGTTCGTTAAAAACACAAAAGAGGAATAAACCCCAAAAAATATTGTTTTCACTTCTTCATATATTTATTCATTAAAATAAATGGGGTTATATACCTTTTTACTAACACAAGTATGAACATACAATACAAATTTTTATTTGTAGACAAGTTATTCATTTTAAAAAAGCACTTTTTACAGCGTTTCTATTTTACTATTACAATGAATAAAGTTAGGCCTTTTTTAGGCTAATTTTGACTTTTTAACAATTGTTGAAAAAATGGAAAAAGAAAGCGACATGTACGATGATTCCTTGCTATTCATTCATTATGGTTGCTTTTTTCAAAAGTTTATTGGGTATATGCATTTAGAATTATAATTTTTATAAGCACCAAAGGATAAAGGAGCAAAACGCTTTATTTTAGTAATTTTTATACATTCGCAATCAAAAATTTTCCAGTTTTAGCAAAAAAATGTCGTTATTACTGTATTAAGTGCACAATTATAAACAGCCATCAGTTTGTTCCTTTTCCATCACAACATTTTATAAATATATACCATTTGGTATTACGCGCATTCTATTTTATTTACAAGTATCATCCATTATATACATTTAACACTCCTTGAGAAAGGGTAAAATTAAAAGAAAAAATAAAATTTTTTTAATTCACTGGAGGTTAAAAAGCTCAAAAGTCATTAGCACATTAATCATGCATATTCATTAATACAACTTAAGGCATCCCTAAGGAAATGCTTCATATTATTATATGCATTAATGTTTGTAATTCTGAAAAAATCAATAAAGGAAAGGCAAAAAAATCAGAACAATTCTTAAAGTTAACAAAAATATTGTAAGAAAAAACTTTAGCTTGAAATTAAATACATAGTGTAATTTGAAAAA